ACCTGAGACATGGACGATCACACGGTAGCATTTCAGCAGTTCGCGCGAGTGGAGGTGGTACTGCTAACATAAGATAGATCTCGATAGATCGCTGCCAAGAGGTTAAGAAACATTTTAGCCTACAGACGTACAATGAATCGCGACACGTATCAAAATGAACGTTTTGCAGCGCATTTAGTAAAAACACCTCTATCTGTGCTCAATCCCATCACAGCGCATTATGACTTGATCTACCTAAGGTAGGTACTGTAAGAGCACCACTAGACACGAAGAAAATACAGCTTCAAACAACGTACTTGCGGAAGATCTAGCGTCTATACAAGAGTCAATGTTCCATTGTAGCTGCTACTTCATCCAGCCACCTGATACAGGATACATATACTACTAGATGTGAGCTGTTTCTTTGTTGATCTAGCACGATCAAGGCAGCGATAATGCTCCCAGCATATTTCACAGTAATGTTGATGAAAGTGAGGCGAGATGACTTAGATAAGCATAAACAGGTAAATCCTGCTCAAATAAACAAAAAGAAAAGCCCTTCAACTGCTACTTTGATTGGGTTCCTGATGGTGCAACCACTACTTGCCTACGTGTACCAATGCGCTGTACCAATGCGCAAGTCTTCACCGGCCATATCATTCGTTTAATATATCCAAATCATTCTTTATTCCAAGCTACAGGAAGTCTATTGCCATTGAAACATGCCTATACCGCCTGCTGGGGGGAGTCGTGGACAACTATGCCGTTGCAGACTTTGGGAGCGTTATAGGTTGGCAAGTGCCGATATCACCAAGGCAAAATGGAACTCCACAAAGTTGCATCTGAGATAGTTAGGGCTCGCCATATTTTGACAGCACATAGTTCCCAAACAATTGTAAAGTAGTTGCTAATTGATCGCTCTTTGCTGTGAGAAAGGAGTTCATTCGGAAATACTCGCAAATACAAAACTAATGAACTAGACGCAAAGCCTTCATAACATGGCTGGGGTTATAAAATGAGCCAGTCTTGATCCGGTCTGTCTACTCTTAAACTTATATCTGACATTGGAAATTGTATGGAAGGCTGAGATATGGTGGCGTTACTTTGCGTACGTATAGAATGAGACAATAACTTAGAGCGATGTCATCGCGAATCCATCGGTTCAACCAATCCTGCAGTATTATGTTAACAAATAGTATTAATATGATATGATTATATAGATGAGAAGATTGATAAAGCTCTTAGCCAATCGAAGCATGTCTCTTGGTCCATCGATGCACTATTTGGGAATGAGTTTAGAGTGGAATACATCCCGAGCTGTGATCTGTGATAGCCAAGGTGATCGTAATTGGCTGGAAGTACAAGTATTACAACATTTGATAATACCCACAAAGCTTGTAGATTCGATACCGAGTTTTATAGGAAAATGAAAGGAGAGGGGGGAGCGGATGGGGAGTCTGACGATTGCCAATTTTTCGTATAACTTGTCCTGTAACGAGACAACCTCATCATTAAATGCTAGGTGGGATTCAAGCACAATGATAAAAAGACATTGTGGCTAAATTTATACTTCGTTCCATTGCAAAATGCCCCAAACGTCTTGTAAGTTAACCATAGGATGCCTTTTATTTGCATAACTCTCTTGAGAGAGGATGAATCGCCGTTGCCGCGTCATTCGAGGTTTCTCAATCTTTGAAGCCTTGCATTGACCGAGCGGCCTACGAGGCTTGACTCTAGAGTATCTACATCTGGTAAGACCGTGACTTGATTTCATGCCTTGACAGTAAGAGGACATGTGAATTTCCTAAAAGAGCGTGAAGAGACCTTTTCATCTCAGTTAGTGAAGGAGTATGTAAACATAATAAATTGTAATCTCTACCAGAACAGCTATACCAGAACACAAATAGATCAGCTGGGTGGTTAAGCAAGCGTGATCAACAAACCATTGCAAAGTCAGTATATCACGAGTAAGTCCTTTGGGGAGGAAGAAGAAAATTGTAGAGTAGCTAGCTAAGATCTTTCAAATTCTTCGCTACTCCATTACGATCGACTAAGCTAATCACATGTTTCAACCTCGGAAGGCAGCGCTCAAGAAATTGATCAAGCATCAACAAGGAAAAATCGTCAAAGGTCGAAAAAAGATCGGCGTGGTAACCACCGTAATAGGTGTTGTCCATGACATCAAATGACAGACAGGATGATCGCGGGCAAATCAGGGCACACCGCTTCTTGGAGCCAACGAGTGGCTACGTGAGCCTAAGTGACCGACATTGGAGCCAAGTCAATAATACCACATGCTGTCAGGAGTTGGCCAACTGAAAATGACATCTGATATCACCCTTGGACTATATCCACAGACCACAGCTCTGCCAAAAAATCGAGATAAACGTATCAAGATACGATATTTCCCAAAATCTTCACGCAGCTGCCGGCAAGATTAAGCTGTGCCAAAGATTACCAAATCGCCAATTAACGAAGGCAAATGAACATTGAAGAACTTCGATCCCCAACAGTGGCAATAAATTCTGTAACTCAGGTAATCATAGATCAAGTGGACTCATGAGAACCTGCGCGATGATATGTAACGTTTACAACTGATGCATTAAATACCTGTTTTGTTCTCAGCTGTTTCATAGTACTTGTCGTAATAAGAGAGAGGGTAGACAACGGTGAGGGCCTCTCAGCCTGCAAGGAGTTCTTTGAATGCAGCATTGGCTTGTATGCTTTACTGTGACAACCGACGGATATATTCGGTAGAATACTTTGGTCCAGTGGCAACTTCATCATCTACATTAGACGAGCGGCGACATAATTTGCATTTTTTCACAGCATATTCTGACAGATGTTCATATTGCAGGCCATCAGGTAGATGTTTTAATAGAATAGCAAGTCATCACCCTACTGATTAGAAGCTTGAGGACAATCATCCAGCAATTGACAATCACGTATCGCCGTTGATTGAACGAAAATTTGACAAAGTGGCTATCTAAAGCTCAATATACACTTAACGTCTAGGGACAGATCAGCATATTGAAGCATATCAAACGGGCGACACTGGATCCCTATGGATCCAGGTTTTGCAGAATTCTGTTCAAACTCCTTGAATACGAGAAATCGAGTAAACCGGGTCTTCGGTGAGGACAGCCGAGTGTAAAGAGGAAAGACAACGATTTGAGGGGCAAAGTGTTTAGCCATGGAGTGGAGATCTTACTTCACTCACCCCTAACGGAGGCAAAAGATCTCCCGCTACAGAAAGACGGTAACTACCGTTTGCCTATGGCCTTGTAAAACTGGCCAGTGGAGTATCTCCATAGAAGTGCCTCTGATCCAATAAAACTGTTGCTGGATCTTCATAAAGCCTGGCCAACGGATGAACAGTTCCACCAGTCAGTTTTGTAAAGGTAATACGACAATACGGTAGTATATACAGGCCATTTTACATGCCTACTGTGTAAGCCACCAATGGCCTTGCTGTCTTTACTGCCCATGTCTACCTTCAGTATTTGGAAGAGGAATGTGGATGGGGGTCAAAACCGTAGATCTTGTCGTCGTGATATTATCGGAATCACTTCTGTGGCCTGACTCTGACACACTAGCTTCGTTCCGTTGCTCCCGCGTATACTAACCGGACCGCTACGGAACAGATCCAACACTTGCTAAGATTCTGGTCCACAATACAAGACACAGCCACAAAGAATCGCGATATCTTTGTCAAAAGGATCCGTTTGTTACCGAGGCCGTGCGTACCTGCCTAGCAGCGTAACATTCGCCTTAACAAACGTGCAACATCATTTCCAAAAGAAGAAAAGTGGAACAAAGGAAGCGAGCGAAGAGATCCCCCCCCTAGTGGATCAGATGAATGATGGCTCGCCAGGAACCGGTAGAGCAGTGATACGCGGCAAAACTTATGCAATGAAGCCAGCATAACTATTTTTGTTTGGCATATTAACACGGTAGACTTTGCACATGCACAGGATGTTGCTCCCATGCGAACTAGTGTATCGGGCCTTCTCTCTACCCCGTCTATATACTTCGATATTAGCCGCAATTTCGTACCCGCGGCTCTGCAAGGGCCGCTGTCAGCTCTCATGCAGTCTTCCATAAGCAGACTAAGTTGTTATACCAAGAATCCTTCGCTCACGAACTTCATAGGGACGTCGAACCACTTCCAATGTCACATCATTCAACGCCCAATAGTATCCAATTTGCGAGACAAAACTGTTCAATAAAGGAATGTGGATACAATTGCATGCTGGATATACGCCCCCTCGACGGCCATGCCGTATTAGATGTTATTTTAGCGTTTCTGCGGCATATTTCGCCGTTTGTTGCCGCCTAGAATGAGGCTCTTGTACGTCTCATGGAAAAGGAATACACACACGATGATGATGATTCATCCGCATAATCCTCTTGTGAAACGGCCAGGATTAAGATTATGAAATGATGACACAAGAAGCATAGCTCATGAGTTGCGGCATCATAATCTCAGAGTGCTCAAGTCGCACACTGCACGGAAAAGTTCCGACTCTGAATACAAGAAAAGTGAGCGTAATGGGGTGATCAGTTTGCCTATGTCAACTGGTTGTATTAAACGAGTGGGTTTGGCTCCTGCCAACGAAGAAAGGATTCAACTCAAAATTTGCCACCCACCCCTAGCACGGCATTTTCATGCGTGTTGGTCGTCCCTCTTCTGCAGGCCGCCCCTCTTGTTTTCCCCAAGATCTCAACCGCCATTGCCAGCATTCTCTGGCCAATGCGCTTGGGAATTTTTGGCCAAAGCGCATGAAAATGTCATTCATGGCCAATGCGCTTGGGAGTTGTACGATCTCTAGGATCCACAGCACTATAAATCTGTTTATGTAGATGCAGATGAAAACGATGAGGTTATCATGGAGCTTAAATCTAAATTCAATCTATACTACACTCGATCTATTTTATAAAAAAAAAAAAATACAACAGCTTTTCACCACCACTCTATATCTTGCCCTGAAGCCTCATTTTATAGCACCAACTCCTTTTTTTTACTGCTTCTCAAACAATCCCATCATGCGGTAACGCGGAGATGAGGTGTGGAAGTGGGTGATACCCTTGGCATATGTATCAAAGTTGGCTCGGTACTCGGGCTCATCCTCAAGAACCTTGAGAACACGCTCACGAACTCGGATACCCTCGTCAGCAAGGGTGCTCAGTGCCTCCAGGACGGTGATGTTCTCTCTCTGGGCGCGCATGTCAATGTAGTTGCCCTTCTCCTCGGCCAGGAGCTCCTTGTAGAAGGAGATGACATCGTTGACAATGTTGGTGAAGACGATAACATCAGGGATGACCTGGACGTACTTGTCCAGTCCACCAGTAGACAATTTCGGATCTGAGGGTCGTGCTAGAGCCAACAGTGCATACATTGGGGAAAGCCCCGTTTTGAAGCGCAGCCAATCAGGGAAAGCCACTGCCTGGGGTTGGATTTCAACGTCCTTGGTCAGGGACTCGATTCCAATGCCGTTGATAAAGTCATAGCAGGCAATGGTAATCATGTTGGCAACAAGGGGGTCAAAGTGCTTCCACAGATGGGGCACAAGCTCACGGGCGTACCAGTCAAGGACTGGGTCACCGCATGGCTTGCCAGAGGCTACGTTGAGCTGCAGTTGGCGGAGGACTTCAGGCTTCTCTTCGAGGATATCCTCGGCGTGGAAGAAGAAAATGGTAAGTTGGGCAACCACGACCTGGTACTCAAGGGGGTGGGATGATGTAAAATCAGCTGCTACATAGCACGCCATGGTGAACTGGTCTTTTGAATTTAGGTAGTCCAGGTGGTCCTTGAGGCTGGACTGCTGCAACTCTGAGACAACTGCAGCACGCAGCTTGTCAATGGGTGTTAAGCTAAGAGCCTTTTCATCGATTTTGTAGCCTCCGGTAACCTCGGAGACGAAATGTGAAAGAACTTCACGGATGGTGGAGAGGGATGTCTATAATTGTTAGTGGACGGGGCTACTTGAGTCATTGGATATTGAAGCATACCTCGGGAATGGCCATTGTGTTGACTGTAGATGTTGGTAAACAATGGTTTAGAATAGCCGAAGATGAATGTTTGTGGCTTGAAGCTGTGATGATGCTCGAACAAAGGCGTGTAAGTGCTTTGCTGGATAGCTCCTGGATATAGCGTCTGAGTCTGGAGATTCTATTCTTTGCAGCTTATTGAAAGTCTGTTTGAAAATGGACTGATGGGATGAAGAATGAAAGACAGAAACAACCGGTTGAACTTGGCTTTTTATAATCGTCGACCTTCTACAAATAATGGGTAAGGGGATGAAAAGACGAGGAGGAGAAGGGGGGGGGGGGGGTCCGGCGCCGGCGCCGCGGCTACGGTAGTGAGGCGTGAAGATCGTTCCATTTGTCCCCTAGCTCGTCTACTAATACGATACATAAAAACCCATATAGATGGATCTATGTAATTAACCTTATAAGATGATACGCCTCTCCCTCTGTGGATTTGGACTGGTCCAGTATGTAATTGCGTGAGCTACCAAAATATCCTTACTAGCTTGGCACCGGCAGCTCCCTAGAAGACAAGATGGAACATCCCACCCGCCATCCGGAAGGCCGACTGTGGTTTTCACAAGGATCACTGGTCACTAATACGTCGTAGTACGAGTAGCAATTTCACAGAGAAAACAAAAAGCCCACAAAAGAGCTCCGTACCCGACTTCTGGGACTTGATATCTCACATTAGATCCAGTGAGATCCAGGGTATCCAAAGTAACATTATACTAGACGTGGCAATTTGTTCCTTACTGACGTTTCTGACACTTGGGGACTTGTGGGGGCGTCGTTGTATGCATACACACACTACATCATTAGCGCTGGGGCCGTTGGACCGGTGTGGACAAAGAGGTAAATCGCGGCTAAGCTACGACTAGAGGCGGTTACACAAGCGGTACCTGTGCCCATCGTTCCACTATTCTGTGAGCTATGCCGGCAGCAGAATTGAGCAACTGGCCACAACGAGAACCTCAAAAGTACATTCACATGGAGCTTGTACCATGAAGATCGGACCAGTCTTTTTCGTGTTTGTCCGCCGTCGGGTATAGAGCCGATAGAGCCGGACATCGGCTACCACGCCAAGGGACTTGACAGGTATCCCAGGGGCCGGCAAAGCTTCCAATTGGCACTCGGATGACTTGCAGAAGTCTTGAAGAGATTATAGGGGGCTTGCGGGATCGAAAGCTCCGGGGCTTATACTGTACCCTGTATAGGCAGCTACGAATGCTAGCTTGTTGGGCCAGCATCAGAGACACTACGAGTAACAGCAATTGTACTTGTACTGTAGACGAGAGAATCTTGGGAGTTACTTTTTTATTCTAAGAATCTTCACACCGCCGTTTTGTGCTTGGCGCGGCTAATCTCTAGACTTGTCTGTGTTGTTAACTTGACACAATGCGGGAGGCCCTGGAGCCCACTTTCTATCCAGGTATCTGGATAGGCGGTTGCATTCATGGCCACTTGGTCGAACTAAATCATGCAGTCCCATCGAAATAGTAGACGAAAATCATGGCTTTTGTGATAGGTGTCCTATCATATCACAATTCCTGCGCTCCTGAGCCTCCTGGAAATCTTAAAGCGGGATGGAGCGAGAGAATCGGTGAGCATTAGGGGTAAATAAGAGACATATCGTTAATATAAGATGGGTGGGCTTGGGACTCGTCTCTACTTGCAAGACTGAATCCGGTATCACTCAACACTGCCTCTTTCTCTCTCTCTCTCTCTTACCCCCTCATTCAACTTCCTCTTCAAACCAAGAAAACGGCCGCAGCGCAAGTCACAACCGCGTAAAAATGTCCGGCAACGCCACAAGCGAGCAGCTCCCGGCTGTCCCCTCAGACATTACTGCCGAATGGCTTGGCGCCAAGCTCGGACAGAAGATCAAGTCCATTGAGAACACCCACAACATCTGGGGAACCGGCAGCAAGCTGTTCTACACCATCACGTACGAGGATGAGAGCAGCAGCAAGCCGAGACCGTCCCACGTCTGCATCAAGGGCGTCTTCGACCCCAAGATGATTGAGGAGCAGCCGTGGACGGTCAGTCTGGCTCAGCGAGAGGCCGACTTCTTCTCAAAGATCGCCCCTGGTCTGGAGAACATGCTGTTCCCCAAGGGCTGGTGGAGCGGCCAGAACGAGAAGCAGGGAATCGCCATTATGGACGACCTGACCAAGGACGGTGTCCAGTTCCCCCCCGAAGTCGCCTCATACTCGGTCGACCAGGTCATGAACGGCGTCCAGCAGCTGGCTGGCCTGCACGCAAAGTACTGGGGCCAGAGTCAAGACGACCACCCTTGTAAGTGAAGATTCCCATCCTCCCCTGCCCCCTGCCCCCTGCCCCTATCCTGTCCGCCCCCCCTCTCCCCCCGGTCTCTCCCGGTAGTTGGTGTCTTACAAGGCGACAGGGATCTGGAACAACTACGACCCGGCAATGAAGTTCATGTGCACGCCGTGGGACGATGTGGTGCGACAGCCAGGCCGGCCCCAGCTGCCCGAGTACCTCATGGACGGTACGCGCTGCAACGAGGCCCTGGATCGCTACTACGCCGAGCGAAACCCGCGGTTCCGGACGCTGCTGCACGGCGACACGCACATGGGCAATGTGTACGTGACATCCGACGGCCGCATCGGGTTCCTGGACTGGTCGGCCTTCCACTTCGGCTCGTGCTTCCACGACGTCGTCTACCACATGACGGCGATGCTGACTGTCGAGGACCGCCGCGCCCACGAGATGAAGATCCTGGACCACTATCTCGAGACGCTGCACCGCCTCGGTGGCCCCAAGTTCGACCGCCACAACGACCCGGAGGTCATGACCGAGTACAAGCGCTCCTTCATGACCAACGTGATCTGGATCATCTGCCCCGAGTCGCTGCAGAGCAAAGAGCGCATAGCCGTGCTGTGTGAGCGCACCGTGGCCGCCTACAACGACCACAAGGTCATTGATGTGATCCTGGACGCGCCCAAGCCGGCTGCTGCTGCCTGAGTCTGAGACGCAGGGGGGGAAGCTGGAAATCGTTAACCGAACTCCATTTGGGTCGGTGGTGTTATAATGTTATCACGAGTAGTACTCTTTAGTACTAGCATGAAAAGGAATCTACATACTTGTACAGTAGCATATCTACTGTACCTATATCCATAGCCGAATAAACAACGCAGTAAAAGTTGTCCGAGCCGATCTTCAACACGTGATGCAATCAATGTCCAGCCAATGAATGCTCGTGATATTTTCGTCTTTAGCCGTTGAGAAAAGAGCAAGTTCCACATTCTCCATCGGCGCGGCGCAGATCTTTTACCGCTTCTAGTCGCGGCCCTACCAGGCTGTTAGGCGAGGATTTTTTTCTTCAAGCTCTCTTTTTGAAACGGCGCTGGGATGTTGCATGACAATAATAACGTAGATCCTTACTAAGACAGCTTTTCTTGCATCTGGCTAGGTCGTTTCCGTCGTTAGTAAGCCCAACTGCCAAGATGGAGGAGAAGGGGGTATATCAGTAGTTCCGCAGATTAGTCCCTTACACCGTTGAATCTCCATCTATCCGCTGTGCCGTGTCACTAAGAAGAGGTTAGTGGTAGGTCATTCCGGCCCGCGGTATCCACATTATGCCTGGACGCGGCAGCCGACTTGTAATATTCCCGTACTGTATATATGCTCGTCTGTCAGTTTATGGAACGTTCTCTTGCCACTTCTTTTCGTATTGGGACCTGGGGACGGGGTACTCTGTGGGCGAACACGCTCCGCATTGGTACGCGAGCTGCTGGTACCCCTCGTAAAGACAGGCATCTGGGTATAAAGTTGGCAAAGTTCGTTGACCGGAATCCTTCCGGGTCATGGATTCGTACGCAGTTACCCCTATTAGATGAACTAGACAGCTCCGCAGAACTACTCTGCATTTTGAATAGTTTGCATTGCCAGCCAGAAGCATAAGGCAGCGTTACATCTGGGACTGTCTAGCTGCAGTGGTAATTATGGAGAGGTGCATGCTCGATCCAATAGTAAAGGGGCACTTGCGGCATACGGAGCGGCCTTGTATACTAATAGCATTTGCTGATGCCTTGCTTCTCGCATGATACTGCCCTCTGTTCTTCGTATATGCAGAAAAAGACACCAATCTCTAATCACTACCAACAAGTCGTAGTTCCCTAATAGCATTTAGCACTGTTTCGAATTGTAAAAAAGCTCTTGGGTGAAAAAAAGCTCAGCGGGGAAAAGATTCCGTGCCTGTATACGCCCGCGGGCCAGACCCCCAGACATAACATCCCGCCTCTTTCACCCCATAAGATATAGGCTGACAGGGTTCGATATGACCAAGGTTTTGTCGGTTGTTGGTCTGCAGCTTTTTCTCTAATGGGATCATCACTCGTCTCGCTTTTAAAATTGCCTCCCCTGCTCGGAGAACACAAGTTCCAGGACGACGGCCTGGGTGGTTCCACGGGGTAAAGAACCCCTTTGCCAAGGTTCTTCATATAGAGACGGCTTCGTGCCCTCTTTTTTATCCATCTGGCAATAGAAGGCGATCGTGCGTCGTTACGTTGACACATCAAGGTTTTTTTTTCAAGTGTAACGCAACAGCAGCCATGGCGAAAGATTTGACGACGACTGTATTCGAACCCATCGAGCCCGAGGGCCTGGCGCTCGCTTTGATGGTGACGACGATTGTGTTTACTGTCTTATCAACAATTGTAGTGGCCCTGCGTTTTTATGCTCGCATTTCGCTTGGCCTGTTCTCCATTGAGGACTGGCTGATGCTTGCTGGATGGGTTAGTAACCAATCATTCCCAACGTCACATTTTCACTTCAACGGCCCCGATTTGCGCTCTGCCTAACACTGATCTATTATGTCTAGCTCATCAACCTTGGACATAATGCTGCAGTCATCGTTCTCTCATATAGTGGTATTGGATCGCCCGACGATGTCATCACGGTCGGCATGCAGTTCCATATGGGACTGTGGACAATCATCTGGCAATTCCTCTACGTCCTGGACGGTGCTCTCATCAAGTCTAGCATTATCTGGACGCTGCTCCGGCTCGCCAAGGGCCTGAACAAGAACTACACGCGCATTCTATGGGTTCTGTTTGGCTTTGCCTGGATTACATGGCAGATCTCATGGCCGGTGGCAATCTTCCAGTGCAAGCCCGTCGCCGCAGCCTGGGGTGAGCCTGGAGACTGTACCTCGGGTCAGACAGTCATCTTGAACGTGTCCTACTTTGTTTCCGCCGCCAACATCTTCACCGATATCTCGACCTCGCTTGTGCCCGCCTTCTTGCTTCGCCACGTCCAGATCCCCCCGAGATTGAAGCTGGTCACCATCGGTATTCTGTCTCTGGGTGTTCTCGCATCTGTAGCGACAACCATTCGTATCACCTACACTTGGGCCTACACTACGCCTCACAACAGATATTGTAAGTGTTTCCTCTTTTGTGGCCATTTGACGGGATAGTTGCTAACACACCAATCTTCAGTCGAGATTGGCAAGATTGTCCTGTTGACCGTGCTCGAGTGTGACCTGGGTATCATCGCTGGTTCGATGCCCATGCTGCGTACTCTTCTGCGTGTCGTCGCTCCCGGACTTGCTGCCACGGATGGCGCAACCCCTTCCCGCGATATCAACCTCAAGACGATTGGCTCCACTGGACGACGCACTCACATGAAGCTGACAAACGCCGCGGAGTCAAAAAACTATGACAAGGACTACCATTTCCAAGACCGGGAAGGTAGCGATGACAACGAATCGAGCCGCCACATCATCCACGTTACTCGCAAGATCGAGCAGGACAGCGTTTCCGATCGGGGCGTCATGGATGACCACTACCAAGTCGTCGTCACAAGCAGCGACGGACAGGGCGTAAGCTACGGAGGTGATAGATTTCACTAAAAGGCTTATTTGCGGAATCATGAGGATCGGGATATAATCGTGCTGGACTCGCTTTACTTTGATTTGCTTTCTCACACCAATACCAAGTGTCCATTTATATCAGTATTTTAATCAACAGTCTTATAGGATTGCTAGGGCCTCAGGGCTAAGAAAAATCCGGAGTTTAGGAGGCTTTCAATTGCTTGTTACGATATCGAGAGAACTGAGTTCTCGGAGATAGTATCATGGCAGATAAAAATAGATTTTGCTTTGACTATCACAAGTGTCTTGGAACTATTAACAAATATTGGTGTAAGTCTGTCTCACGAGTAATGGATGATATTCCAATCCAAGTGAATCGCTGCGATCTGCTATACTATCAAGCCAAACAAGGCAAACGATTAGGCTATAATCACTATTGTAGGGATTAACCATTATAACGGAATCAGCTGCTTGTAGAGATTCAGCCTGTTATGAGGGACCTGGTCGTAACATGAGTTTGTCCCCTGACATAGATGCAAATCCCCCTTTTGCAAGAAGCTGAAGCAGCCACTGTAGGACTTTCTCCGCGGCATCTAGATTCGGCAGTTCATGTTAATATTTGAAGCTGAGCGAGCAGTGTTTGCACACATGCTGATCATGAGAGGTCCAATGTCAACGTGCTACAATACTTTGTCTTCTTAACTGACCGAATCGCGTATTCGGATGGGATGTTGCTAAATTTGCTAAATTAGGGTCGCTCATTCGTAAATATAGGATCTATTCTAGCTTGGTATTAGAGAGGAAAAGCTGGCAGCTGCAATTCTCCCCTTTGAATGAGAAATTCTACGTATCTTGCGATGAATCATAATGAATCATGGAATTTAAGCCATGTCAGAAACTGCTTTCCAATCTGTCAATGTTCCGATGAGATTTATCATAATCTCTGGAATACCTATAGAGTAATATTGCCATTTAGGAGTTTTAATTAGAACCGAGATTAAGAGCGGAGCTAGATCTCACCGCTATTAAACTCTTCCTCAACTCCTATTGGAATGCGCTCAGATTATATCAAGAAAATGTTGGCGTACAATATAGAAGTCCGCGAATGTTGATTATTGATGGAGATGATGGAGGCAATGGCATTATCGTTATAGTTGCACCATCTTATTTCATGTATCTGCTCGGCTGATAGAGCTTGGTCTACTCCAGAAGTATTTATGTCGGATTTACATGAGAAGAATGGGATTTCTTGCTATTTCCGTAACGTATCTCCTATTGACTGAACTGAAAGTCATTTCATAGGTATCTGCTAGGATACAATAGCTCGAATGATCTATGAGCATATTGTAAGCTGCTTGTCCAATCTTTATCATCATGTGAGATGTTGTAAAACTTTGCAGATAGTATCTGGAAAACTCTCTTCCCCATGTTGCACGCCGGGGGTTTGTGATTCTGCTACAACCCTGACCTTTGCACTGGCTTCTCACTCCGTTCCAAAGGTCGAGTAGTTGAAGCACAAGTACCTGTAGTGGGGCTGTTCGAACTGCATCTGCAAATTAAAGTAACCCTGGTACAATGGCCTCGCACCTGAACAATCCCCGTAGGCCAAGAAAGACGATCTTCGAGTTTGTTGATACCTACCCTCGTCAAAGTCGTCTAACGAGCTAATACCCACCCCTAATGAAACTGCGGGACTGTTTGAGAACTAACGCGATATTCGGTATTCTGGAAGAACATTCGCACGAACTATAAACGTTCTTATCCGCTCAACATGTGATATTCGGTAAATCGCACAAACTGTGACCGCGTTTCATAGGTGAAACGGATAAGGTTACGCATATTCGGGGAACAGGCTCCAAAACACTCAGCCGCAGCGTTACGTCGTGTCGCGGAGCCAGATGTTGAGCTGTAACAGGTCAAAAGGTTGATCGACTTAGGCTTTTATAGATATCGCAGGGTCTCATGCGTAGACATGGTTCGCATCTTCGGCCGACGCTGGGATGCTGTCGGGATGCTCTGTCGGGCGGCAGTTTACCCCTTTATGGAAGAGGTCGTAAAAAGCGACTCTTTGAGTTTCTTATATTGCATCTCGCTTAAGATTACATCGAGAAATCTATCGGTTCTGGAAGCCTCATATCGCTTAGAGCGCGAATGTAGATCTTCAGGATTAAGCCGCCCCCCGCTTCTCTTCAGGCCTGCTGACATCGTCTGGAGACTTGGAAGTTTAATGATGATAATTGATGAGGGCTTTATCTCACGCTTATTCAGATGTTACCCCGTGGGCATTAAAACACACTGGGCGTATGTAGTTGCGAACTCGAAGCGACGGCGATCTATCTAACAACACCAATTCACCAATGTTGTCGAGACAAGCTTTTTCATTTTCGAGCGCTATATATTGTTGACGGCGGGGAATACGGCCATTCTTCCGAAGCAGTGACAAGGCGAGAATGAAGCTTTTTATTTTTCTTTATCATTTTGGGATGTAGACCTGGTGATTTCCGCTGAGATTTGTTGTTACCTGTATGCAGCCAAAGTCATCGGCTTCACTTCAGCAGCCAAGTGCACCGCTTACGTCAATTGCCCGGTCGGAAAATTGAAAGTCGAAACTTTTTTTCTATCATACCCATGGCTTTCTGGTTGTATAAACGTCTTTTTTGCGTGGAGACCCGTGTTTGAGAAGAATTATTTGCAGCTGCTCATTGCTGACTTGCAATAATAGCGAACAATAGATCCCTGGAGACAGGTAGACTTGGCATCCAATTGCATATCATATGAACACTTAAGTGCCTACCAACCATCGTATGAAAAGGAACGAAATACTGCGAAAGTCACAAGACAAACCAGCCTGCGGCCGAAGCCTTTCGATGGGTTTTTACATGTAAGCCATCACCCGTGGTTGGGCGCCCGCGATTAGTAGAAGTCAACGAAGATAATATACATTGACGTTCTCAGCGCCATGGCAACGCCGGTATTCTTCTCCTGGGGACAAGCTCTATATATGCAGCTCCTCTTACAATTCATCCATGCATGTTGAGCTCAGACTTTTCATGCCTCAACAAATGGCATTCTGATGCTGCTGCTGTTTGGGCAATAGGGAGCAAGATTACGCCTCCACTCAGATTGGGATTAGGGTTTAGTACAGTATTGACTGAGTTGAGTTGGCCAGTCTCACAATATGTGGAGGCGGAGTACGCCACGAGAGTCTCGCTGATGCGCAATATGTAAGCGAGCTTTGTTGGCAACTGAGGTATTCTACAGAGAGATACGAAGCATTATTGCGTCTGTCTACGCGTTGTACTTGGGTACATGCCGTACAATGGTACCTACATAACATCATGCACACACTCAAAATACCGGTATGGAGCATTGGTGGGAGGCAGCCTGGCTGTGGGACCAGGCGGGTAAGGCTAGATAGAGCACGCACAGAACTGCAGCTCGGGCGACATTTGCATGCTGACGGCATATTGCCATGCAGGTGCAGATTGATTCACTTGCGTGCTCGGGGGTACAAGCACATGTGCCCTGCTGTCAAGCCAGGAGAATGTTTCACGCAGCACTCCGTACATGCTTCGTGTTATGATTACGAAATCAAGGCCGCTCTGGAATTGCATCCTGTCTCATGGGAGAAAACGCGGGATTTCGAATACAGTAATACCGAATATTAGCGGCGTCGACAAGTACAGTAAGGTACAATATAACGTCTGCCCGCTACGACGGGCGATGGCACAATCCGGCGAAGCCATGAGGGGACACGGGCAACCGGCCAAGACTAGAAAAGCCACATTGGCGAACAGGATCCAACGCTGGCTGAAGATTGATTACCGATCCTCTCGCACCAAAAGCAGGCAGAAATGCGCTCCAGAGGAACGGCGGCCCACTCGGACCTAGGGCTGTGTCTCTCTTGTCTCTTGTGGCTGGCTCCATGCGATGACTCTAAAACTCGCAGCCAGCCAATAGACGCCGCTTTGGGACTCGTGCTAGTTACAGCCCGTCATTGCAAACAGTACAAGCCCGAGTCTGCAAAAGTTGCAGCCACCGGCGAGTACCGGGCTCTCTTGGCAAATCAAGTCTGAAGTCCAGTAGCCGTTCTGGCAACGCCCGAGCACGGAGGAGCAAATCTAGATTTCCAAAGTTCCTGCCCCTCTCCCATCGCAAAGGGTTACCACTCCACACATTGCAAACACCCCTCGTGATCATCAGCGCCGGCATACAAGAATACCTACTACTACCACCTACTACTAATACCTACTTGCTGCGTTGACATACACAAGGCCTGCAGAGACTGCACAGAAACCTGCTGCGGCCCGCAATCTGACCAGCCGATAACCGGGCATCACGGAGCCTTCCTGGCACGGAAACAGCCGCAGAACGCTCCAGCAAACAATAAATAGGTGCATGGAGTTGCTGCATAACAAGCGCCGACTCTCGTTCTCTTCCTCTCTTCGCTCCGGCACTCTCGCCAACCACTCCCGTAACCACGACAACAACCCTCGCTCTTGGAATCTGGCAACCATGGGTGGCCTCCCAGCAGACAGTTTCGCCTCGTCCGTTCCGCGCACAGCGGTTCATCCGACCGGCACTCCGACGCCTCCTCCCGAGGCCATGTCCGAGCCGTATCATGGATATTCATTTCCCCACGACAGGCTGAAGCGTCGCCTGACACGTGCGAACAAGACGCCGCTGGTTCTTGTGTCTTGCGGCAGCTTTTCGCCGCCTACTTCGCTGCACATGTCCATGTTTTCAGTTGCCGAGAGTTATGTTGACCACACCGGATATGAACTGGTCGGCAGCTACATGAGCCCGTGCAGCGATACGTACGGCAAGAGTTCGCTGGTCCCGGCGCACCATCGCATCAACATGTAAGTCTAAATGCAAAGCCGCGCTCGCCGACCTGAAAGTTCTGTAATTAACGAGTTGTCGCGGAAATCAGGTGCCGACTTGCTATTGAGCAAACCAACAGCAACGCCATGATCGACGACTGGGAGACTTTGCGCCGGGATGAAGACGGCCATCCGGTCTACACTCGCACCGCCGACGTCCTCAAGCGCCTCGACGAGCAGCTAAACGATGTCCTCGGCGGCATCCAGGCCGTTGACGGCACATTTGTAAGAGCACGAGTGATGCTGCTGATCGGCGCCGATTTGGCCCTCACCATGAGCGACCCCAAGGTGTGGGCGCCCGCCGATATTGACGTGCTGCTGGGCTACTATGGCGCCTTTATTGTCGAGAGACCTGCCCTCTGCGATATCCAGGAAGCCATTCAGCCGCTGAAGAAATACAACGACAACATCATGGTTGTGCCGTCCTTCCAGAACGACGTCTCGTCAACCAAGGCCCGCGCCCAGATCCGCAACGGCGAAGTCGCACAGGACCTCCCTCGCTCAGTGTACGATTACATCAAGCTGCATCACTTGTACCAGAGTGCGCCGGCCAAGGAGAGGCGTTCCATTGATAAGACCGGAAAGTCGGAGCTGGACATGGTAGCACCGCGTTTGCCTGTCGCATCGCACCGGTGACACCGGTGATGCCTTGGACAATATTGTGACATTTTGCATAACATCAGAGCGTTAAGGCAGCATGCTCGTCCAGAAACTGGATGCAGCAAGTATACCCGCCGAGGCCTTGTACCATTTTCACCAGCGCCAGTCAAGCGATGATAGATGCTAGATCGCAGTATCATGTTTTTTTTTTCCATTTCCTCTGTTTTTTTTTCTGTTTAAGGATGTCTTGGAGTTTGGACTTTTTTCTTTTGTACTTTTGATATCACGCAGGCATTTTATGAGCTATGCCAGTGCTCTGCTTGCCATGTGTTTGGGCCCACAATCCTCTATTGGCATCATCCACCCAGATGGATTGCATTTTACAAAGGGCTACGAGGTGGGATCGAAATGAGGCTCAATAATGAAGTTGATGGAAATGGGCTTTGGGTATACGCTTGGGAATGAATACAGATAGCAAAACAGCCATGGAAGGGATCACGCGACAGGGCTGATGACTAGAAAGATTTATGACAGCATCTCTGCGAAAAGAGCGAGATAAACGGACATGAGGGAACGCTATTACTTTAGAGTTTTCGAGACTGATGCGGTTCTTGGGAGGGACGCTTTCATGATTTTAGAAGCTGCATGTTTTCTTTTTTCTTGTCTGTAGCCATGAAACTGGGCTGGGCGTCTGTATTGCCCTTTGCCCGTGTAGTAGTGCTAGTACCACGTCACTAAAAGACTACGGGCCAAGGGAATGTCGGATATACGGATTGCCCAAGCGAAGCCTCTACTGATCTCTTTTTCCTTGTTCTTTTCCGTTTAGTCCCCTGAAAGCTTGCGAATAGCTGAATGCTGCCAAATAAGTGACCCAGGGCGGGCCTCAGCGTATTTTGGTGACTGAACTCTTTGCGGTTTCCAAACTCCCCCGCATCTGCCTCCGGACATCTTTCGGCTTTCGGTGTCTTGAGAGACGATATACCCGGGGCTAATGAGGGACAAAATGAGCGATGTCGCATTGCGAGGAGCAACTCAAGACAGGGCTATTGGCGACAGAGAAATATGACTTGTATTGTTTGTGGAGAGTTAGGGTTAATAGGGCGTTTGGCTGCAGTTCTTCGTAGGTATTCATGATGCTGCTTGCTTGTGTTTAGAAGTGGCTACGAAGGAGCAGCCAAAGGGTATAAACTGTAAATAGAATACGCACACTTAATAAACGTAAGAATCACAGCGCGTAACTGGTAGCGAAAGCAATGAGAATAAAGGCAATGGATACCAATGTATATTACGGTTTAACAACTTTTAGGTAATTATTATTATTGTTCTGTCTATTACGCCTGCATGAACATTATGTCCCTCCATTCTTCCTTCTTCTATAAAAATATGCCCGAATCCCTCCTGTATTCCTTTGTGGCTTCCTCTTTTTTTCACTTCCTTTTCCTAATTCCCTCAGGTTACCGACTCCCTACCTGTGGTTTAATCCATTCATCATGTTGCAATATGTAAAGGGGTGCACTACCGTCTCACGTGTACGAAGCAGTGATATTATCCTAGCCGGCCATCCTAAATCGCGTGATGTTATCCGGCCTGAATTATGCTCAAGGATCTCCGTGCCGTGAACTCTTGCAGTCATTCTCCAAATGTCAATGACGTCGGATGGAAGTTCCCACTTCCAAGTACTCTCCCACTGGATGATACTGCCTTCTTCATCGTGTATGTAAGTGAAGATGCCACCGTATCCAAAGCCTGCATTATATAGTTCCATAATCGCTAAACTCGGCATATGGCGCGCGGCTCTTGCGGCTGCCATCAATAGGGATGGGACGCCGCTAGGATGCGGATTGAAGTTGGAAGAAGTCAAGGTCAGCGAGGTAAGTTTGGCCCATCCGACCTTTTCACCTGGACGCCGCGCTATCTCGGGCGCCGGAAAATCTGAATAAAAGTCTCCGAAAAAATCCGAGGCATCGATGATGAAGGACATTGCCAGCACCTCTGGCTCTTTGTCTTGGCTGACTTTCGCGGCCAGTTGGCCCAGAGCATGGCGGTCGACCCAGCGGCGTGGTCGATGACGGTCATATAATGATATGTCATCCTCAAACACTTGCAAGCGTCTAATCGAAGATGGCATCGCGTTCAGAATTTTCTTCATGGGCTCTAGACTCGAATATGGGAACCAGCCAAGCTCCCAGTCGGCAGAATCGTACACTGGCTCGAATGTGATGAACTCGAGCCGGGGGAGTGCTTTGACCAAACGTCCCATGTATTGTGCAAAAAAGCTGCTGTGAATCTGTCGACGTACGGTAAGGTCTGTGACCAAGTTCACCGTAGGAAATGGTGCTTCCACTACGAGTGGAAAACTAGAAGCTTCATACATGAACTCCAAATGTGAATTCTTTCGATAGATCATATCTTCTACCGACAATTTGCGCGTTTGGCGGACAGCAGATTTCTCGTACACGGCGTTTAATGCATCGCTATCCTCCTTAATGTTAACGTTTTCGAGTTCCTTTGGTACGGTGTCTTTCATGGAGTAGCGAGGGTCAGAGGATGAGAACGCGCTCAGCTCCAAAACAATGCCTGGCTGGCCTGCTTTCCGTTCACCCCATTCCGAAAGTATCTGAAACAAACAGTAAACTGCGTATGCGAATTGGAGTTGGTCTAGCCTTTTTTGCTCCTCAAAGTCTGTGTTGCCCCAGTCAGGGCGGCAATCTCTCTGAAACTGGAACCATATGAACTGGACGAATGGTCGACATCGATCGGTAATAAAATACTGGAACCCCTCCAAACTATATGGCGGTAACAACTTGAGACGTTTGAAGATGTAAGGCTCAAGGATCCGGTTCCATTCCTTGGAGACAGAGGCGTATGAGGCTGCTTTCCCACCTTGTAACGAGTCCTCCAAAGCCTCTAGGATCATTTCTCTTACTTCTAAAGGCAGATCTGACCAGCCGATCTTTGATGGTTGCTGAACCGGGCTTCGCTTGCGCTTTTGGCCGCGACATTTTTGTATGTTTCTCCGGCGCGCCATCGTCACTTTGCTTGGTGGTTGTCTAAATTTGCAGATAAGAGACACAATCAAGTTTTACTGCTGATAGGAAACGATTTGGTTCGCGAGTTTATTGAGAAAGTCGAATATGTGCACGATTGAACGTAAAGGGCAGTAAAGATGGCAATGAAACCTCGTAGCAAGATCGACATTGCGTGAATTTATTGGAAAGATTCCAGCCATCAAGGTTATGCGTGGCTGAAGACCTGAGAATCAGCCTCAAATACACTGATTGTACAATGGAGAAAATACTTGTACTTAAAGTTTACAGCTAATTGGACGAGGTATCTATTTATTGCATTGTTGGTAGCACCGGAATCAATTTTAAATGTGCATGTGGATCAAGCCTCAACTCTCGGATTTAGGTAGATACTCCCATCGAAGCTAGTACACGTATAGGTAGCTATAATTGCATAGATACATGGTTGTACAAACTCTTTCTTTACAGATAACATCGGTCGTCTGACGCTGTGTGAAATTTAAGTGCTGAATGCTTTGCTATATATACCATAGACTCGTGGACTTTCTGTTTCTAAATGCCTTGGTTTACATTTTACCTGTACTACTTAGTTCATCCAGGGATGAATGGCTTTGTGCTATCAACTTCACTCGGCCTTATAAACCACACCTCCACTCATTACGTTTCAGCGACTGCTCAACGCGATGACCAACTTAATGCAGTTGAAGACCGCTCCATATAATGCAGATGATTACAGAAATTCCTTTCGCAGCCTAAATGTAGAGGCTTATATCTCAACAATAGAGTTTTAAGGCTAGTCGATGGCCCTCCAAGCCTATCGCGACCAGTGTGGTCAACACCGCTACGGTGAAAAGTATCGCATAGTAACTCAGGCATTCAATTTTACTAGATGTTGTTATGAGACCTGTATATAGAACTAACATTCATTCTACTACTTCCACTTCTTCTCTACGAATGATTGGTGTATCACGCTTATAAAGTGTTCTTTCGTATCATGTGAGCCACATAAACACTCCTTAGCACGCGTAAATATTTAGTAGTCAGTGTCTCACATAGAAAAGTGTCTGAACGCGTAAAGATTATTCCACTTAATATGGCTGTGCTGGCTTCAAGCCACGTTGGATAAATCTCCACTTGTATTACGCGAAAACTGGTCAAATGCTAGAGGCCTACTGAATGCAAATACGAATTTATGGTATGCCCATTATGTCACCATATAGATACATCTCAAGTCTTGACAAACATGTATAAATGAACGTTTAATTCAAACTCATGAGAAAGCCAAAACAATGCACTAACTGACGTTAGCTGAGCGACATCGGAATTGAGGCCGGCGCTCACATATCGCTAACAAACAGAGAAATGCCCTTTATAAGCTTTTCCTCGCAAGTATCTGACGCCAAGTCTTAAAGCCCTAGGCAGCAGCTGAGGCTTCAAGTCTGGTGCTGACCTTAATTCGAGACGGTTTGTTGCACACCGCCTTGGCCTCCCCAACCTTCCACAGCTACGACCTGATAATTCAATGTCCCCAGATTCATGCCCAGCGACTTCCATGCATTGAAGTGATTGGCGACAGTGACCGTGCCACTGGACCTCTTGGAGTTTCGGATGGAGATGTACTGGTTAAAGGTCGCTGTGCCCTGAATAGAGGGCTCATTGACACGAGTATTCTCCCAAATCGTGTAGCTTGACCCGTCACTGGTGACGCTGCCTTTTACCGTGCCTTGGCTGGGATAGCCAAAGTTATCTTCCATGATGTAGTACTCAACAAGGGGGTTGGTGCTCCAGCCATAGACAGAAAGCAGGCCAACTCCGCTGCCGACACCAAAGTTGCCGCTGAATTTGATGGGGCTAGATCCGGGGGTGTTAGTAACGAGATGATACAAACAAGAGAAGAGCGGCAATGCTCACCTTGAGCCACCGGGCTGCCAGCCAACACCAACCTAGCTTTTATGTCAGCATCTCCGCTTGTCAATGGCATGCCGGAGGTGAACATACGACAAAGTCCTGGGGGTTGGACCAGTTGACAGCAAATCCAGTGCTTGAGTGTGTGTAAACAACATCTCCACCAGTGGTGTAATCCTGGTTGTAGTTGATGGTGGAACGGCGAACGTCGTTGTGACCTCCAAGAACAAAGTTGTGAGGTCCACGCTCGATCAAGTCAGTGTTGCGTTCCTCAACGGGAGCAGCCAAGGAGCTAGCAATGCCGGCTAAGGCAGCCAAGAGATGAGAGAATGCCACCATGATGAACTAGTATCTTCTTGGCAAAAGCGATGATGAGATGGTTTGAGATGGTTTGAGATGGATGAGATGGTTCAGAATTAAGCGGCTTGGCCATCCCTTTATACATCATTTTTCAGTAACTGCGCTCATTGGCGCGGCTACTCATCAATGGATAAGAAGACAACAACAAGAGCCATCTCACAGACAGGAATGTCGTCAAGAGCTTTGCAAAGTGTTGCAATGCGCTAGTACTGTTTTACCAGCCTCATGCGGATCTGGGGTGCGTCCGGTTAAGTACAGAATTTAGCCTGCAAATTAATTCGATCGATTTCTTGCGGAGGAGGTAGTATTCCAGTGGTCCGTTGATATTTATTTATATATGACACGGGATATTTTGCGGCACTTGCATGGGGTACATGGGTAAAGCTTTATATTATTACTGGGCAGACGTAATAGACGTGTGACCGTGTCTGAACTCTCCACACTGCCAGTCTTTCCGTGACGATTCCTTCTTTGTACATTGTTTTTAATGTGGATATCGTCAAGTTGCCTTACTATGCAACGCTTTGAAGTCTTCATAATAAATAAATATCCATATGCTCTGCATGAAGAGCTTTTTCAAGTCTACAGGTAGATAATTCACCTTAGACCTACCCATACAATCAACCGCCAAAGTGAAATCTACAAACCCTTAACATACTACCTGCTGATCACTAATATTGTGATATATAAAGGCCAAACTCATGGCTTTCGAATAGAAAACAGCCAGATGATGAGGTCTGGGAAAAGAAGCATAGATCTTAACCTTGTCTGTTCTTGGTCCCTCCAATAGGCAATCGTATCAATAGCCGCCCTCGTCGTATATGGGGTGTCACCGTAAGTGGAGCATACGCTTTGTGATCATGTAAATTTCTGATTATACTAGTACTTAACTGGGCAACAGCATCTTACCTGCAATATACACGCTACTGCTTCAGCTTCAAGCAAAGCCACGCCCTGATGCTGCCCAACGCAATTCACTGCCGTCTTTTCCGTATCCCGTCCTCCGTATCCCGTAACCCGCACTCTGTTTCCACACGGCATTTAGCCTGTGAAATAAGGTGCTTAGAATCCGTCCGCATTTACTACTCTATTCGGCTTGATATGGTTTGTAAACTCCTTCAACCCCGCATTTTATTCAAGATTCTCAAGACTCGACATTAAACCGTTAAATGATTCATTCATTGGAACACGTACCGATGCCCTGACAGCGGTTACCGCCACAAGGGTGTATTGCCTAAATAGAAGAATACTAGATGGAGATTACAAAGTCGCCGACGGAGCTTACGGCAACATGCCCATGTAATATGTCTTGCTTGCTCATTTACTTACGCTATATACTCAATGATAGCAATTACCTGACTTCAGTCAAGTTTACACTAGATACATTGTCTTTTTATTTTGCCATTACATTAGTAGCAGCGCTGATGCTGCTTACCTCTCGCTTTGTAAAAACTCATGCCTCGCTATTGGTTGCGTCGTATACTGGCGCGGATTGCGCTGCTCTTTCGACCATATTACCTGCGGGCCTTATCGCCTGTTAGGTTGGAAAGAAGTCGTTAGATTTCATATCGACTCAAGGTACAAGGCGAAGGCTATTGAATGTACTGGAAAAAGAGACAGAAGAGGTTAAAGCAGAGTAGCAATGCTCTTCTGCTTCCTTTTGACCGACGTTGGGCATTAATATACGATAGGGCTAGTGGACACTAAACTCACAGTTACAAGTAATATATTGTGTGAACAGCCATTCAAGTTCTAGCAGTGACAATGTTTCTTCGTAAGGTACTTGAAAGCGGCTGGTGATCTCAGGCTGATTGCTCTCGCACAAAACTTGGAACACTTTACGTTAATATCTTACATCTAGTTTTCAACGAGTTGTTTCTTCTTTGTGTCCACCCTGACGCTATCAAGCTGAATCCTGGTACATACTCTAATCTGTCTCTTACTTTTCACATTTTCCTGTTTTCTCAGCCTACAACTTCTACACCTGGTGGCGAAACTACTACAACATGCTGTGTCGTCTGCCTTGTGGCGCTGTGGATAAGGGTGTGTCCAACTATCTCAAATCAACAGTCAAATGACTGTTGACAACACCGTTTTTACTCACCAGGAGGAATACTGTTGTGAATTTTTGCAAGAGGTTTACACCATGTAGTATTGTAATCCTGGCCTACGAAACGCCCTGGTCCAAGCAGCTACTTGACTTGTATAATGCACAAGAGAGAACTTGGGATACAAAAGTACAATGTAGTATACTTCAAGAAGAATAAAAAAAAGTTGATTCTCTGCTGAATACGAGGCCGACGCTGATACGTGTAAGAAGTCTTGGTTAGAAACAGTATAAAAGTGAAGTTAAAACAAGACGTTGCTGGACACTGAGAGTCAGGTAGCTAATCATACTGAAACGAAATGCACGTAATTTGAATGGAAAAATGTGCGACAATAGCTCCATGACGACCTCAAAAGCGCAATTATTGAGGAGATTGATGTTATCTCATATAGATAAGCAATATGACATGACTTAAAGCGGTTGTGGTCGCAGGTCTCTCTCATCTCTTGCAGTCACCGTCTTGAATATCACAGCTACCAGTTTGTTCTTGTGCAATCTGCAAAATTTTCTATTGATCTCTCTTTAGGCGAATCTTCCATTGAGAGTACATCTGCTCTCAAATCTCAAGTTTCATAACCTTTGCTTGAAATCTTTTCAGTTGTGCATATTTTCTGTTCATGAACCATGAAGATTCAATCTCAGAACACAATGCGCGCTATTGATAGGTCTCAATAATCGTCAAATCCACTGTAGTAGGCAACGGTGTATCTTCCGTCAGTGCCCTGAACAACGCGTGCATAAAACTTTCCCTCTCCTTCACCACTGCTAAAGTCAATGGTAGCGCCCTCTCTAGTAATAGCATGGCGGTCGACAATCTCGCCTGGGACTTGTTGGCTCTCGGTGATGAAGAACTTCATCTTCGGAGTGATCTGGATACTCATGTCATTCCTTGGAGCAACCTAGCAATAGAAATCGAAATTAGTCATCTCGCCAGTTTGAACTAGATAGTTCAACGTACCGATGCAACTGGAGCAACCTGCCCTCGATTATTGACCTTTGCAAGACCAACGAGATATGTGTTATTGGGCACGGTGAAATCGTTGCCGGTTTTAATCTCGTAAGCGCCTGAAACGGCAGACGGTGGACCGATTTCCTCGATGACTGGGAAATTCTGAATGACTTTCTTCTCAAAGGTACCTGGGAAGGAAATATTATTAGCGCCAGTTGCCTCTTCACCTTCATGTGCAATAAACTTACTTCCAGGTACTGAAGTAGTGCCAAGGCGAGCCAGCAAGCTCATGCCGCTGTTTACAATAACTCCTGGAGCAGGTGCAGTGGGCACAGTGCCAGTCCCTAGTCAACATGATTGATTAGCATAGATTAAACATGAACGATATTAATAGTCACATGCGAACAGTATGCCGCAAGCAATATGCTACTTACATGCATAAAAGTCCGTGCCAGTGCGGAGTTCAAAACTTCCACCATTGGGAACAAACGACGTATACCAGACGTTCATGAAAGGCTGTAGCCCACCGGTAAACTCAGGAGAATCTATAAAAGTCGCATAGTTGGTGTTTGCACCGCGATTATTCTCAATGGAGATGGTGTAGGATGTAGACATTTTGATAGACTGAAAGCGGTTGTTGATCTAGTTAGTTTTTTAATGGTTGCTGTGTTTGCTGTAGAGATAACTAGAGAATGGTGTCTAGCGAACGACAGCATAGCTTGCTTTTATAGACGAAAGTGACCGGTTATTTCGAATTGTGTAGGTCTGAACATGCCGAACGTAGTAGTTGACTTAGCTGCCACAGAGGGCATCACCGATTCAGTGAAATAGTAGTAATAGCAAGCGATTTCTGAGTAATATCTATTTCTTTCTCCACTAGTACGCAGGGCAATATTATGTTCACAGTAATACGTGCCTAAAAGCTAAAAATAAGGCCGCAAGTAGCGGCCTGGCATCCAATGGTCGCTTCAAAAACCATCATACAGTGACGCAGCTACTGAATGGCTGCATGATAGTCGATGCAGGAGAGCCACTAACCAACACCAGCCGCTGGAAATATTATCGTGGCAAATCAAAGTGCTGCAAGGGGCGTCAGCCTAGTTGACAACCTGCAGCCGGTGAGCACAATAAGGCTTCTCCAGCTGCATCACATCCCCGCTGTGGTCAAACTACGGAATATGACAGCATATGATTGGATGTATTGGGTACCTTACTTTTCTTCCCATTAAATATTCCCTGAGAATATAGATGTCTCTAGAAGTTACCTCCAGGTGATCCGTCTGATGGTAACAACAACACAGAACATACCTTGATAGCCCAGAGGCAGCAAGCCTTTGGAGTGAAACTGCAAAGAAAGGCTACATGCAACCTCTCATGAATTGCACATTACATGTCTAGTAACCCACAGGTCCAATATTATCGATAATTGCAGCTGCATCGAGTAACATTGATGCGTATTACAGTAAGTACATACAGTATTACTCATACTAGTAATACCGCATATGTGGACCCACACAAGCATGCACGAATCAACCTATTACGATTAGTTCGTGTAAGTTTTCTCCGTAGGGGTTCAGTTCCCTGATTTTGATCCGTTTTAGCAGATATCAAACCAGGACTATTGCCTGGCGATCTGTGCTTGCTAGGCCTTATTTATTACAACATTGATTGTCTAGCTGCTCCTGTCAATTCTTAATATCAGCATACTGGGAAAATGGAGTCGGGTTTCTGGGTACATACAACATCGCATTAAACTTTCATGCGAGGCAGTCACTGCCTAGCGTTGGACTTGAAGAGGGACATATATAGTCTTTCTGCACTTCAACGTGGCACCCTGTGTAATAGTTAAGTCTTTACGATGCGTTACAAAATAACTCCCGTCATCAGAAACGTAATACAGGCGCTCGCACCTCAGCGCTTTCTCCTCATTTGTTAGTGTATTGTTCCATATGAGAGGCTTCAATAAAAGAATGCAAACCCGTCTAGCCTATGCCGTATAGTAGTATTATGAGAGAGACCTAAGACATTTACGTACGTGTATGAATATTATTGGACCAAGAAACACATATCACTTCAGCAGAGAGAGCTAAAAGCGCCACTGTCGTAGTTTGAAGCAATAATGCATATAGCTTTCCTTGTGTAGCATCTATCGAGAATGAGTAGCGCAAGCTGCTGACAGACGATTGGATCAGATGCTTTACTTTGGTAGATCAACGATGGAAATACCTTACATTTAGTAAAAAGGGCTTTGATTGCGCTATTAGGAGATGACACGTTCGTATGCATATGCAGGTCAAAGACAACACATAGAGTGGCGGATTGGTCGAGCAAGCGAGGCCTTCACGTAAGAAGGCAAAAGAGCTGAGAGAGTTGCAGAATCAATGTGGACGCAGAGTAAGAATCGAAGCTGCAGGACGTGACGCAGCTTTCGAACATTTAACAGCAAGATTTTACTTCCAGTATAAGGGTGGATACCTCTATTTGGTGCAGAATTGGAGTTAGCTGTAGTATAGCATTGTAATAAAATTTTTGAGAAAGTGAATCTACAGGAGAAGTACTTAGAGAACAGAGAGCCACCAGATTTAATGGAATTATAGATTATAAGAATGTTATAGAAAGCTAGATTGCTGTCGCTTCTGTCAAACTGTGTTTCTACGAAACTCTAGTAAAGCTTTAAAGCTTCGGTGTCGTTTTATCTAGTAACATCCACCAACCTGATCGTGGCTGAAAAGTGTCATATACTGCCTTGTCTTCGCTTGTGGTTGCTGTCATGCCTATCGAACCGGCTATTACAGTGGTGTCGTATTCAGTCAATGTCGATGTATCAATAACTTTGATCGGTACCTCGACCACAGCTTTTGGTACCGAACCAGCTCGAATGATGGGAAAAACAACATCATCAATGACCAATCTCTTCCTATCTTCAGGGTTTTCACCATCAAACAGGAACATCGGTAGCTTCTCGTCTGTGTACCGATCGACTTTTGTGCCTTCGCTATCCCAAAAGCAGAAAGCGGTGATCCATCCCGACAAGGACTTCAAACCCCTTCCAGAAGCCTCTGCACCGGTTTGGTGCACTGCCTTCATCCAGAAGTCTTTGGTAGTCTGATCATCTGGATAATCATACGTCTCAATCATTTTTTCGACCACTTTGATGAGTAGTTTGCTCCATTCCTCAGGTTCATCGCCAAATTCAGCAAGCTTGGGTAATCTCTCGAGGAGACTCACCCAATCTTCTCTCTCTCCAAGGAGAGTAACGCTTGGAAAGCCACAGCCCATTAAAACAATGTATTCGAAATATGCTTTTGTAGTTGCCATCATAACCATTGCGGCCACACTGACGTCGTTGATAGTACTGGTACTAAAATTCGGGAGCATCCAACTTGCAAGCTCTGGATCGATCACATTTTTCTGTATTAATTGAGAGAATAAAACCGCAGCGTACGCCACATCCAAATTTTCCATGGTCTGTGGCGTTAGGTCGACTATTAGTTTTTTCTGGCCTTCATGCGTGACAAAAAGGTGTCTCAGCTCCTCAGCGTGGGCATTAATATAGAAGCTGAGCTGAGTCGTAATAGCCAGCCATATATCATCAGGACGAAGTACAAGATGTAGATCTTGCTGAAAGGCGCGGATAATGCCTTCGATCAGACCACTGCCGTAGGGAACCACTTTACTTTCAGGATTTTGATCAACATCGGTGAAGGAGTCGTGCAGAATTTTTCTTGATTCGGGGCCTATTGGCTTGTTTGTGTGCACATCCTTGGCATGCTCTGGAGAGACTGTCCAAGACCGAGACGCAGTTCGAAGAAGCTGAGCAGATGAGTGTGCCGTTTCATCTTGATTCGAACCGACGACTTCTGGGTTTGGTCTAGTTACCACATGCGCGTTCGATAATCTTCTGAAGCCACTTGATGTCTCTTTATTGTTGGTAGATTGAAGAGGCAGAGGTTGAGATGAAAGTGTTCTGTTGAGTTGGTAGCTTGCTAATGCTGCAAGTAAGACACAAGCCAGTACAGCCTCCCAGCTGAACCACATGTCGTCGCGGTTTATTCCGCTTGTTTCGCGAGATTTAGTGACCTTTGACATTTCTACTCGTTGAGGAAGATTGAGAGGAAAAAAAGAGAGGCCAAATTGCGAAGCTTATATACCTTTAATAGCCGCATCGTAAAGCAATAGCCTATCCGTCACAACATGAAATCTGTCCATGCCAAGCATAATAGCGTGGGGCATGGCAACGGATACGTGTCATGGTATATTCAAGGCTGAAGGCAATTAAACACTCGTATTCGACTAACCTAGGGAGCATGCCGAGCCAGACTAGGGTAGCTTAAACACAACTTTAACACTAATACTGAGGCCCCGCCCTCCGGTATGAAGCTGCTTATCCTTCATTTGGCTAGTAATTCTTTCAATCCTGTGATCCATAAAGTACACATAGTAGATGGCGTCTCTAGATCAGATATAGTAAAAAATAGAAGTTTGCTTACTATCACAGATCTATAAAGTCTGTTCATCGCTATATAGTTTGCCAAGAATTCTGTTGAGGTTCTCGTGTCGCTTTTTGCGTATTAATTCGCAGGTCGCAGGCCTCGTCTCCGATTTGCGTATCTCTGAGTCTTCCTTTTTAAGAAAAGAATAATAATATTGTATTTCACGAGTCGTGAGTCGCATACAAGTACTTCTTGTCCACTTAATCCCTGCTGGCCTCAATTTGAGCTTTGTGAATCGCCAAAATCTCAGCCTCCTCCTCGAGCGTCTTGATAGCAGCGGGACGAGCGTCGATAAGCAGTTTCCACGCAGCCAGTTTTTTGAGATGGCTAATATCCACGCCAGAGCGACTGTTCCAAAGAGTGCCCCATACATATGCATCGGCTACGGTGAGATTTTCGCCACACAAATAAGAACGACCATCTGCGAGTTGGTCTTCCAAGAGTTGGTATGCTCTCAGCAGCTTGTCGGAGTTGAAACGGACGCCTTGCTCGGTCATCAATTTGCGCATGAGTGGGATGTGCTTCTGCGCGATCTCAGTTGCGAGCTGAACAAGGAACTGGTCGGCCTTTGCACGGTGCAGAGTACCGGGTGGCGGGAGCATGCCAGATCCTGGGCGCTGATCGGCCAAATATGAACAGATGATGATTGTTTCAGATATTATGTCGCGATCTTCGTTGTCAAGTTGCAGAACAGGTACGTAAAGTAGAGGGTTGATTTGAGCAAAGTCTTCCCCGTTGGATGTACTCTTGCCAAAGACGTCAAAGTGGACGAGCTCATGTTCAATGCCAAGTTCGTTAGCAACAAGCTGAGCAGCTCGTGAACAAGTATCATAGGCAATATATAACTTCATTGTATAACGCTACTGTTGTCAAATTCTGAAATTGAGGTTGAGAAAAGTGAGCACGCAAAATTAAGAGTGGCTCTTATTGAGTTTCCTGCTGAGTTAAGGAATTAACAGCAACTTATATACATTTGGACGAGCTACCTAGATACTTGCTTCTCGCTCATTCTATCAACACCTATTCGCTTCTTTACGACATGCAATAGTCTTTGGCAACTATTTGCAAACAACGCGGAGAAACCGTCAGTGAAAGTGGACTAACATTGTGGAGTTTTCACTGTGGCGGACATAGTCTTGAGTTGCCGGGCTGGCGCTAGCAACTCCGGCAAGAATTTGCGGCGCATAGGACGAAGTTTTGCTGCTGCCGGTACCCACTGCTCGCGCTTTTTCGTAACAGTCTTATGGTAATTTAGCTAAGCCTCTACAATTTCGTAAGCAAGCGAAATAGGATGCGGTAAGAAATTGCGGAGAGTGGGCGGTCACTCGTTGTTATACACATAGCAAGGTAAGAATCATGGTCACAAAACCTGAACAATTCTGCACACTGCTGTAAGCGCAATATTTTGTGATTGGTAAGCTAGTAATCAAGAATATCTTCAAATCTTCAACTTCTTTGCCAAATACTTTGAGCGCCCTAATATCACAGAAGTAGAGAGCATCTGCGATAATTGGACCGGGGAAGCTTCTAAGTGTGAGGGCCAGCATACCATGCTGTCTCTTCATTATTGTTACTGACTACCTCGTTATTTGTTAAGCCACAGCTAGGGTGCTGAATAATATTTCCCTTTACCATGCCATTCTTCCTGAAGCCTTCCAACCTGGGCCGCGTTTGGCCGCCCGTCTCCTCAAACAAAACGCTAAATTAACACAGATATATTCCCAAGCTGTAAGGGCGTCGAGGATTTTATGTTCCATACCAGCAATTTCGTCTCCATAAATCTCGTCACGCCTCACCTTTCAGGTCCGCTTGGCTGCCACTCTACTACTGCCTCTTGTGGCCCTATTGCATGCCATCGCACATAAACGACATACATCGCCTAATCCCGAATCATGGCCCTCTCCTCTCTTCTTCTTAACGTAGCTGCTATTGCTGCTATTGCTAGAATCGTTGTTATCATTACTAATCATTGGTACCATCACTACTGCCATCGTCGCTATTGCTGATACCGAGTTTAGCTCTGTGGAATACTACCATACCATTCTTCCTGAAGTCGTCCGACCTGAGCCGCGGTTGGCCATCCCGTGTCAGACTCAACGTCCTGTAGCAGCTGTACTACAGACCTTCGCTCCCGTGGATCTTCCAAGCATTGCCCTGCCAAGATGAGCGGCTGTACGGAGTGAATTCGAGCAGCGCCGCCTGGCCGGCCAGCCGCAATCCCGCATATTTTTACACAATTATCTCTTATATCTACCAGTCTTTCTCGGTAGTCTTTCAGTAGCGTGAGGGGGTTTGATTGATCGATCGGTTTGGCAAGAAGTAAAAGGACGCGGGCGAAATGGTAATACGAAAGAGTGGCCGCAGATACCTGTGTTGGAAAGAGAATTTCGTCGAAGACTGGCTCTTGAGGGCCTTGTGGGAGTGTTAGGTGACTGGAAAGCGTGTAATGAGAGTATGGTTCAAAGTTGGCATCCAGCTGAGAGTGCCAATTATCTAAAGCACCCCAAAGATAGAACCAGCTATTGCGCTCAGTGGTTTTCATGGCGCGATCCCCACTGCTGGGGGTTGTCGTAAACTGGTCGATGATGTTTGTTATTAGAGAGAATAGTCGCACCCAGGGTGTCCTAGACATGGACGTGAATTCAGCGCCAAAGGCATCGTCATTATTCCCGACATTGCCATAGGAAGTGTCAAAGTTAAGTATTGGTATGCGTTTTTGATCGTATGAATTAAGGAGGTCGAGGGGCATGCAGAGCCAATAGCTGGCTAGAGCAGCGGGATTCAGAGGTTGTTTGAAAGGCGGAAAGTAGGATTTTGTCGTAGAAGTAGACGTCTCGTTCGGATATCTCGCTAGCTTACTCTTTACATCGTGTATCCGTCTAAAGGCCGCTGTTAGCTTTGTTCATTTTGTTTACTTGTGACCGGATTTTGATCTTGTTTGATATAGGGAAGCGTTATCCAGCACCCCGATTTCATTATCCAGCACTTCATTTGTACTAGTACCATAGCATTGATAGCGACAGTAACAACAGTAGCGTCCATAGCAACAGTAGCAGTAGCTCAGGTGCCGGATAATAGAATAGGGGTACTGGATAACTTTTTCTTGATATACTTCCATCAACGACATTGGTGAAGTAAATGGAGCTCTTCAAACAACACGGAGGAGATGGATACTCACGTGTGGAATTCATCGTAGTTCGAGTCAATCAATTCATAAACGGTCAAGATAGCACTGCTTGTCGTTGCCACATCTAAAACACCTGGCGACGTATTGCCAATCGCATCGTAGAGTTGTGACTGCTGCTGAGAGCTTGCTCGATGATAGTAGTTGGCAGCTTTGAATGCCCAGTCGACGTGACCTGCGCTGGGATACATTTCTGTCAAGGCCAACGTGCTCCGTAAGCCGCAGTTCGTGGCTCGAAAGCCAGCCACATGACTCAGATGCTTAGCTGAAAGCGCTGCTACTGCATACTTCAAGGCAGGGTTGGTCCCAACGAGGCGAGGGATGCGAGTCTGAAAGAAACATTTCTCGTCGAAAATGCCTAGCCTGTTCCTGGTTAAAAGGGGGCCAAAGGTAAGTAACGATACTAAAGTGGAGACATACCACGGGGCCAAGTTGTCAACATAATGCCGAAGAAGGAAAACAATCTCTTGCTCGCTCTCGAGCATAAACTCCGAGGCTAGGGCAGCAAGCCCCAATTCAAACTCGCTATTTGAATTAGAAGAGAGCAATCCCGGAGATGTCTCCGGAGCTGGTCCGGAGGTTTGGAAGTTGGCGGGTAGATTGCCCACACCTGCTTCGTGAACATTGTTGTTGCCGCCGAGATCGAAGTGAAAGTCCACTGGTAATGATATGGACGGATCCAAGTTCTGCAACGCAGTTTCTGATGCTTTAGGAAAGTCCAAGGGAGAGATATCCAAAGATTCTGTCCGTTGGATTGGCAACGATGAGCTGCTATGGCGAGATTCTATGATAGAATCTTCCTGTATCGTGGAGGTATATTCAGTCGTATCAGCGTATTCATTGGCGGGCTGTATCTTTGTGGATCGAGAAGATTGCCTTTTCTGTCTCTTGTGAGGCAGTTTGGACCCATTGTTGATAAATTTCCAGTCTTCATTGTATCCGGGACATTCATGTTTTGCAGACACGCACTGCTTGCAACTGGGTCGTGTACCATCACACTGATGTGCTATCAATTAGAGTATTGTCCACGACGGCGGCAAGACCACCAAGGAAATCATAGACACGAGAGGCACGTACTTTGATGTGCCGCTTCCTGCATCGTTGGCAGGCTGATCCGGGGGACATTGCCGTTCGCAGCAAATGTGCGTATGTATGGATGTATCACTCAGTCCTACTCCGTATACTATGTCCGCCTGGCTCAGGTAATACGAACAGTTGGGGACTCGGGAGTGTTGTTGGCGACTGGCAATGGAGGATGTTACCCGTTGAGGCAAGAAATCGACCCTTGAATTAGGTTATGGATTGAGAGGACATGTAGTAGTTTCATTGATGTCACATGAGGGCAGCAAAAGCAAACGGGCAATTTACTTTCATCTAGTCTCATCAATCACTCTCGGAAGGCTGGGCGGGCTAATATCGGGAGGATGACGTTGCTTCTTTGGGTTAAATATCCCGTCCTTTCTCCTTTCGGCAAATGCTGCTAAGCCAGCCGTACATCCTCCCATTCTTTCATTTGCCTCTCCATGATATTGATCCTGCCCATTATTACTGCAACAAACGCCGCTGCCTTATTCATGTCATAATACCACATTCTAACAGTGAATTTTTAATCTCTCGTTGCCATTTACTGCCAGGAAAGCGCCATGGCGGAATCCTCCCACTCTCTCGCCAAAAGACGGCGCACATCAGCCTCAGAGACAAACAAATATCCCATCATCGCTGGTTATAGAATCGCCACTTACGCATCGCCAGGAAAACAACTGACAATGAATGAACAGAGAATAATATACCATGCATGGAAGAGTGAGTGTCATCATTTCTTTTTCATTTTTACGGCGAGTAGATGAGACTATGCAGTTTCGAATATCCCCAGTACGATGTTCCTGATTTGTAATAGCCATTCGCTCTTTCAACAGCAGTTTGATGCCAAAAGCTATCATAGCTATGACTACGTGTTAATGGGAATCTGAACGACTGACAATTTGTAGAAAGCGGCTCACCACACAACCCGCTGTGCTATACTTGCCGCAAGCCAGGCAGCATCTTACTAGATTGCGAAGCCTGTTGCCGATCATACCACCAAACATGCGTTCCGGAGCTATCGGAGAGGAAAAAGGATTTTTATTGCGACGCATGCGTTAAGAGAGGCTGGCACACTCATCCTCCATCGTTTGAAAATGAGAAACTGAACCCGACTCATCCAAAAGCTATGAATGAGGCTGTGCAGATGACTTCAGTCAAGTTTGAACAAGTCAGGCCGGTTCGAGAGACTTCCAACAGTGCTGGCTCCGAGAAGACGAGCGATAAATCCGATTTGGACCAGCCATCACCTGCCTCGGAGCATGGTAAACTACCAAGTAGCGGACATGGCGACGTTATGCGCTCTCTTCAGAGCCTTCGCGAAAGGGTCACAATGCTTGAGAAGGAAAATGAAGCAATGCGACTCAGCTCAAGACCCAAGAACCCAAAGAAGCGCGAGTTCAGCGACTAATGAACGGGTTTCAAGAGACTTGTTGCTCTAGAGTTAGCGGTTAGAGAGCTTGTAAACTATTATACGGACTATTGGGCACGGGGATCTTTTTGTTTCTTTTGTTCATTTTTCTTTTCGACTTAGCGAGCTATTATTAACAGCAATTTGACTTTATTTTTGTATCATATTCCATATATCATCCACTAGGTACTGTGTGAACGTTTGATGAATACAATACTTTATATGATGCATCCTTCTTCTAAAAACAATTGAAATATGTTATAAAATTGTTGATATCTTAAACTTCTCGTGCCGTGCTACCATGCCCTCAATACTAAGCAAGGCTGACTTGCCCTTTTTCGGGCCAAGCTTCAAGATACAGCAGTGCTGTAGTCTGTCGATTTGGAATCTTTGCCCTTCTTGAGGACTCTTTTATGGCCATGTAGTGACGTCAACGTATCTCTTCCAATGAAAAAGGCATGGAATGATTTGGATCTAGCGGGCAATATTTCCGAATTCGGTATATTGCTGAATACCAACGAGCATTTTCCCATAATGGAATGGATTCAAACCTACTGCAAATGGCTAGCCCGCTGACTCCCACCGAAGCTGACGGCCTGACAGCCGACGCCCGAGGATCTCTACCTAGCAGCGGAATGCAAAGAGCATCTAGCCACTTATCCCTCGGCAAGACATCTTATCTCGATGCTTACCAGCTTAAAGAGCTCCTCGAATAGGCTTAAGTAATACTTTGATAGCCCCTCACGTTTGAGTGCGATCCCCGCTGTAGCTTAGCGCATATCCCACCATAGTTTTTAAGTATACAGTAACAGCTTCGCTTTTACCACAAGGCGGGATCGCCAGAAATGCCAAATTTGGCTAAATTGGGCGAGGTATGACATTATGGGGCGGACATGCTTGCATCCCGCTGTATACACGGGCGATTAAACTTATCGTGGAGTTGAAGAATACAAGATAGGAAGAAAAATGTTATCATTCGTAAAGTATAAAGCACCGATGATTCAACCCGATGATTCAACTCATGAAAACCCAAAAATTCATTCAACAGCCTTCTCAACAGCCTTCTCAACGTCTTTCACAACAACACAACATCAACCCAGAGATTAGGAACAACTACCAAGGAAAGCGACAACCATTTGCTCATTAAAATGTCTTCTAGCTTTGCAACCCTCCCAAACAGTAGGAAGTCAACTCCGACTCCCTTTACTGTGGCAATTCCAGAAGAGCAACTCAGCGACTTCCGAAAGCTTTTAGAGTTGTCGAAAATTGGCCCAAAGACGTATGAAAACGAATTAACTGATGGCCGGTTCGGCATTAGCCGCGACTGGTTGGTTCAAGCCAAAGAAGAGTGGCTGAAATGGGACTGGTAAGCAACCATAAGACAACTGAGATTGAGTCAGTTCACAACTAATGAACTACGTAAAGGCGTGCCTGCGAAAAACATATTAATAGCTTTCCCAACTTCACTCAGCCTATCAAAGAGAACGGCGATGTTTTCAACATTCATTTTGTCGCCCTGTTCTCCCAAAAATCGGATGCGATCCCGCTGCTCTGCCTGCATGGGTGGCCAGGCAACTTTTTGGAATTCTACTCTATTTTGCGTATCTTGACTGAGAGATACACTCCCGAGACGCTTCCGTATCATATTATTGTCCCTTCTTTGCCTGGCTACGCCTTTTCTTCTCCACCACCACTCGCAAGAGATTTTCAGCTTCAGAACATTGCAAGTATTATGAACTCATTGATGATTGAGCTGGGATTTGGCAGTGGTTACGCTGTACAAGGAGGCGATATTGGCAGCAAGATTTCACGTGTCCTAGCTGCAACTTTTGACACGGTAAAGGCCGTTCATAGTAAGTTGAGAGATAAGCTGAGTTAAGAGTGCGCGATACTAACATCCAGCGCAGTCAATTTCTGTATTATGCCTGAGCCAGAAGGTGTCAAGGATAGCGACATTAGCGAAATTGAGAAGCAAGGCTTGGAGCGATCCAGTACATTTAAAGCATTTGGCTCGTCATATGCTCTCCAGCATGCAACCAAGCCCAGCACAATTGGACTTGTGCTCGCTTCAAACCCGATTGCGCTTCTTGCATGGTAAGTTCCATCGAGTGAAGTCAATCCAATTTTCACGCGGCTAATGAGATGACTATCTTAGGATTGGCGAAAAATTTCTCGCTTGGACAGACGAGAATCCTCCAATGGACGAGATTTTGTCTTCGGTTACGCTTTACTGGCTGACTGAGACATTCCCGAGATCCATCTACCCATACCGACAGGTAAGCATGCTTTCTCCGAGCAAAAGTGAAACGGTCTCTTACCAGATCAATAGCTGTTTACCCCCGGACTTATTGGAGCTCATGAGAATCCTGAGTGGTACATCAAAAAGCCTTTTGGATACTCATTCTTCCCGAAGGAGCTTGCACCAATCCCCCAGGCTTGGGCTAAGACAACTGGAACTCTGGAGTTCTATCGTCAGCACGAGAGTGGCGGCCATTTTGCTGCCATGGAAAAGCCTGAGATTCTGCTTGCCGATGTGGAAGAATTTCTCCAACAGGTGTGGAAGCCGCGAATTTAGTGTTGGACAACGGACTGGTTTGTGACATTGCTTTACTCCTTGCGCTGGATTCTATCAAAAGTTTGGGCAGCGATAATAGTATTAACGAGTTGTAACGAGAATTATATAATATTTAGCATGAAACGAAGATGATTAAATTCAACATTCCACGTATGCACTCTTTAGAGACAGTTTTCTCTTTGCTTATAGTTTACTTGAAGACTGCAACAGACTTCTCCCATATCACCCGCTTATCCGTTTCGAGGCTGAAATATCCGCATCCCATCATACCCATACACTACCCATCGGTCTCTGATTTCTTATGGATCGTGTCTATGTTTGCTGAGCTAAACTCGGGGAGAAGGTTTAGCTCGCCGTGGATAGCAATTACATTTCGATTGAGCGCATTAGCGACTCTTTGTCCTATTATAGCCAAATGCTGCCCGCCAATGGTATTGGATCGGCGCCGTTGCATGAGAACAGGTAGATTGGCTTCCCTACTTGTTGCGGGGAAAATCCGGCTTGGTGGTCTATGTTATATCGTACTGTTGGCAAGATAGTATCTTGCGCCACGTTCTTTGCAGTATCTTCCCAGAATCCTTCTACGGTCGCACCGTTCTGGACCGTATTTCTCCATCCAAGCAGCCTACCACTGTCGTCGCCGTGAGTCATGAACCCTTGGAGACCTGGTACGCCATTGATTGAATCAAAAGAAGCAACCTGGCTTGTCCACGGCGGTTGTCCTCCAAGACCATTTAGATGAGGGCCTTCTTTAAACGTTACTTGCAAGGGGCCTAGCGGCTGCGACAGAAAGCTGTTGATTCTTCCCGAGTCATCCGTGCCAAAGATGCCGCTATGCCCGGTGAGATTGACATGGTTGACAGGATCGTTTAAACAGTAAGCATAAGGGTTGATCTCTCCAGGGAGAAACGGACTCCGTTGATCTGGGCTGTGGAAGCGCATTAATACGGGATTGTATACGCGGCATCCATTGCCAAGATGGTACCAGCCAGTTATAGGATCTTTCCACTGGCCGTTAAAGCCGACAGAGTCTGATGTGCCATATCCGTAAGGCATGTACTGTTGCTGCTTGATACTATTCGATTTCCGCGTATCAAACCATGCCAAGATTGACTGATGGCTATCTGTAGCCCAGAGGCGTATCTGAGAGCTCCCAATTTTTTTCGTTGTTATTTGACCCCAGCACGTTTTACCATCAGACAAGAAACTTATTTTCTGATCTCCGCTCGTGATAGCGACAAGGCTGTTACCCCGGTAGTGGAGATAAGTGTTCAGTAAGCCTGCTTTTTGGCAAACTAGTTTGCCGCTCGCATCGTAATAATATTGGCTCAATACCTTATCCTTAGCATCAGATACCATACTCAAACGACCTTTAGCATCGTAATTGAGCTTGCGGCCTCGTTCATCTCGTACCAAACACCCGTTTCTATTATACGCCAAAGCAACTTCGGTCGCATACTTCTTATGCGTATTAGTTATCTTGATCAATTGGGTTGGATTTTCGGGATTATAAAAGTAGCTGCGGGTGTTTTGAGATCGGTCCTCAAAAGTATTCACAATCCTTTCTAGATTGTCATACTTGTCAAAGCTGAACTGCTGTCTTGAAATCTTTTGCCCTGCTTCGTCCATCATTGGCTGTGCTCCCCGATACTTGTAATCGATTAAGCGGCACTGCTGATCGTACTCAAAACTCTCTTCCCTCAGCAACTCATCTTTGCCGCTTTGTAGAATGCGATTTGTGAGAAGGTTCATGTTGTTAAAATCCTGTGTTAACTGGTAGAGCAATGCATTTCCTGTATAGATGATTCGCCCAATTTCTCTGCCAAACTCATCATATTTGAGATTCATTTTTAGGCTTTGTTTCTTCACATCATCAAAGCAACATCTCTCAGACAAGCGGTTGCTCTTATCATAGGCGAATGTGGTCCTAGAGTCTCCTTGCATCACCTGCTTTGGACGGCCAAATTGGTCGTACTGGATTTCCAGCTTTTGACCATGCACATCTGTGTAAGTTCTTAGCTTGCCCGCCATTGAATACGTAGACTGTGTTGAGAATTGTTTCTTGCGGTCAATTTGGGTTTTCTCTTTTGCCAAGAGACCGGATGGTAAATACTCTCGTACTTCGGCGACGGACGAGCCTCTAAGGGCCAATAAAGCTGATGATCTTCGGTCATAGTGGTATGACTCCAGCTCATCTTTACTTTTCACGCTGGTAACAGCGTAATTTAGAGCAGGATCATAGCTCATTTCCAACTTATCCCCCTGAGCTGTCCGAACGGTAGCTGGGCTTGGCTCATTTCCATTATAAGTCATTCTAGTGGTATTGGTGCCCAAAGTTAGGCTCGTTATTCGGCTTGATCCGTCAAAGGATTGAGTGCCCATAGTATAATCGCCAATTTTGGTTGATACTGGCAAGACAGACATGCTATGAGCCGCGTATTGAATGGAGATTTTGCGACCAGTTGGATAAGTAGTCTCAACTAGCCGGCCAAAGCCGTCCAGCTGATATGTCGTGGTATTTTTAGGGTTGTTCGTCTCTTCAACGAGGCGTCCCAGCCCATCATAGGTATAGTCAACTTTCTTATATGCGTTGCCATCGCTTTTCAAGAAGACCTTTCGTGAGACAGCGCCAAAATCATTGAACTCGGTTTTAGTTTGACCTTCGCCTTGAATACCCTCGACATGAGTCATAGACACGGGATTCGTTTTTGCTAAAATGACCGTACCACTACTATCAGTCATTCTGCAGAGGCAATCCCAGTCATCATATTCCAATCTTCGTTCGTTGCGATGTTCGATACTTTTATCGCCTTCTTTTAGCCAGTCAATGCTGTTTACCACTACACACTGCCCGAGTCCATTATACTTTCGCTCTTGAATAACGCGGAAAGGTCCAAGTGCTCCAACAGAATCATCTTGTCTCTCAACACGACATATTCTTCCCAAACCATCTGTGTGGTGGCGTGTCTGAAGGCCCTGGAAGTCTGCTGTCGTTATAGTGTACCCAGGTCCCCCTTCTGTGACAGTATATTCATTCTTCATGACCGCCTCGTAAGGCTTGTTTCCTGGAGATACCATGTCTAGGGTTATTCTGCCTACCTTATCATATTGAGTATATCTTTCAATTCCATTTTTGTCTGTGCGAGAAAGAGCAAAGCCGGTGTTTGTCGAGAGTATTGTATCGCTTTGCTCAGTATGATGATCGTAAGTGGTAATACGCGTGGTTTTCTTGAGTTGGCTGGCAGATAGATTCGAGTATTTCCAGGTATATTTCGTTTCATACTTCCCCTTCAAACGTACAGTCTGTTGTTGGAGCCGCCCATGGTGATCTGTTTCGTCTTTCTCATTCATATACGTATTCCTCACGCTGATCAAAGGGTAGCCCTCTTCCAACCTTTGCATTTCATGGACGGCGACATAATAGCCCACAATGGCTTTATTTAAAGTAGGTAGCTCACAATAGTTATATATAATACTTCGAATGGGAGCTTGTTTGAGGTCTGATATGGGTGTGGCTATTGATGTCGGTGTAATCTTTTTGCTTTTTAAATATCGTTGAAACCCGTTGGGATCAGCTGGGCAGAAGCTCTTCTCGCCACCTGCTGGGAAATACATACAATCGATCCGAATACCAGACGGCTCGGTCTTTTGGACAATATTTCCCCAGTCGTCATAAGTATATTGTTTCGTTTCCGTACGCGAACTTCCATCGGCATTCGAGTAAGTGGTCTGTACTTTCCTCGGTAACTGACAAGTAGCAGGTTGATGTTGAAACGAAGCATCATTCAACGTAGGATACTCAATATCTGTAGTAAGAAGATCTTTGCCTCTTTGTTGTCGAATGCGGATGAGAAGGTGGAATTTGTTATAGATATACTTCGTCTGTCGCCTGCCGAGTGTTTTTGTACTGACTGAGTACTGGTAAATATTACCCGCTCGATACAAGTTATCTTCTCCTTGCCTCCAATCCGGAACACCCTTGTAACCAAGAAAATTCTGATCTGAGTAGCTATACTTGGTGACCATGGGCGGCTGCAAATTTCCTGGCCGAAGAGTATGTTGGATTACACAAGGTATATATTGATAGGACCCTTTACTCGGCATTCTATGGCCCTTTTCCTGGTATTCCATTTCTTCAATAAGTCCAATTGGACTTTTCACTTTGATAAGGCAAGTTACTTTCTCGAGCTTTCTATAAGAAAAACTCCAAAAACCTTCTCCTAGTGGCAACAGGAGTTGACCTAGCAGTTTGGCCCTATTTTGGATGAGCGTCAATGTGCTCGTCTCAATGGTACCAGGAGCTCGTATTACTTCTGTCTTAGAGTTCGTGTACTCTATCTGAAGTAGCACTCGTGACTTTTGTTGAATGGTTTGAAGCCGTGTTTGTCCTTCCACTTGAGTCCAAGATAGCTGAAGGGAGCGTCCATTGGGAGCATGAAGCTCGATCGGCACTGCTTCATTAAATTTATTATTGTTATGAGACAAGACTTCGATTATGCCACTCTTATGAATCACATGATAGTCAGAGCCTTTCTTCTTGAACTGAAAGTTCTTCAGCTTTTGATCAACCACTGTTGCTGAACTTCCTGCCTCTGCGACTTGAAAATGTTCCCCCGTGGACAGTATAAGAGTGTTCGAAGCTCGACTGTACGAGGGAAGATTGAATTTCCAGCCTTGTCCAAAACCAATGTCGTGGGAGTTCAAACAATTATAACGCAGCGAAAGTTGTAGAGAAGGACAGTTCAGTGCTTCGCTTGGTGCTTGATAGAGCTCCAAATTGCGCCAGTATAAGCCGGTTCGAAGGTCTACCCCATCCTGATTTGGGCCGCCAAAGTTGAAGACCTGGGAGTACAGAAGTTCTTGGACAGACATAATGTTATTGAGTCATTGAAGCCGTAAAGTACGGCTCTAGCAGCGCGGACGAACAGAATGATGGTGGACACCGCTGTATGCTCAATTTAACGCGCCCGTGTTAAATAATAGCCTTGCGCCAAATGAAGAAAGAAAAGACATCGTTATTCGTATAGGATGTGGGAAATCCGACTTATGGCTTTCAACAATAACTTGCATGGACGAGAAACTTCCTTGTAATCATTATGACAATCTTTCCAGGGTTTTACTATGAGCTGAAAGTGAGAGACTAGCCAATGAGTACAGCGCCAGCTTGACATTGTGCAAGCTGAAAATACACCATCAGTAGACAACTCAACGGCCTGTGAGAACATTGATAGGTATAACTCTTCTTTCCAAGCATGCAAAGAAGATGGGCCCGTTTATTTTGAGATTTAACAAGAATTGTGTTCTGTTTAGTGCTTCGGATCCGCCGTGAACCTCTAGCAGCTTTTACAGTTTCGTAACATCGCATCGCTCATCATTTGATTTGTTGCTGAAATATGTCCATAAAAACAGCAGAGGCTCGAAATTTTTGGCCGAATTTTTAAGGGCGCGCTTGTTTGTTAAGACTATGTATGGTAGCTGAGCCGTCAGCTACCACGCATCATAGCTGAATGAGCAAAGCCAAGATGGGGGTATCGGCAATGCCGAGGTGCCTCTCGCTCTTTTTTTTAAAAAAAAAAAATAGAAAAATATATAGTATGAATATGAGTACCTGTGGAAATAGAGCTTTTCAGCTCTCTTATCCTTGCTCATTGGTCTGATTGAAAACGAAACAAGCTAAGCGCCTGAGAGTGTTTTCAGCTTTCAGCTTGTACGGTGCGCCACTACATGCACGCTGAGTTCTCTACCTACCTACAAAACGCTCTTATCGCCGCCCAATTTCGCGTATATTGTTCTAAAGCCCTGAAAATACAGTAGATTAAACAACTCAATAATCACTTCTAAGCCGTTAGCTTACTGCTACCAACTATTGAAATCTAACTCCTCGTGGGTGAGGTAGCGGGTAACCTTTGTAACCGTTATGCCGCTTTCGCTGTGGCATTCGTTAGAGTCCAATAGCCCGCATCTACATCTTTTTCTGCCTACTGGCTCAATATGGAGATAATCTAAATACATTCTTAACTTTTTGTCAGATAAAAACTACGGATAGCCATGATCAGAGCGACAAGCGATAGCATGTCGAGAAGCAAGATCGGCCTATGAGGTCCGTTAAATCAGCTAAGCATGTCCACTGAACACAGCGCCCAAAGAAGTTACAAAGTTGTTTCGTTGTTTAACTTTACGTACTAAGAGTTTCAAAATTGAGGGATATCTTTAGACAACCCGCTTTTCTCGAAGATCCAATAGTCTTGGTCTCTACAGACCGCAAGCGGAGAGACTCAACAGCGAACACGGAATGAAACTACGAAGATAGCTAAAGAGGGCGCGTTCTTGAAAGGCTATGCTATCTCATACAAATTGTTCGATATCACGTCTTTTGAAACTCTACATAATCTTCCATCTCCTATCGCAGCTAACAGATCAAGGCTGGGTGTGACTCCGGATTAATTTGAAGTCACAAGAGACACAGCATTACTAATTGCCAAAGCAACTGGCTGCTTCTACACCGCAATTAGAACTGTTACGTGACTTTTTGTAATTAATAATGTCTTTTAAAACAATCTAGATTTCTATAGGCAGTATTGTACTTGAACTTCAGCCTCTCGATTGGTGGCTTTAAAGCGATCTTCACTGAACGTCTACGATATAATAAATGATTAGTGAATGCCATAGACTTGTAGTAGAGACGCGTGTATCTTCGAGATTGAGGTACACGCCAGGTCTCATTTGGAAGAGAGGAATGTCAAGTACAGGTACATGTGTGTCTTTTTTAATTACTCAACATTGCTGAATAAACCAGAACTGTAGAATGAAAAGGCCGAATTTGGCAATAATTTGTATGAGTTGAAATGCTGATCAGTAATCGTCAAAAAAGCTTTCAATGCTTCAATTTCTAGTAGCACGTTGCTCTATGATAGTATTGGAGACACATATATATTTGCGCGTATGCCTCCGTGTAAATACAATACAAAATTTGTACATCATTCGAAATTATCAAGCTCCTCTCTTTATCTACAAACCCTCCACATAATTCATCATGGCCTCACAACACGTCTCCAAGGTATTTGTTATTGGAGGTACGGGAGTTCAAGGATTTCCTATTGTTAAAGCACTTGTTCGTGATAAGAAGTATCAAGTTCGAGTATTGACTCGAGATACGACATCTGACCGTGCTAAAAAGCTTCTCGCTCTCGGCAATGTGGAACTGCTCCAAGGGGCGCTGACAAACGAGGAAACTCTTCGTAACGGCTTCAGGGGCTATGATGGAGCGTTTGTCAATATTGACGGCTTTAACACCGGAGAGAAGGCTGAAATGTTTTGGGCTATTCGCGCGTACGAGATTGCCATTGAAGAGGGCATCAAATTCTTCGTGTATGGCAGCATTCCCTACGCACTCAAGCAAGGTGGCTACGACTCCAAGTTCAACGCTGGGCATATGAACGGAAAAGGAAGAATCGGACAGTGGATCTTGTCCCAGAATGCCGACAATAAAGATAGAATGGGTGCAAGCCTCTTTACAGTTGGTCCATACATGGACATGACCGTTCACTTTGCAACCCCCATGGTCCCCACGGTCGAAGAGGGCGTTGTTACCTGGCGCGTGCCACTTGGTGATGGCCTGATGCCTATGGGCTGTCTCGAAGATTGCGGCCACTACGTCCGTTGGCAATTCGACAACCCAGAGCGTGCCAATGGTATGGATCTCATAACCGCAATTGCACCAACTGGCTTCAACGAACTGGCGTCTGCATTTGAGCGTGTTACCGGTCACCAAGCACAGTATATTGATGTATCGTTGGATGAGTACTGGAAGAGTGGAGCGATGTCTCGGATTGCTCACCTGCCAGCGGGCTTGGATGCTGATCCAAAAGACCCAAGCACCATGACGGTCAAACAGAATTTCACGGGATTCTGGAATGCTTTCAAACATAACCTGTGGAAGGTTGACTATGACCTTCTCGACGAGATACACCCAAACAGGATCAGGAGCGCAGAGGAATGGTTCCGTCTGCAGGACAAGGCAAAGCAGGCTTATGGGGAACAAGGTCTTTGGGAGATGGTGCAGCCCGAAAATACGACGCCGCTTTTCACGCGAGTGAGGATTGGAAAAAACTGAAAGATTTGCAATCAATAGCAACAGCGATTAGTAACTAGTAAATAGTATATACTCTTGTCTATTTCCAAGGTTATACTCTACGCCACTCGTGCAGTACCTACCATTCGTTGGGCTTACGTCGATCTCATGACTTGCAATGAGTATCGCCTAAGACGTTTATTAATATGGGCTTCAGTCTACATAATATAAAAAACTATATAATGGCAGGCTGAGGACTTTTTTTTCCTATTATTCCCCTTTTACGTTGCCTTTGTGTTCGCATAAATATGCCTATAATCGATCAGTACAAAGTGTCCAAGCAGGTGGGTAGCGCAGCATTAGCACCTTTTCTATCACTAATTCGAGTATACAGATTCAGTAGCCTGGCTTTTCTTCTTTGTTTCCACAACTTATATCTATCTGGCGGTCTAGAGAACATTGCTACGAGGATGAGTAGGCGGCTTCTACAGAGCGCCAATAACGCTCTATTGAGGCAGTACTTGGACGGGAGGCGAGAGAAGCCACGGTGACTCTGGATCGGCTAATGCTGAAGATGGGCATCCTACTTTCAGCTCCAGTGTTTGGGAACGTGCACCTGTACTGATGTGCTTTCGGAACAAGAATGGTGTGCGACCTTACTCCCTAATTTGAGCCAGATGTTTTGTGGCCGAGATAATAGAGCAAACTTATAAAGGCAAAAGCTTTATCAACATGCACACTCAGCAAGGAACAACCTTTGGAATTTCTCCCTTGACAGTCTTAGACCAAATTGCTGAGTTGAAAGATGACAATCGGACCTTTATACCCCTCATAGGCTCCATGGCATGATACTCTTCTTTGGCGTACTATGTTCGTGCATTGGAAAATTCTCAAATTGGAGCCATATCATTACTACATCAACAAATTGCAAACAGGGTTTTATCGACTCAGCTCATTGTGAGTTGGCTAAAAAAAGACAACCAATGTTAGCCTCGGTGCTACATGCAAAGGTGTTTCGATTATGGGGCAGTTGTTGGTTGGCATATTAATCCAAGATAGGTCTCGTTTTGATTCCAAAATTCCCTAAGAAAATTTGCCAATAATAGCTAGCTAGCTTAGCCGTCCTCGAACATTAGCTACTCAATACAGTTCATAGTATACACTCAAACAAAGGATAGATGCAAGTTAAAGTTGTAGACTAGGTCTATTTCTATTTCTAACTTCTTTCTTACGCCTCGAATATTAGCAGCTAGCACTGAAGGAGCAATTGATATTCCATCTTATTTACCTCAAATAATGTCTGCTTATGTGTTTGACTCGTGAATGTGGATCTACGCCGTGTATAAGCGCTAGCAGGTCAATCAAAGTCTTAGCATTCATCTATTTTAAGCTTATTACTTAATCTTAAATGCCTTTGTACTGCTCTGTGAACCGCCGAATCCATATTCAGAGTAACACTGCATTGCATGTGTAAGTAGATATCTAAGAAACTGAGAGAATTAAAGATTCCACAGTTGTTGCTGACAACGGGCGCAGTGTACAGCACGCGCTGGTGTTAACGGGCGTCTTTCATGCAAGATACGGATTTTGGTATGGCATTGACGTTTGGGGTGGCATATTTGACGAAGCCACCCATTGGTTACTTCTATAATCTGTTGATATAAATACACTTCATACGCTTCTTTCTTTTTGAGGTACAACAGCCATAATCATCATATTACCATCTCAGACTAATAAGCATCCCATAACTGAACAACAGTGAGTACTTCATTACGATAAGAAGAACGTATCTAACATAATTACAGCCGATATAATGAAGATCTTTTATCTTGCGATTCTTTCGACTTCTCTTAGCTTTGCACAAGCCAAAGATTGTAATGGAAGTCCATCGTCACCATGCGTCATGTTCGGCGAAGGAGAGTTCATGGATCACAACTACGTCCCCACTTGCGGGGGCAACTGTTTTGTTTATCCTTTCAATGCTATCCGAGCATCTGGAACCATTTCTAGATCCACTCGCTGTCATGCATACTCCGATTATAATTGCCAGAATCAGATTTTAGACACTGGTGATCAGTGGTTTACCTTCGGAGATACCTTTTCGAACTTTGGCCAAGCACAAAGCATGATATGCTATTTTGGTTGCTAGTTCTAGATCTACTACGTTATTTATACGAGATTGAACACAACTTATTATACATTCATAAGCAACTGTCATAGCCAATCACGCCATACTACAGAAGGGAGCAGTATCGCGTGCTGTCGGAAGGGTGGAAGGATGTCGGTCCATTCACAGTTGATGCAACGCATGTATTACTGTATCAGGGTTCAGATGGACATGGCTGATGGAGAATTTAAAGCAATCAAATTGATAGTTGGCAAGTCAAGATGTCATTTTAGTAACACCTAGGTCTCTACTAGGTTTCTAAAACAGTCATTTAAAAATGGTACAGATATTTGTTATATCCCTTCCTGCAAACTTGATCCCCATTTTACCGGGAGCAGTCTAACCTAGCTCTGCGTAATGACATACGATACAATTACGTATGCACGTAGCTTTATTGCAACGCCATTATTCTATTACTTTGCGTACCCCATACCCTCACTACAAAGGTGATCCCTCCCAGCCATACGCATTAAATAATTGGAATGTCCAGTCACGATTCCGAGAATCGGTGACAGTTGTAGATTGACTACGAAGCTAAAAGGTCATCGTAGCCTAACAGGGGCCTATTCAACGCAACCCCAGATGCGTCTTTGGGCACAGTGACAGAGCACCAGAACGTTAGGGACAGCTCCCAGCAAAAGCTTTTACATATCTAGGGGGGCTAATTGATGATAACGACAATAGTGGCCCCTGAGGAAAGGCTTGTCTGAACGAGCCGCAATGAGTTGCACACCGCGCCCCAACAAGATGTGAGTGGCAAGTTGTCAGTAATAAGATGACACGAGATATTTCAAGAATCTTTAACCCAGGTGGGAAAACTACAAATTGCATTTACCAGTTATGCAGAGCAGCAATTCGCAGTAACGTTTCCCTTGTTTCCGTAGAGCTCATAATTCAATCTCTTACCCATCTTATGGTAGGCTCATAAATACATCCAGCATTTTTGGATAGTTTGGTGTACCCAGTCCCGTAATTGGGTCCCAGCCTTCTGCAGCCTCGAATGCCACAGAGTCACATATCGATGTGTTCCCCTTTGTCACTTCATTAAATATCTGCGGGTTCTCATAAAGCACTGGATTCACAAAGCCCACTGTCGATTTTCCCACTGACAGCCTTTCATCGTTGATACGGTTGATCAAAGCTGCAAAAATTGGCGCCGATGCGCTGGTTCCACCTTGAGACACTACTTGTGATTCATTGCTGAAGACACTAAGAACATTCCATCCCAGGGCGGCGACATCGGGGAAACCGCGGCCCTGGCTATTGAAACGCTTAGGATCGAGGTCTTTATGGTTGTTCAGGTAATTTTGAACAGCCTTATCTTGATAAGCAGGGCGAGAGTAGTTCCAGGAAAAGCCGCCAGCAGAAGCAAACCAGCCAACATTTAAGCCAACTTCCTCAAGACCAGGGAGGAGTTGCGTAGCACCAACAGTAAGGAGGTATGGGCAGCTACAGAAATTCAGCAGTTAGCGCACAAAATATAAATTTTTTCTGTTATGTCAGAAGCTGCTCACTTTGCAGGGTATTGCGAGACGGCGTGGTAAAAGTCAATATGTTCAGGATCAGAGGCGTTCGTTGAGGCCGAGCCATGGTCTCCTGTAGATGAAACAATCGTAGTTCCCATGAGCGATAGTTTCATAAACCTAAACACATAGAATGCATGAATATGCCGCTTCCAAACCATTAGAGAAAATCTTCAAAAAGGCTTACTCGTTGCATTGTCTATGCATATAATTATATGGGAGCATTTGTTCGTTCCACCCATATGACAGGGAAAATACATTCGATCTTTTGGCTGTTCCACATTGGGGAGATCCTCTGTACCAACCGGGAGGAAGTCCCCCATCTGGATTGCTGGGATCCTGGTGATTGTCGGGATACGTTGGATCGATTTCGGGGTCGTTTCCTGTCTCCCCAAATGCTGTATAGTTACAATATGCCTATGATATCTGGTCAGTGTAGTCCTCAGTTCAAGGGGCTCTGAACTCGTAAGCAGCTGTGAATAAATGGAAAATGCACCTACGCCGTCAATGGCATTCAGCCAGCTCTGAAACATCCCCAAGTACGTTAGTTGCCCAAAGGTAGTGTAGTAGTCGTCATCAACTTGATACACTTTATATTCTGGGGGTAAATCAATGGCAATGCCATGTCGATATCAAGGTCTGCTTCGCCGTTATCGGCAGCCGGATCAAAATGGGTTACAGAGATGTCAATGGTAATGTTTGAAAGTGTGACTTCTGGCGGAATATCTGTGTAGTTGGCTAGGAATGACTTGAATGCAGTTGGGCTATACCAGGATCCAATTTCGAATATGCCTAGAGAATTTCCAGGAGCTTTCTTGTCTCCCTTGGGCACATTGTAAATATGTTGTATGCAGGCTGGTGTGATGAGGTCCAAGTCATCACACGGATCAGCAGTTGCACGCTTGTCGAGGACATACCGTGTGACGATTTGATCCTCTGTACGCATATCTCGCTTCGTGGATCTCTTCTTCATACTCCCAGCAAGAGCGACGCCAGGGTAAACGAAGTCAATATGTCGCGCAAGATGGCTAGGTACCTTGTATCTTTTCGCATTGGTAGTCATTTCCTTGTACCAAGAATCGCTGTGGTAGAAAAACGTACTCATCACAAGCAACAGTACTATGAGACTCCAATCCATGCTCGAACACGTGGTACTCAGTTTGAAGCAGTTCTTCTGCCTCTTGGACTGTGGCGTCGAAATGAATCCACTCGTATCCCAATGAATGGTTGATTCTGTCTTCAGAAATACCCGAGCCTATGAGCCATCCTCTAATCGCTTCAATCGAATCATGTGTTGGTGAAAACATTTCTGTTATCTGCTCTGCCGTCCAATGTGTGCCATAGTTCTCTAAATTAGGGTCTGACAAATCCATGAGAAGATCGTGACCTTGATCCAAATTGCGTTGGCTCAGGCCGATCCGCAGAGGAATAACATCGTGTGGCTCGAGGCGACTGCGTCTCTCCCAATGACGATGGCTATGGATATTACGCCGTTCGTGAGTGACGTGTGTCGTCGACGGCGCAGCGCCCACGGTGGCTGCTGAAAGCAGAATCAAGGCCGTGGAGGTCAAGAGCATTGTTGTGTTCAGAAAATAATAGGTAGAATTGTTCTCAAACAGGAATTGGCTATTAGCTTATGGTCCGAGACAAACCGAGAAAATTGATCAGGGAGGTTCCTCCATGATATACTTGACAACGTTTTCCAATCTTACAACTTCGTTCTGTCTGTAGCCCGTAGACTTTCAGATGGAAAGATGACAAAGATAGATGTTTACAAGGCTGCATGGCTGACAGCCTGCTTACACATTGAAGACTTCGTATTATTACCAATAGGGACGACTCAGGAGAACATCCTCACAAAACAAATCGTATCTTAGTATATGCAATGCCGTCGTGGTTGTGAATCTGTTCTCATGCAGGGGCGCCAGTGACAGGGAGATGAAACAAACGATTACGTAGCTCCCAGGCACTTGTCTTCTTTTGGCTTTTCAACGCAAGCGGGTGTCAATGTCTTCTCTTTTGAATGGACAGGGCTTAAAGGCATCCGTTTCATTCCAATTGTTTGTAATTAGCCGTGCCGCCGGACATGATGCTCGATTACGTCTGATATTATATTAGTCGGCTTACCTGTTCAAGTCTCAGTAGTATTTTCACCAGTATTTCCTCTTTACAGGAAATGCTGATTACTCTTTGTAATATAATAATTTCATTCTTTTCATATTGTATATGAGTAGGTCAGCCTGGCATTATGGTTCGTCCAAGCTTTCTTGCTTCCTCAAAAGGTAAGCTTTAAATATTTCTCGAAGTCAGTCGACTGTCTTATACCAGCTTGGGCAGAATCAAGTAGTATAATTCATCAGGGCATAAGCATTCAATTGCGAAGAGAGAGAGCCAGTATCGGCATTTTCATGTTGAGAAACAGCTGAGAAAGTGATAGATGGTACAAAGTCAGGGTATTACTCCTGGTAGTGACGTGATACCTCTTTGGTTACAAGCCACTTCAGGACGGCTAAAGAAGATTGATGAGTAAAGGAAAAGAGCAGGGACTGTCATCAATATAATCTTCAGAGGCAACGCTAATTGATATCGTGATTACTAAATTTGCCGCCAAAACTGCCGTATCGCGTAATTGCAGAAAGTTTATTCTTTCAAGAAATGGCGTAGGTGAGAGAATTGTTTACCATCTTCTCTTCCAGCCACTTTCGACTACCCCAGGCGAAGCTCAGTGCATTACTGTGATCGAACTATGGCTGCTCGACGGCATGAGACGAACAGTCTTGATTCTTCATTGAAAAGTTGTTTTCTGTAGTGCCAGCTTCCAGCTTTTCTTATCGCAGTGCCACTGGCTGGTACTGGTCGTATCTTCCGGTTCTTTTTGCTCAGCAAAAGGAGGTCATCGATATGACGGAAAGTAATTTCCAACACTTGTCAAGCCTCATCTGGTGCCTCAAAATTTTGGGGAGAGAGGGACAAGAGATAGCTCAATACTTTTGGCTGATCCAGAACTTGAACTTAAGGCAGTATCAAGATGCCTACAATAGCGAAAGTGTGAAAAGTCAAAGGATCCCTTTGCGCTTGAACCGGCATCTCTCAATTGCTCTTCCCTACTAGATGTATAAGACAAAAGTTTAAAGAAAAAGCAAGACTCAATGATTGTAATGATTGTAAGCATAGGCATGAGTAATAGGAACTAGAAAGCCCTATCGCTTGTGCAATATCTTATGCCTCTTCTTTTATACAAGAGCCTACGGGTAAGCAAAGTGGCGCCCAACTCCAGAGGCCAGTAGGTGGCTGATACTAAAATACATGTAGCCTCATCCTGGAAGTAAGTGTCAGCCTGATGGCTTCGCAGGTTATAAAAGTGAGAACATGAGTGATGTCAGAGTCCTACTATCATGCATGTGTGCACGACGTTTATTAGTATAAAAATGGTGGCAGCCTTAGCTTCGTCTTCAAGTATAGTGGAGGCTTAAAGGCAGCGAACACCCTGGGTAGCACAGGGTTGGTAAACCACCAAATCATGTTGCTCCAGATCTAAATCTTGAGATGTTAAAATGGGAAGACATTCACTCGAGCGAAGTATTTGACGGGACTCTGAACTCTCCACTACCTTGGGTCGTATGTGAATGGCTAGAGCTTTCAGTTTCATGTGGCCTCTCGGAGATACAAAAGGAGGAGAGAGAGTGCACGTTGCTTTCCGGCGATCGCAAGAGTCTCACTCTGTCGTTCAGACATGCTTATACTTAAGAGAAATATATAGTACTTGTCTCCCGCTAATGTATTAATCAAGATAAATGGGTAGATGAGCCACGCAGTTGATCATGACGATTACATATTGCTACATGATAAGAATTGGATTGCATTGCCGCGATCGACAGCTGCTCGGCTATAGAAACTGTTGCTCTGGATATGAGTGTAAACCAATGGTGGGGGTTGCTATTGATGTCGCTAGCGATCGATTGGGATGCCCGTTTCAGGAACAACCTTAGAAGGCTTTATAGCGCATTCGGTAGACCTACTTGGCTCCGGATGGAGACCGTTGCTTTTAATATGGCCATTGAAGCAAGTAGCTAGGTTATCATCAGCTTCAACCGCAATGTTGCCTTTGCTATTAACCCATGTAATTCGGCCTCTTTTCCGCGGAAATGGCATTTTGCCAGACGCGCAAGTCTTCCAATGCGACGATTGGCCCTGAATTTCCACTATTGCGGCTCCATGCATTATCATTTCCAGCGCGACTGAGTCAAGATATAAACCTTCTTTTTCCGCCTGCTTACCGTTCTCTATCTTCTGGATAACAACACACACAGCACTGCCTGTATTCGAGCTCCAACACTACTTGCATTTAGTCTTTTCCAACTTCAGCCACCATCTCATCCACTATTACAATGGCACACTCGATCATCTCTCCTTCAATCCTTTATTATGGAACACCAGTTGTGCTTATCACCTCTGAAAATGAGGATGGGCCGGACAATATTTGTGCCATTTCATCAGTTTTTTGGCTTGGCCACCGTTGCATTCTCGGATTCTCGTCCGAGAGTAAGACGCCACAGAATATCCTCAGAACGGGTCAATGTGTGGTGAATCTCCCAGATGACAGCATGGCTCGCCACATCAACCTACTGGCTACTACAACTGGCTCAAAGGTCGTATCAGCTTCAAAGCTCGAAAGGAACTATCGTTATGTTAGGGATAAATGGACCACGGCTGAACTCACCGCACAACCGTCTGACCTTGTTCGCCCAGCACGAATTCAAGAGTGCCCCGTCCAGATGGAATGCGAGCTAGCTAAAAGCCATACGTTGATGGAAGACTTTCCTGATCTCAAGGGAGTGGTTGTGGCTATTGAGCTCAAGGTTCTCCGAACCCACATTATGGAACACCTTCGAATGCCAGGTCATCCTAATCGAGTTAATCCGGACCGTCTGAGACCAATTTTCATGTGTTTTCAGGAGTTTTACGGGTTTGGGGATGGAAAAGTGTCGGAGAGCACGCTGGGTAAGGTTGATGAAGAGAAATACCGAGGGCTCACGCGGAGTAGCAAAGTTGCGCTTCCCGGAGATGGAGATAAGGAGGAGGTTGAGAAGAAGTGGAGAATTCTTGCAGAATGATGTTGAGTCCCAAGCCTGTATAGCAAGACCAGGTTGAGGATTATTAAAGGGTGAGATTTTTTGTACCTTGTAATGACTTTCAGAGTTTTGGGGCACCAGATATAGATTTGATAAGATGTCCTTCCTCCGCTTCTATTGCTTCTATTTCTTATAATCTAATAGACTTCTTTTGACTTTACTACTTATAGCTTTAACTGTGTTGTGTTTCACTTACAATGTGTCTTTGTTTGCTTCCTTGGCTGGTTGAACAATGAGAACATTATGCTTGAGATGCGAACGCAAGTGGTGTGAAGTAATTTTCAACGTAAGCATATCGAGATAAGGTGAAATTAACATTACACAGCCCCAAATCCAAGATGCCCAAGCTCTACAAATAAAAAACACATGATCTCAATAGGGAATCTTTGATGAAGCTCTAATCCTCCATCCTCACGGTTGGGTAAAAGCTCTCTGTATCTACTATGTACACCAATCATGAATAACGCTTCCAATGTATTTTCGGCCGAGGGGCACTAAGCACAGAACTTCACTGATCCTCCATTCACATCTGTTGAAGCAACTTCAAATAAGCAGTGTGGCTCAAGACTCTGGTAATTACAGGCTTTTATAACAATACATTCGCACGCCGCCAGGCACCAGTTTTGATGTAATTGCGACAAAGTTCAAGCTCAACCTGCCAAAAAAAAAAAAACCAGTATCCACTGACCAAACCAATAGACAGACACCATCCAATTTCACAGCACATATCGCGTCCTCCGGCTTCGTGCAGCTCATGGTGTGCAATACAATACTATCATAAGTAGCTCTTAAAGTATAGACACGCAAAGTAGAGCAAACCGTAAGTCCTGATTCGTTTATAGGCCATACTCTTTCGACCATTTCAGCCGCATACCTGATTACCTAGGTACCTAAACTTAGTCAGGAAAAAAAGTTTCTGCTATGGCTTGTCTGCTTGCCCACCTTCGGCAATCAGATGCCGAGCGAGAGGTTTTGAGCAAGTAGACAGCCACTAGGGCAGTAATTAGCATTGGTTTGCTAACCGTTTATGAATCGTTTTGCTATAAAAAGAGGATAGGATGCGGGCGGTTAGAAGAAGCTAAAGGATATGTCGGGTGCGATGTGCGTTTGGCGCGGGCAGCAACATCACACAATGAGCTTCGTGCGCAGATAAGCAACCTTCCACCACCTCGGATTTCCTTCATCAATCGAACTTCTAGGGGAAGAATGCTTGAAAACACAACTTTCCACATGTGTGCTCGCTAAACATCATACAATCTACTAGGTCGCCATTCAACTCCGTCGCCATTACCACCATGGACATGGGCATGGATATGGGCGGTGACAGCCCGTCGTCTTTACCACTAAATGCAACCGGAGTCGACTTTTCCAACGAGACACAGGCATTCGATTTTCTGCAGGAAATACTCGACGACTCGACTTTGGGCGCCATTGGAAACCAATACGCCCGATACTTCTGGTATGGCGTCGTGGTGGTCATTGGCATTGCCAGTCTCTGCAACATTGCGCAGAGGTCTGTATTATGGATGAGGTGGGTATTTGTGAAGAGAAGCAATGCTTTGACGAAAGTTCTCGGTGTTGACAGGCAGTTGGACTTAGACTCAGAGCAAGCGCGAGAAACCGCTCACGGCCGGCCATGTCTACAAACCTCTTCACTCAAAGCCTCGCGACCGCAGCCGCCCTCCTTCGAGAGCCGAGCTATCTGCAGATCACACCCGCCGCAGCCTCGAGATGGATCAAAGTGCCTCCTCTTGGCCATATATACATCATTGTCGCATACTTCGGCTTTATCCTAGCGCTGGTGTTTATCAACAACAACGTCCCTGGCGCTCAGCACTACCAGGCTCTGGGTATTCGTGCTGGATGGCTCGGAGCGGCGCAGGTACCGCTACTGATACTGACGTCGAGTAAGACGAATCTAATCGGTTTCTTTGCAAATTCATCCGTTGAGCGGCTCAACATTTACCACCGATGGGTCTCTCGCGGCTTGCTGCTGCTGGCAACGCTGCACTTCGGCCTGCAAAGCCACGCCTGGAACATCTACGGGCTGATGGCGATGGAGTGGCAGACTGACGCTTGTCCGCCTACTGGCATGGCAGCGTATGCCATCTTACTGTGGATGAACCTGACATCTCTGGCACCTCTGCGGTTTTTCTCCTACAAAATATTTGTCGTGCAGCATCTGCTCACGTACTTTGGCTTTACGATTGCCATTGTCTATCACCTTTACGGGACCTCGTCGCCTTATTCTACGAATTATATCTATATAAGCATTGCCCTGTATCTGGTTGGACAGCTAATTCGCTTTGTACGGACTGTCGTAGTCAACATTCGACCGAGCAAAGCGACTTTGACAGTGCTTGAAGGCGACGCTACTAAGATCCGGCTCTCCAGCCGACAGATCAAATCATGGGGCGCGGGCTCTTATGTACGTTTATTTATGCCGCGGTTCAACGTCGTCCTTTGGCATCCTGCGACAATACTATCAACCCCATCATCACACGACGGTGATTTAGTATTTATCTTGCGCGCATGTGGTGGCTTCACTCGACGTCTTCTCAAGGCTGCGGAAGCTGGTAGCCATCAGTCTGAGCATTTGGCTCTCATCGACGGACCGTATCCAAGCCCGCACGCCGATTTCGCCTGCTTTGATACACTGTTCCTTATCGCCGGATCGACGGGAGTGACTTTTATCCTGTCTGTTCTTCTCGATATCGCAAGGCGAGCACAAGCGAAGAAACCTCTTCCGCTCCGAACTCTCCACTTCACTTGGGTGATTAAACGCCGTAGCTGGATATCTTGGGTTTCTGAGGAGTTGCAATCAGCATTCAACATACTTCAAGAGGCGGGTATTGAAACCGTATGCAATATCCACATTACATGCGATGACGATATTGCGAATGATGTGTCTGCTGGTGGATGTCAGTGTGGAGATGGCTGTGGATGCTGCAAAGTACAAGAAGAGAAACAAGACGGTGAAATTGATCATCAAACAAGTCATGATAAAGAGAAAGAGGCTGAAGGAAACACGGTGCAATCTTCCAGGTCACAGAGCCGTGGGACTTCAGACGCAGATCTTCCGTACGCCGAGATACAAGTTGGACGGCCTACATTTAGGAATCTATTAGAGAGACGGGTACTTCAGGCTCAGGGCGAGACGGCCGTTGCGGTTTGTGGTCCATTGGGCTTGTCTGTGGCAGTAAGAGCGGCAGTAGTAAAAGTGAGCGATGATTTGGCTGTTGACAAAGGAAGTAAATTGTCCGGAGTTTATTTACATGTCGAGAATTTTGAATAGCTGTAGATGGAGGATAATAATGATAATGCTATGATGACATGCTTTTGTTGCTCGAGTAAATGAAAGAATCCCCATGTAAAGCCATCTTAGTCGGCCTATCCACCGAGTCGCTCAAAGTACAAAGAGAAGAAGTATATAAGTATGTATATAGGTATATAATGGGAAAATTAACCATGTTGATCTCAAATAATCGCCGATTGTCCTTTGCCGAGAGTGGGCTGGTGTTCCTCATGAGTCTCTCCTAGCACAACAGTTTAAACCTGACAATCAATTTCTTCCTCTTTCAATATTGTCCTTTACTATATAGCCTGTGTAGACAAGTAATCTCGTCAAATGTGACTCTTTGAACAAATAATGTGATACAAAGATATCTGGTAAACTACAAAGGATTAATTTTAGCACCAACTTACAAACTACAAGCACAAGTAACAATCTAGTTTCACAGCAAACATCAGGCGGAGTCGAAGAATATTCATTAAGTTGCAAATAAAATGTATACGATCCAGTCATATGATATCAAAACCTTCAAGTGAAGAAATAAGAGTCAGGCCCTTAGGGCAGCCTCCATGAGTACAAATAAGAAGAAATGAGTCAGATCTAAAATAAACCTTTTTATAAAACACCTCCAAACAACCGTCCCCCTCATTAAGAGTCGTATTCATCTGCTTATGCGATAGCGGCCATGGTATTGGGGAGAGCGCCTGCAATGTCTAGTTAGTAATCACATTGCTACTGAAGGAGGATAATTTGGATCAGACTTACCACCCCAGCCACCGTGAGCGCCAACACCCTGGGCAGCGTTCACGGGGAAGCTACCGGGAGCGCACTGGCATGTGCAAGAGCAGCTTCCGTCGGCACCAACGTTGCCCGAGCCAGTGGCGACAGTGCCGGAGCTGGCAGCGGGAGGAGGAGCGGCGGCAGGAGGAGCGGCGGCAGCGGATGTTGAAGCGGGAGGAGCAGCAGGAGGAGGAGCAGGAGCGCCACTTCCACCGGTGATGGGAGTAGCAGAGCCGGTGCCGTTCTGAGCAATGGCCATCTGTTGGAACATGGCCTGGGTCTTAGCGGCAGTAGGGTTGATGGAGAAGACCATTCCCTGACCGCAGTGGCCAGCCTGTCGGCAGTAGAACCCTAGAGAGAAGGTCAGTTTTAGTTCATTCCGGCCGTCATATATCTTGCAAGAGACTTACACAGAGGAGTAGAGACCATAACTTGCATAGCAACCTGGGGAGGGGGGGAGATGGTGTTGTTGGGGTTGGCCTGGAAACCAGAGTCCATACCACCTTCAAGCTTCTTGCAAGGAGTGTTGAAGGCAGACTGGGTGACAGTGTGGTTCTTGGACTGGAACTCGAAAACGACGGTATCGCCAATGGGGATGTTGTCGAGCTGGGGAGGAGAGTAGGCAAGGCCAGCAGCTCCTCCAACCGTGACGGTGTGTGTCGCACCGGGAGCGGCAGCAGTCGATGTCTGTCCTCCGACGGTCACGGTCTGGGTCACGGTAACCTTCTGGTTGATGGTGGTGGTAGCCGCACCGCTACCGGGGTTGACCCAGATGATGACAATCTCGGTGTTTGCGTCGGCGGTGATGCCATTGGCAATAGCAATGGCCTTTGCATCCAAATCGATCTCCTTTCCTCGGGCAACGTTGTCCGGGTAGGCATTCTGGACCTTGGTGGCAATAGCCAGGGGCGCGGTGGCCAAAGCTAACCATGAACCAAACTTCATCTTGACGGTATTGGTAGAATTATTGAAAATCTGACTTTATACTCGTAAAAAAGGGGGCTGTAAACTTGAATCAACCAAGTTTGTATTTTTGTCTTTAAAGGCTGGTATAGCGAGGGCCTGCTCGTGAAGCGAATGGAAATAAAGAAACAGAAAAAAGAGGGAAAAGGACAACTGCCGAAACAATTAGCGATGAGGGAGAAACGAGAAGATGTTTCTTCGACTCGGGGAAGGCTAGACATTATATCCCCCCAAAGGCCATGCCTCGCAGCAACGCCAGTCATGTCTTCCTAATTAGTCCAGGCCCTTGAGCCCCCCCGTTTCTAAGCTAGAAAGCGTTATTCCGGGGCTTAATGCATCCGAATCAGTAGTGCTCCGTCCTTCTTTGCGGATTTGGTGGTTTGCAGGGGTTCAAGGAGAAACCTGTAACAGGATTGTCTCGAGTAGCGTTTGGCGATGTTTTGGCGTGGTCCAGCCACCAACCCCGGTCCAGCGGCTAGGGCCATGCATGAACAGTAAACCGCATGTTTCTTAAGAGGCATAAAGGTAAGTTTGTTGAAGCATTTTTCTTATCTTTGAATCAGCTGCAACTGCCATCGGCTCGCCACGTTCAATCCCTGTATCTCATACTCGGGAAGCAAACTAGTGGACAAGCATGGTGGAAGGCGCCGCAATCTAGACCTGCTGGAGACAGTCCCAAGCATAACTTGGGCATTCATCACGGTTGATTACACGGCATTGGCTTAGTAACTCTCTTCGCAATATCGCGTGCAGTATTAATTTCATGCCGACAGAGTCTTTGCTGCAGGCCAGGAAGCGTCCCTTGGCGAACACGTAAACGTCGGAGTAGAGACAAGCCTGGGCGGCTAGATCAATACCGGAGGCCCCAGGCTTCAAATTACCGCTGAGAATGGTATAGACTAGCAGCCATCAGGGGCTGAAGCCAGAAAATCGTCAAGCACTGGCGGCCCGGCTAGTCACCAAGGGGCCTCAAACAGCTATTGTGGAGGATGAAACACGGCATCCAGATGGGCCGTCGTAGCGCATTTCTCATCCATCACTTGTCGCTTTGGCTGTTCCTGGTCCTAGTCTTGCCAGCTAAGGTTGCCTCACCGGATCTGTCGAAACGCGACCAAGCGATCATCTCCTTCAATTTAACACTTTCTCGCTACCAAACTGACAGCGAGAAAAAAACGTGCAGAGTCTGGAACCTGGAGCCGGGAGCCCAGTAGCGGCAGTGCGTCGCAGGGGTTGGCACAGGGTTCCGCAAAAACAGCAGGAAGAGTAATTAAACGAAAGTCCGGTCACAAATGAAGGGAAGCAAAAGAGAAAAGGAAGAAGAAGAAAAGAAGTGAAGGAAAGAAGACTGCACTGTCGTACTTGTACATGGAATATATCCAATGATCCGCTATTGAAGCAAAAAGCAGTTCCAGGTAATAGTAACATCAAACACATTCGTGTAATTCTAGTGGCCGGTGATCCGGATGCCTTGCAAGTGCAGCCGCGATTTCGCAGTAGTATATGAAACAAAATTTTCAGCAGATAACTGTCAGCTCACAGCGTGTCTGAAATCGGTAGTCTTGGCAGGACGCCCATGCGCCGCGATAAATTAGAACTGCACCGACACTGCTGCTTCCACCGGCGATATGATGAAGACGCGGAGCCTGGAGTCGCTTCGGCCATTGTGCTAGCAGGGGAATAAAACGTGAGCGGTCGCAGGGCTTCCACGCCATTTTCCACCTTTTCAACTGTGGCGCAGCTTTCCTCTCCCCGCGATCAATTTAGTCGAGGCTGATGGGTCCAGCGTAGCTCACTGAGATCCAGGCTGTTGCTGCTGCTGTGCTTGCTGCTGTCCCTCAAATAGGCCGGTGTAATAGCCCGCGTAGTACCAAGACATGAGAAGCTTCTTCAGGTTATCATCGCGCACTGGCAATCGTATCTCGGAAGTTTCCCCATTGTCAGTGCGTCATCTCCAAGGGACATCGGGCGAATGCAAGGGTAGCGCCTTGCACACGTTTACTGACCTGTTCCGAGTATTGCCTGAGACGGGAAGGCGGAGGGTATGGAGTTGAAATTGTGACCGGGCTGCTTGCTGTGCTGTTCAGTCTGCGATGGATGTGAATAAGCTGTAAGTCCCTGAACCCTGAAAATGACAGTCTATTTAGGCAATATCTCGGCACGCACATTATCTGCTGCTGCATTCTTGTTGAGCGGTTCCTCATGCTCTTTTTGTTTCTGCGTAGATGGCTCATTGGCCGATTCTTCTGCTTTGAGAGCCTCAGCTACTCTGCATTTGATGTTAGTGACGATATCGACAACAACTCAGCTAGATGACAAGTGGCAAGACAGACTTGGATGAACCAGCCTCGGCTTGTTCTAAATCTCGAATGCTGCCGCCTTTCGCGTGTATGCTGTGGTATTTCTACTCCCCGTTAAGACGGCGATCTCTCTGAAGTTTGGCTTAGATGAGAGATCTGCTCTACCTTGTATTCCTGCAGAGCCTCGTTCCAGGAGTCAATGAGGAGAGAGTCGTCCCATACTTCTTCGTGCTGAGGATCCGATCCATCAATGTTCATTGCGACGAAAGTGGAGGCCTTTGTTATTGAGGTTGATGGAAGGAATCTTTCCAGACGCAGAAGGGGCAGAGAAGGAGGTTGATCGTCAATTTCTGCCTTGGACAAGAGATCAGAGTTTCTCGTAGTTGAAAATTAAAGTATAGCAGATATCAACCACAAAATATGCAAGGTAAATAGCAATTCGCAATTTTGTTCTGATTGAGATGCTCTACCCTATTGTAAGGTACGAAGCACTACAGTAGGAACCGTTGGCTGTTATCGATAGAGCTTAATGGGCATGGTCGCTGCTAGTGAAATTTAGGCTCACCAATCGCGTGCCTTCAGCGGCCTCACCGCCCTGTAAAAACGGCAGAATCGTAAATTTTCCAGTTATTTTTTTGGAGGCCAATTTGCGACGCCTCGGCCATATTGTATCAAGGTATCATTAAGGCAACACCAAGCAAAATGCCTCGAGAACTTCGCAACCGAAAGGGTAAGACTATCGGCGAATCGATCTTTGCAATTGCTAATTTGTATAGTTGCATCGCCCAAGAATGAAGCTACCAAGTCTGTGGAAAAGGCGACTCCCAAGGGCAAGAGAAAGGGTACGATTGCTGATTTGAATTGAGCTGCTGCGAATTACTTGATTCTAACAAACTCAATAGCAGCCGCCGAAGTAGCTTCACCTGTAGCCGCGAAGAAGCAAAAGGCCAGCAAAAAGCCGGAAGCCGAGGCCAAGCCGGCCAAGTCCCCAAAGCCCAAGGCCAAGGAAGAGAAGAAGGAAGAGTTGAAGGAAAAGAAGAAGGAGAAGAAGGAGGAGAAGAAGGAGGAGAAGAAGGTGGAGAAGGTGGAAGAGAAGGAAGATGTCATCGAAATGGATGACGACTCCGACTCCGAAGGCCAGGAGGGCGAGGACAACCTCCAGGTTCTGGCCGTCAACATTGACCCCGAAGAAGAGAACGCTGTGGCCCAGGAAGAGTTCCAGCCCGGACAGGACGTCGGCAAGATTCCCAAGGTCTCGAAAGACGTCCAGAAATCCATCAAGGCTTCAAAGGAGGAGCCCGGCGTCATCTACATCGGACGGATACCCCACGGTTTCTACGAGTTCGAAATGAAGCAGTACCTGTCTCAGTTCGGCCCCATCTCACGACTCCGCCTATCGCGCAACAAGAAGACCGGTGCCAGCAAGCACTTTGCCTTTGTCGAATTTGCCGAGGCTAGCACGGCCGAGATTGTCGCAAAGACCATGGACAACTATCTTCTTTTCGGACACATTTTGAAGTGCAAGATTCTCTCCAAGGACCAGGTCCACGAGGACTTGTTCAAGGGAGCAAACAGAAGATTCAAGAAGGTTCCATGGAACAAGATGGCCGGCCTGCAGTTGACAAAGCCCCAGACCGAGTCCGCCTGGGAAGCCAAGGTCGCAAGAGAGCGAAACAACCGTGCAAAGAAGGCTGCCAAGCTACAGACACTGGGATACTCTTATGAGGCCCCGGCTCTGAAAGACGTCCCGGCACCCGTACCCGCCGCAATTGAGAATGGAGAGGAGGCCAAGGCAATTGAGGCTGCTCCAGAAGCAGCGGTCGAGGAGGAGAAGGCAGTGGAGGAAGCCGAAGAGGCAGAGGCTGAAGAGAAGCCTTTGACTGCCGCGAAGACAAAAGCTACTCCGGTGAAGAAGGCCGCGGCCAAGCCAAAGACGCCTAGGTCGACCACCAAGGCCAAGAAGGCCAAGGCTTAATTTAGTCGCGTGGATTTGATGTTTTCGCTATGTTTATATATTGGTTTCATACGTGGCAGGTTAATCACGGCGCAGTGGCTCATTAAAAATGTAAGTAGACTCGTTATCTTTAGCACTTATTCTGAGAGGATAAAAATAAAAATTCTACGTGATCACGAAGCATGTCCGCACATAAGCGAACCCGCTGCGCTCATGGGAAATAGAGCAGCAATGGGATTATAAAAGGCGATATGATCTACTTCGCGCAAGGTCGAGAAAAAGCCATGAATATGCGTCTCTTTCAAAAATATTATGGCGAAGATGATTGTAAGATGAGGAAAAGAAAAGAGAAAAAATCGCCGCGAATGTGGAGGACTTGATAAAAATAAACCGCTGACTAAGCACCCGACGGATGCGGCTTTGGGATACGTTACGACAATTCGCACCACAGGTGCCTCGTATTCCGCGATGGACTAATGCTATTTCTTCGTATCTCGGCGAACACCTGTCTTCTGGAAGACGCCTCTCGCGCGCGTGCCGAACTCTTCCAGAACTTTGGGACTCTTTGCTGCGTCTCCATTTTTGGATCACTGTCTCAATTGCACATTCAGGGAGGCGGTTCCGCAGTCGCAGCTCGACTCCAGCCTTGTACGAGTCGTATCCGCCAGCATCGACTAGGCGAATCGGAGTAGACGCCGTAGACGAGCCTGCGAGCTAATTTGCCAATCGCGGCCTTTTTATACGGCAGATCCTCGTACGAGGCCTTTGCGCCAGAATTCGCAACTCGTGCAGAGGCATCGCATGACATCTCTTTGACGGCTGCCTACCATGTCCTCGACCGCGGCCACAGAGCCTAGCCTAACGTCCAGTCCAGGTCAGTGAACTGCTTCCCTTCTATGATGGCGAAGTGGCGGGATTTTGCGTGCTAAAGCCGGCGGATGAGGCAGCGGCAAAGAAGAAGAGCAACAAGAAGAAGAAGAATGCGAACAAGAACAAAGAAGCAGCCCAGCCGAGCAACGGCGATGTCAGGGTCGACAAGGACGAAGTAGACGACGAGCCGGATACTCCAACGACCGCTGTTAGTCTATGTCGAGATTTTAAAGTCCGATAGAGCTTCTATTAACCCACTCCGCCAGGAAATACCGAGTAATGCCGATCACTCAGAAGAACCCAAGACCGAGAGCAATGGGCACGCAGTAGAACCTTCAAATCACGAGCATGCCGAGCCTGCTGTGCAGAACCACGATGGCGATTCCGATACATCAGCGAAACTGGAAGCCATGGGCAAGGAGCGAGAGGCTCTCCGGGTCGAGGTCGAACAATTGCGCAAGCAGCTGGAAAGCATCCAAGAAAATCATCAGACCGAGATCTCGCAGCTACAGTCAGAACTGGAAGACAGCAATGCTGCGAGAGAAACTGCGGAAGAGCAATACCAGACGCTGCTAGGACGAGTCGAGAAGATTAAAGAAACCCTGAGCGACAGGCTTAAGCGCGACAAGGCCGAGCTAGAAGAGGCGAAAGAGCATATTGAAGAGCTTGTCGCGCAAAACGATGAACTCCGAAACTCGGCAGATTCGTCCAGCGGGGAAGTAGCCAAGCTCAAAGAGGAGCTTCAGGATGCGACGCGGGAGCTGACTACTCTGCGCAGTCGCAACAACCTGTCTGCAAACAACTGGGGGAAAGAGAGGGAAGAGCTCATCAAGTCGATCCAGCACCTCAAAGAGGAGATGGAGACGACTTCCAACGCCATGGGCGAATGGGAGGTGATTGCCATGGAAGAGCGTTCTATCAAGGAGAATCTGGGAGATAAAATCAGCGAGCTGGAAGAGGAAATCGCTGGTTTAAGAGAGGGATATGAGGCTGCCAACTCGGAGCGCGACAGCCAGGCGACACTAATCGACAACCTCCAGAACGCTCTGCGAGAGATCCAAGATGCTCGAAAGAAGGAGCTTCGCGATTTGGTGGAGACCAGCGAAGCACAGCTCCAGGAACAGAAGAAATTGGTGCGCGAAGCTGTCGCAAAGGCTACAGAGGCGCAAGAGGCCAAGGACGAGCTTGTAAAAGAGCTCGAGCGCACGTCTCCATTCGAAAAGGAGGTCAAGGAGAAGAACCTTCTCATCGGAAAGCTGCGGCACGAGGCTATTGTGCTCAACGACCACCTCACCAAGGCTCTGCGCTATCTGAAGAAGACGAAGCCGGAAGACAATGTTGATAGGCAAGTACAAGGACTCTGATCAATTGAAGCATTGCTAACATGAATTCTTCACAGACAAGTTGTCACCAACCATCTACTTCATTTCCTTACACTAGACCGAGGCGACGCCAAGCGGTTTCAAGTCTTGCAAGTCATGGCAGGCTATCTCAACTGGACCGACGAGCAGCGGGAACAGGCCGGACTTGCTCGACCAGGAGGTGGAAGCACCTTGCGTCTCCCTCTTTCTCCCTTCCAGCGCACGCCCAGCTCGCCGTCACTCAGTGCCGATATATTCTCGGAGCCCTCATCTGCGAGAGACAGAGAATCCCTGGCTGAGCTTTGGGCTGGCTTCCTAGAGCGTAGTGCACAGGAGGGAACCAGCGACGGGCCGTCAAGAAAAGGCAGCGCAAGCAGTGTCGCCACAGGTGCCGGTGTCACGATAGGGCGTCCGGATTCAAGGTCTTAGTATTGTTAGAAATGATAGATATTCTAGAGCAGAAATAATTTCAACCCTGGCACAATACTTTAGCAATGGCGCCTTGCTTTAATGAAACCTACATAAATATATACATGTATCCAAATTCATCTATTTAGCATGCTAAACCAATCTATTCTTGCTGTCGTAGAACGCCCTGCGTGTATGTTTCTGCATCTCGGGTGATGTTTTGGATATCAATCCTGTTGCTCAAGGCGTCATTCACGCCATCAATGACTTCTCGCTCCTCCATCACTTCTCCCATGAGTCGAACCTCATGCTGCCAGTAGCCTTGCGAGCGAGATCGCAAATCTTCGTCACGCATGATTGTGTTCTTGACAATTCCAGACGCATTCATCTTGCTCTTGGCAGTAACGAGCGCCCTGTTGACAAGCTCAATCCGCTCTGCCGGAGATGGAGGCTGGACAAATGCGCGGTTAGTAGCAGCCAGGTATAACGCAAACGCAACGACAGCATCAAGAGCTGCCAAGGCAACGAATCTATAGTTGCGCATCGTCCAAAAGAAAAAGTCTATATCGCTAAGACGCATCGCTCGTGAGTTCGCTTGATGATTATAAGAGTGCACGAAATACACCTCCAAGCCAGCCAGAACCGCAGACACAATAGTTGCCAGTCCCCGCCACTGAGAGCCATATTTGCCCGTCACCGACGGACTCGTCACGATGGCGAGCGCGGTCAAGTTTGCAATGTGCGGCCACAGGATCGCGGGGAGCGCATAATAGAAGTAGCTCCTCGGCTCGTCAGCGCTGCAGAAGATGCATTCGGCCAGTACTTCCGGACCGAACTGGAAGTACAGAAGGCGGCTTTCCTGGTTGACGAATTTGGACCTCAAGACGTGATCCCATTCAGTATAGACGTTGTTGGGCCGCACGGCTGAGATGCGGTTGAAGAGCACGTCGACGGGTATTTGCAGCCGGCTCTGCGTCTTGGTGAAGACGTTCTCCGGTGAGAAGAAGGGCAATGTTTTGACAGCAAGCAAGAAGGCGAAGAATGAGAGCATAAAAATCGCTATGCGGATGGTCGTTGGAACGGGCTGCACGGAAAGGCCATGTCGTTTGGGAGCGGATCGGACGCTTCGATAGTAGGAGATGGCTTTGGGCAGTAGCATGGGCCCAAAGAAGAGGACAAAGGCACGGATGCTGCGAATATATATTAGCACTGTCGATGATTCAGATTAAGCGAGTTACTTACGAGTCCCAAGAGATGGCCATTGTGAAGACCGCACCGCTTGACAAAAGACAGTGACCGGGGAGAAAGAGCCAGGTGGCCAAGGAAGACGAGGCTGTGAGATTGAAGGCGGCAAGCTGGCGAGGCTGCGAAAAGATGACGGTGTTAACAAATTAAGGTGGGCCTGCCTTTTGTCAGCGAATCAACGCTCGTCTATAATAAGTAACGTCTAGCTCTCGGCTGAGCGCCTAAATAGGTGGTAGTAATTTGCTACCCTAGAAGTTGAGCATTGGGAACAAAACAAGAGAAAGAACTCCTCAGGTACGTTAATTGTACATTTGAATGATACTTTGCAAGATTCAAACACAATAGAGCGCCATATGGTAAATCACATAGTATTATAAAGCCTCGTGTTGATGCCTTAGGTAGTCTTGAGAGTTGCGTTGGAGTGTTCATTGTCGAACGTGGATCTATGAGCGAGTTCACCTACCTTACACATCTACTATTACTGCGGATGAGCACAATGGAACATTGATGCCAAGGTACCAAGCAACTAGAAACTTTTAAAATAGATATTGACCTAAGCTACGCAACATGCCAACAACGTTGGAATATCCACCAAATTCTGTACATCTACTGCTGTATTGTGCAGTGTCGGTAGTGCTGTTGAAAGACATCAATTGTTTCATGACGCAAGCTTTCGATTTATAAAGGCTTATGAATGACCAAGTTATCACGACTTAAACGAGCCGCTGCGTCATCGTAATCCATAGATCGAAGTCGAGATAGAAAGGAACGCACGCCGCCAAGTTTATAACCACTGTCATCGCGAGAGCAGTGAAAAGCATCAATTCCGCTGTCTATCCATGGCTACTCAAAGAGATCCCCCTCCCTCCCTCTCCATTTTTACGTGAAATGTCCCAAAGATATGCGCCGTATTGTAAAATTTGCAAGTCGCGCCAAGTTTCGCCGTAACCATTATCGCCGTTGCCAGTGGGAATTATCGCATTGTAGTATCCATCGCTGAATCGCCTCCTCCCAAGTCTGTTTCTATTTTTTGATCTTCGACTCTATCTTCGCCTGTAGAGCGGCTTTTTCTTGTTCCGCTTTTTTCTTGTCGGCTATTGGCAATGATAGATTCGTTAGCTTCCATGTTGATTTCGCCCAGAATTGACATGCTGGAAAAGGAGGCATGTTTCGCATTGCACACTGACCCTCCAATTGCTTCCTTCGCATCACTTCGGCGTTACTTTCGCCTTGCTTCGCCAGCTCGGAGCCAGATTTGGCGTTGCCGCCTTTCTATGGCAAGACGTTAGCCTTTTTTCTGCCCCCTTCTCACGAGAAAAGTAGCTCAAGGGTGATTTTCAGCGTACCTTGGCAGCCTCCTTCTTGGCATTTTTGGCTCGAGCCAACTCACGTTGATTTCCGCGGGTCATGATGGCGCCGGTTGGAAGCTGCTCGTCGTAGATCTGCGCAGGTCAAGATGGATAAAGGTGAAGCTTTGGTGAAGCTTTGGCTTGCAACGGTCTACGTGGGCCCTTAAAGCCGTGGCAGCAAGGGCCAATCACAGCTTGCTGGGACTCGCGGATAAGCAGCGCTGCACTAGCAGATTGGTGGAACTTTGTAACTTCTCATAATCACAATGGTTATAGTGTACATTCGACTGTCCTCCCTTGACCAGCTTGCCTCGTCTCCCTCGATAAGTTACCATCTTTCGACCTTGTTCAGGGCGAGATATGCAGGATTTCCGCATTCGACGAGATGCCGGATTTTTATGACACGGACAGCCGGTATGAGGCTCGGCGGCTATCAAGGTACCCTAACATGGAACTGGCTTAATAAGCCACTGCCGAGCGCGGATATCAGGAACATCGTCCGCAATCTCTGGGCTGGAATGCTGTGCCGGACTCGATTTGCTTCCGGAGCACTTTGCAAGCTTTTTGGTTCTTTACATCCGAGTAGGAATCAATCTCGGCGCTTGATAAAGAGCTGGTGTGATGGTATAGAATTTTGGGTCAACAGCACAGAGTCGACGAGCTCAACGCTTAATGAGACATTGGATATTCTGCAGCCGTTAGTAGAGGACGACTAGTAAAAGAGAGCCTGGAAGCTTATGTTTTGCTAAATTTGCTCTTCGAATGTAGACATGTAAGGTAGAGTATTTCTTTTTGGCCACGCTCTTATTGCTGAGGTACGCTCGCGATAATAGATATGACGTACCTGTACTTGCGCTGCCCACCATTTTTGCCCACAGTAACGGTATAGTGTACCTCGCAGTAGCGCGCTGGCGCGACTCTCCAACGCTTCGCTGAAACACTTACACGCGCCGTCACAGCCAATCAATCCTCCTCACAATCCCGGCCTTGAGATCGAATCAAAGACTGTCAACTCAGGGCCCGTTTTCCAGGCCACTTGCCGCCGCGCCTCTATTGGCCTGGATCAAACGAAGGCATCATCTCAACATGAGCCGATGCTACTCTGCTAGACTTTTGGCCTGGCTGCAGGGTTTGGATCAGGAGCTCTCTTGAGCTTCAGCTGCTGCAATGTTTGGCGCAAGCGCTGTCATCCATTGAGACCAGATTTTGCTCATGAAACAAGCCTGTTCTTCGCGCGGCTAAGCTGGCCCGTTCTATTTTGGCTTCCGGTCTGCTGAAAATGCTTCTGTGCAAACGATTGGCCTTGGAGGCTGCCCAAAAAGAGGAGCTTGGCGCATGCCGTGAATGAGAGTAGGAGATGCGGGTTGCACACGCTGCATGTTTTTTACCCCATGGGAGCTCGCCGTGTATCGGAAGAGCTGTTTTTGTTAGCCACTATTCCGTTTCAGCTACAAGGATTTTTGCCTGGCTTGGGCGGCAAACAGTGGTGGGTGTTGTGTAGTTTATGCCCTTATTAAAGAAGTTGCTGAGCCTCTCCTCAGATTGCCACCCGTTTTCCCCTCTCAGCGTAATTTTTTTTTCTTATTGTCCTCTGTCATTTTTTTTCCTATTGTCTTTTTTTAACAATTGTTTATTGAACGGTATTGAAGTTGCTTCCTAGTCGTTGAACAGCAGCTTTCGCTTTCTTTCATCCTACCTACCGCTTCTCTTCTACTCTCTTTCCCACGTAACTTTCATCCATCTTCATTGCCGCTGGGCTGGTTCCCTCATTTTTCTCTGCATCGACTGGGATTTTTCTATTGCCAGGATTCACACGACTCGAATACATCATCAAGGTCTATCTATAGATATTTCTTTCCTTTTCTCTATCACAGTCATTCACTAGCGAGCGGTGCTTGCTTCAATCCGAGGCTTACCAGCAATTTCAACCTACGATCATCTATATCATTCATTCTGCAAGTCTGCTTTTTTTTTTTTTAAATCAAAAAACGTCAATTATGCCTGGCTTCATGAACTCGCCGGCGCTTCGAGGTGCTGGCCTGGTTATTCTCCAGGCCCTCCGAGTCGCTACCGTCATCACTCTTCTGACTGCCGGAGCTGCTTGCTGGATTCTCATCATCAACGTCCAAAAGAGCAAGCCGTACTTTATCTTTGAGTGCTTCACGCTCTTCTTCGTCTCCGTCTTCTGCTCTTTGCTCGTCGTCTCGGAGCTGGCATTTATGGAATTCATCAAGATTTACCTTCGTCGCATGTGGCCTGTCTTGTCCGACCACCACGGGCTTAGTTGGCTGGGCATCGGCATGATCATCATCGGCTGCAACCTCTTGGGAATGCTCAACCACGACTTGGACATGTCCTCTGCGCTCTCTTCGCTGGTGCTCGCTGCGGGTATCCTGTCCTTTATTTTCGGCTTTCTCAACTTTGTCTGTTCATTCATCTGGTGCGATAGAAAAGAGGGCATTACATCTCGCGATATTCGGGCAAACGGCTCGCTGGCGCGGTCTCAGCGCCAATACTCCGAGTACGGCGGCAGCAGCAGATCGAACTCCATCCGAAACGAGAAGACGAGGAGCAAATTCATGTTTTGGAAAAGTGAAAAGGAAGACGAATATATGAGTGGCCAGGCTCAAAGTCACCCGCCCTACATCATCACTCACCATGTCCATGATGTAGAAGCTCAGAGCGACAGCCCTATTATTCCGGGCCTGAAGCGTCCAGATACGGCGCTGCACCCAATGAACAGCCGCAGCAGCCGCAGCAGTCGATATTCCGAGGCCAACATGTCACGCTTTTGATATCGCTGGACAACTTCTCAATCTGAAGTATCTGTCTCGTGTGACAGGAAAGAACACTGAAGGAAGAAAGCAAAAAAAAAGGGTGTAACTCGCATGGTCGAGATGGATGACTTGAATGGACCAGGGGCGTTGAGGACCGGAACAAGTGCAGATTCATAATAACGGAATACCCCAAAGTGGGCAGGGAATTGCCTTTTGATTTCTTTGTGTTTACAGTTTCTTCTTTCTAGAGTGCTCTAGCAATGATTTAATGCGAAAACCAACAATAATACAGCAAACATGTCCCTAGCCGTGATGCGAGCTTCATCTTCACGTGAATACGTGTATTCTGATGTAAGCATATCGGACGTCTCAAGCCAAATCGCGTAGGCACGTGAGCAAAAGAAACTGTCACAGGTGGCAATGGCTTTGCAATTGGCTGCTCTCCCGTAAGTGATAGAATAATATCTCCAAGCTCTATCTCATTCCAATTTTATTTTCTGTCATCTCAACTCCTCGGTATTTGTTCCTTTTGGCCTCTGCCGAATAGTCGCTACGCCTCGGTGGCCCGTGCGGCATTTGATACTGATAAGCCGATATGTCACGTGATCCCAATTAGCATCGAACTCTAACCAGCGCTTTGTTTGCTCATTCAACGCCTTCATCTTCCCTTTCTCAATGGTATCTCTGGCGACCTGAAGCGGCTCAACTCGACGGCGTAGAGTTTCTTCCTGTGGGAGGGAGTCAGTCTACGTGTTTCGAAACTTTCTTTTCTAGCGAGCCAATTTGTCGTCCTTGCTCCCCTTTCCATCTCCAACGTTCCTTGTCTTGAAGCGAGACCGAATCCAGTCCATTCTGACGACGACGCGGCGTTCGAGGCGATAATTGAAGTAGCTGTTCCCAATACATCCCACATACGCGGCACAGACCACAGGCGGTCAATCTAGCGTAGGCGTGCCTGCGGGTATAGTGTTTGAATATCGCAGCGAGTGATCTGGGTGGCGTCAAGAGGAACGCTGAAGAGGGCTTTACAAAGGATCAATACGGATAGCTTGGTGGCTGAGTTTAGAGTTATTGAGGACGGTGAAGACCAGGAAAAGCATCTCTTGGAATATACTTCGCCTCTTCTTGAAACGTGCGGTCATAGTGTCTGATTCCTTTTCGTTCGTTGCCCATACGAATCTTAGCTTTCTATCTACTCAAGGCGGCGGAGACGTTTCATTTGTTTGTTGTTTATGTCCTTGGGGCCTTGAGCAGATATCATTGCTCGTTTTCATTATCCTGGCCATATCTGACTGTCGACGCCTCTTTTTTTTCTTCTTCTCCCTTATACAGATATTATTTGAGCCATCGACAAAACAATTCAAAATGTCATCTGATGGCGATGAGGTTGCGGAGGATTACCGCCTTGCCCTCGAGGATCTGTCCTCTAATATGCGTTTTGAGATCAGCAACTTGACAGTAATTGCCAGAGAGAACACGGAGCATGCTCTGGCTATCGCAGAGGTTCTGCAGCAGCACATCCTAAAGGTAGGATATTAGTTCTTTTTGTTTTAAATACTCGCCTGGGAGATCAACTGTTTGACACGATGAGATCTTCCCCTTATTACCCTGTTCTATTCCCTCGTTGGATGTTCATATGCTTATTCGTAACTAGGCACCACCGAATAAAAAACTGCCTGCCCTATATGTAATGGACTCCATTGTCAAGAATGTCGGCACTCCATATACGCTCTACTTTGGGCGAACGCTTTTCAAGATATTCATGGAGTCGTATTCGGTTGTCGATCATGGCGTGCGCAGAAAGATGGAGGAGATGCTCAAAACATGGAAAGACCCCGTTCCTGGATCAATGGATACACGCCCTGTCTTTTCACATGAGTTGGTGCGGCCAATCGAGAATGCTCTGATGAAGGCCCGAGCAGCAAGCATGCCTCAGCAGGCACAGGGGCCCATACCGGGCAGACCTCGATCAGCAATGTTTCCGAATCGGAATACACCGACGCCGCCTGGAATGCGCGGATACGCTGGCCCCGCTGGGAATTTTCCACCACAGCCTCACCCGTTTGCCAACGGAGGGCATCCCGGTGAACCAGTCGCTGGCTATCCGGGACAACAAGTGAGATTCATCTCTTCAAACTCTGCGCCTCTTTTGTTGGGTTTTCGTTCTGACCGTGTCTGTATACAGCCTGCTCCTTATCCCCCTTCATCTACTCCGACCCCTTACAACTCGACTCCGGCTCCCTTCCCCCAAGCTGCCCAAGGACCATACGGCTCAGGACTGCCTCTGCCGTCTGGAATTAGCGTAGAGACCTTGAGCAGTGACATTCAAGCTTTGATTGTTGCAATGAGGGCCGAGTTCTCGCAGAACCCGCATGATAGCGGAGCACAGAGCAGGTTAAAGGCTCTGTTGGATCTCCAGAGCGTTGTACAGCACTCCAATCTGCCGCCAGACCAGCTTGAGCTCATTAAAAACAAAGTAACAGAACTTGCTGCCGTGACAATAAGGGCCACTCTTGGCCATAGCTCTGCAAACTCTACCCCTATCCCAGCACCCGTGGCGCCGCCGTCTATGGCGCTTCCCGTGCATCCTCCCTCTACTTCTGTAACTCCGTCACCTGTGCCGGCGGCTCAATCCGCTGCGCCAGTGACTCTTGATTCCTTGCTCGGGAAAGGGGCGATGGCGGCCTTGCTGAGTATGCAGTCGGGCAACTCTCAGCACAACAACTCAACGCCCACTCCTCCGTTTGCTGGCGTCCCTATACGGTCGCCGCAGATGAATCACAACGAGCCACGCAAGGCAGCGGCAGCACCACCACCCATGGCTGCGGCTCCAATCTCAGGTGCCTCGTCATTGTTAGATCAGCTTCGAGCTGCGGGCATGCTGCCACCATCGACACCTACGAATGTCCCAGCTCCCAGCCAGCCACCAGTTGCTCCCGTGCTGCCGCCTTCTCTATTCGCTTCAGGCCTACCAGCGAGCATTGCCAGCCTACTGGCAGCCCATAAGCCAGACTCTGGCCGGCCAAGGGCAGATAGCCCGGCCAACTCTACCGGACTAGACTTTGCTTTAAAGAAACAGTAAGTTGATTTGCCATACTACTTGGATTGTCATACATTTCATTGACATAATGTGACGTAGGTTTCGTCCCGAGTACATTGCTGCGTTATACGACGATCTAGGACCTCCGTGTACGCAGTGCGGCAGGCGATTCAGGACTGACGCAGAAGGGAGGAGAAAGAAGACGGCTCATATGGATTGGCATTTCCAAGTGCACCAGCGGAGCACTGAGGCCGAGAAACGAGGCACTCATCGGAGCTGGTACGTTGACCAGCAGGTAAGTCTATTGTGCCCCAAACTACTAGTAGCTCTTAGAAAACCATGGCCTAACCTGAGATACAGGACTGGCTTAAAGCCCGAGAAGCTGTCGATGCGATCCACGACGTGTCTTCCAAAGAAGAGGCTGCCCAAGCCTCCAAAGATGCAGAGGGACCAAAGTACATCCTCGTGCCAGATCCAAGTAGCGGCATTAACACTGTTTGCCCAATCTGTCAGGAACGATTTGAGAACAAGTGGCTCGACACGGTCCAAGAATGGGTATGGCTCGATACAATGCTGGTGGGCAACCGGGCCTATCACGCCTCGTGCCGTGCCGAGGCGACGAGAGACCGAGAATTTACACCCGGCCATTCACGGCGAACTCCAGAGCCGGTTCTGGGAAAGAGGAAAGCAGAGGCGGGCCTTTTGTCTCCAAAGACTAGAGTGCAGAAGTCGTTTATGTAGCGACATGAGCATGTTATTGATTAAGCGAAAAGCGGAGCGTTATTTGGGAGGCAACATGGCGATTCTACGATGGTCAAAGATTCTCATGGATTATTCCTATGGATGATTGGGAGAAGATATGTACGCATGGAAACAAAAGCAGCATACATGGATTGGCGTTTGGATGCATTGCGAATCGACCATCCATGATGGTTTTAGTCCAGGACTTGTAGAGTCTGGTGCCGATTATGGGGTTATAAAATTATCAAATTTGCGTGAAGATGGAGCATGAGATATACGGCTCGTGTTTTGTTGATGCTTCCTGATTTTGTCATTTTGGATGACGCCGGGCAAAAGAGCGAGACATGTTTGGCTGGGAAGAGAGCCGAGACAAACTTTTGAGGAGCTGCTTCCCTGTATTTAGAGACTGATGCTCATTCAGAGCAGTCATGTAATAGCGAATAATAATTCAAACTTTGTCGAAATACTAAAGACATACCTTAATGAAGCTGTATTTTGTGGCCTCGGCTGTTGACTGCTGAGAAAACTTGGCAACACAATTAAATGTAGTAGGTACTAGGAACTGATGTGGTGATGTGCGTGCTCTGCATGTTTGGAAATGCCATTGTCTGGGAAAGTTGGGAAAGTGTCCTTTTCCAGCTTCTAAATTCGAGAGTTTCGACAAGGATACTGCCTGTATGTCCTCGGTAACTGAAAATGCCATGGCCAGCTGAAATAAAGTGAAGCTGAGCTGAAGGATTCTCAAATAGTCGGCACATCCTGGACGGCGCCCCCAAACTAGGTCGTCCAGCCGCAGCTGTGAAAAAGCAACTCTCCCGACCTCCAGCAGGCCCGTTTAGCACCCTCTAGCGCCCTGCCGCCCGTGGAGAGCACCCGCGCGCCCCAGCAACCCCCCCAAACCCCAGCTGAGTCCCCCGCCAGCCACTAAAAGCTTGCTCCCAGCCTGCTTACCTACTCACCGGAATCCATCCCCGCCGGCCTCAACTCAACTCGTCGATCCGTCAATCGCAGTTGATCTCCAGCAAATGCAGCTGTAACCACCCCCCTGCGAAAAAAGCCCGCTCGCCACACCTGCACGACGACACACGCGACGACGACGCGAAAGAGGCCACTGGAACGACTGAGACTGTCGTCTGAATTTGATTTTATTCGCTGGACGGAGCTGCTGTTGCATTTGGCTGGCTGGTATCGTCACACTGACTAGCTGTCGATTGGTTGGCGCTTTTTCGTCGCTTTGTGTTTTCCTGCTTCATCGCAGATATGGAGGTGAGAATCTTTTTTTTCTTTTGTTGCGCCTAAGTTCTATTCGCCCGCGGTATTATGTATCAATGCCTCGCTTCACAAATCCCAGCTGCCGCCGCAAAGAGGATTGCCGGCCATGCATGTTTGTGCCTCGATAAGCGCTTTGTCACACGACCGCAAGCAGGGCTCTTTTGCTCCAGTGAGCTCGCGGCAGTCTGTTTCTGCGTGTGACACCCACATGCTTTTATTCTGCTGGCTGTTATTGTGTCTTTTCTTTTTCTGTTTTCGCCCCCTTGGTTTGCTGTGCCTACTTCTGGACTCGCAGGGTACAATGCAAAACAACCTGATGGCCCCAAGTGAGACCCTCCCCTTTTGGCTCGTGACCGTCTGCCCTCTTGGACGGAGAGACATTAGCACTACCTATGTATGCACAAGAGACGGCTTGCTCAAGTGGGCACGACATGGTTCAAGGTTTGACTCGCTTGGGCTGCGGCTGGTCGAGGTTGGGCAGCAGCAGGAAGAGCAGCCACAGGAGCACGTGTGACGACGCAGAGGACGAGATGGCTCGTGTCACCGTTGATGCCTGATTTGCGCCGGCGAGGTCGGACGAGGTGATTGAGGCCTTGCCTTGGCCCTGGACGTTGGCGGCGCTGTGGCTTGTGCCGGTGTTGTGCATGTGCTGGGGGCAGGCCGCGGGCTGCGCAGAAGCAACGTCGGTGAGGACGGGCTGCATATGGGAGAGAGAGGGCAGAGCTCGAGTGAGCTCTGATAAGTGTCCTGTCCGCCGGAAATTGCTGCGGAGCAAGGACGTATCATGGCATGATATGAGAAGAGAAAGCAAACAAATCTTTCCTTCACAAGCGTGGGAATAAAGAGTGCCCCCAGATCCTGAAGCTGCAGAGCATCACAGAAGCAGCATCCACAATGTCTCTCAGCCCTCCCATCTATGATTCGCCCGCAGACCGGCAGCTCGCCGAGCTCAATGCCCTTCGTCGCTCCCCCGTTCGTTCCGGTGTCATGAGTCCAGCCAGGCTAAAACTCCAACTTCTTTATGAGCAGAGCAACCAGGAACCGATAAAAAAGGGCACGCTGAGGCCTGCCGACCCAGCAGGTGGCGCGTTTGAGAAGGGAAAGCCGCGATTACTGTTGATGGGACAGAGACGGTATGTCGATTCGCGCAAAGTCGAGGACGCAATCCAACAAAAGGTGTGTTTTACTAATTGGTGCGCGTTTGATAGGAGCGGAAAGTCATCCATTTCCAGTGTGGTTTTCCACAAGCTTGCGCCGAATGAGACGCTATTCCTCGAGTCAACCGCGCGGATACAAAAGGATACCATGTCGTGAGTTTTCTTCGCCACTCGGCTTTTCCATGAGTGACTGTTCCCCCAACTGACCCCGTCATCACAAGGTCATTTATGGACTTTCAGATTTGGGATTTCCCAGGCCAGATCGATGTCTACGATAATCCTAGCTTCGACATGGACGCCATCTTTGGTGGGCTCGGCGCCCTGATCTGGGTCATTGACGCTCAGGACGATTACCTCGAGGCTGTCGCTCGCCTCAATGTCACCATTCTTTCTCTCCAGCGATCATATCCCAATATCAACATCGAGGTGTTTATTCACAAAGTAGATGGCCTGTCAGACGACTATAAGCTGGATATTCAGAGAGACATCACTATTCGTATTCAAGATGAACTATCCGACCATGGCTTCGAAAACGCCCCCGTTACTTTTCACCTTACTTCCATCTACAACCACTCCATCTTCGAGGCCTTCAGCAAGGTCATCCAAAAGCTCATCCCGCGACTCGGAACTCTCGAGTCAATGCTCACAAACTTGTGCCGAACATGCCGCTTCGAAAAAGCCTACCTATTCGACGTGCTCTCCAAGATTTACATTGCTACCGATTCTGCGACGGCTGATATGGCTAGCTACGAGATCTGCAGCGACTACATTGACGTCATTATCGACATTACCGAAATCTACGGCACGTGGCAGCGCAGCGATGATGGCCGCAAACGTCTCGAGGGCGAGCCGTGGAACGCAAAGTTGGAGGACCAGGTAGGCTGCTCGACGGCAGAGAGCTGCCTCGTCTTGCACGATAGCCACAAGCCCATTATGCTACGCGAGGTCGATCGGTATCTCGCGCTGGTGGCCATTATGACGGATGATTCTTACGATCGGATGCCATTGGTGAATATGAATGTCGAGGCCGTGGTGGAAGGGCTGACGGAGTTTTTTGACATTACAAAACCAAAGATTAATGTTGCGGGTTAGATGAGGATTGGGGCAAGTGTTGTATATACGCTACAACGGCAGGCGTTTTTTGGCATCTTTTAATTATTCTCTTGTCTTGTTTGGTGGAGGCAGAGAACTGTTTATAGCATTACGATACATGATTCTTAATCGAGTAATTGTGATTATTTATTCCTTTTAAACAATGCTTTCTGTCCATTGCAATTGTGTCTCTCTCGAGTGGATCAGCCTGTAGTTCTAAATGATGCTCATTATTCCTCGATAGGTATTTTAAAGGTCTTCCATGTCGTGCGGTTATTGCTTAAAAGACAGATTCGTGCAGGTAACTCCCCTCTGATCTCGCTTCTATCGTGGGCCTCCATACGAATGGGCCGAAGTATTTGGTGGTTGCCTGGAAAGTGATACGTTGTAAAGATGTCGGCTGATGTTAAAGAGGGAATCTGGTTAGGATGTGCGGCATCGAAAGGGCTGTAAGAGATCTTAGATTCGTCTTGTGTGGGGATGAGGATGATTGATGGAGTGTTGTCTGTTTAGTGTCAGTACGTAAAGAGCTGCTTAGGTGGATGATAAAAAGACATACTGTTTTCGGTGCAGAAAAGCACTAGAAATTTATCGTTGAGGAACTTCAAGTCCACGAGCGATCGGGAGCCAAGATCGATAACGCAGACCATCACCGGCTTGTTATCGCTGATTCCATTCGTTATCGCCATAAGCATCCGGAACAAGTGCACTTTGCTTGTGTCCTGCTGCGACGCCAGCGCAGTGAACACAGTCCCGCTTCTTTTGCTAGAGCCGTGCATCTTCATGTCCATTTTGGTGATGGGCTTTCCAATGGATAGCTTGACTGGCTTTCCGAAGCGGACGCTGCGTCTCTTTGCTTCGGCGATGCTGCTGAAGATCTTGTTGGACCATGTGGTGGCATAGTTGACGAGAAAGTCGACGTGTGGGAGGGCTTTCATGCTTGGTTGGCCTGCTTCGTGCTTTTTGAGCTGCTTATCCAGGACGTCTAGCAGCGTTGGGCCGTCGTCTATGAATTTCATGTCGGAGTCGTAATCTTCTTTCGCAATCTCATTGAGGAAGATGTCGAGAGGGCTATTTGTTAAATAGCGCTCAATGTAGGTCAACACCTTTGTGTGGTCCATCATGGCTTCCTTGTCAGTGAGTTCATCGGCTCCAGTGCCAGGTCCTCCCAGCTGATCAATCTGGAAGCGGAGCCACGCTGAAAAGGCGGAGAAATGCTGGAGCTCATCCATTGTGTGAATGAGGACCTTGTGTCCGACTAGGGTGAGGCAGCTGATGGTGTCGAGAACACGGTTGAGATGGGGAATGGAGAGGCCAATATCTTCGCGGTCGTTGTAGAAGCGAGCTAGGCCTCGTAGGCGGCTGAGGATGATGGAGCATCGTTCGAGGGCTGGAAGGAAATATTGATGGACGAGGCTGCGGAGACCTTCGAGGCCAGATACGACTGCCTTGTCCCATCGTTTGTGGCCCTGTTCATATAAATTAGCTGTGAGATAATTGAAGATCCTATAATAGATTGCGTACCCGCTCTGCCAGGCTGTCGACAAGCCACTCCTTTACAGGAGGGTGGGCGTGGCCAGTCAAAGCCGTATGAAACAGGGCAGAAACTATCTCGTTTGGGCCGCCATTCATCTCTTCCAAGTCGCCATGTACGCTGCGTAGGAAGCGAGCCGGAAGCTCTCTTGCGTTTTTCCACTCGACCTGCATATGAAGAGATGTCTGTTTCAGGTATCGTAGGAGTGCTTGGAGGGTAGTGAGTTTGGAGGATAAGAGCGACAAATTAATGGGAGAAAAAGAGAGAAATGGTAAGTCCATAGGAACAAGATGGATTTCTTGTGGCTCATTTTGCTTTTCTGCATAGATGAGGGAATGCGTTGATGTTCGTGGGTGAGCTGCATGGAGTATCATGTGCATTGCACTCAGAGATGCTGATGCTGGCGAGTCCAGCAGTGGTTGAGCAAAGGTTCCAATGATGAAGGAGTCGTAGATGCTGAGCTGCAGTTTGCCATTGCTGGTCCCCACAATCATCACCTTGACTTGGTCATAAGTGTCTCGCTTTGGTGTCCGGAAGAGAAAGTCGATACCGCTGCGAAGAGTGAAGACTGTAGCATCCTCGCTGTCCAACAGTCAGGAGATCACAAATCAAGCTACATTAACAGAATGAGAGAAAAGAGCCAAAACTCACCCTGCGCCAGCACTACCTGTCGGCAAGGGGCTAATTCTGGGCAGCGCCGTCTCAACTTCTAGAAAGGTGAGTTCTTGAGGCAAATCGAGAGGTGTCTTGGCTCCCGGCTCGGTCCATCCCTTGGTGAATTCATCTCCAAGTCTGTTGGAAATGGCTCCACCTGCCTTGCTCGCGATGATGGCGGTCGACCAGCCAATGTGCGTGATTGTGGCTTCAGCCTTATCGCAGACTGGGATATGATGAGCAGCCTTGTTGTTCTCCAAGCCCATGAGCCGCACAACGCCATCACTCCAGCCCAGAGATAGAAATTGGCCTGTGATTTCACGGTTAGAACAGGTATATACAGTGGGATATACAAGAGAATGCATATGCATATGCATATACAAGGGCATTGTACCATCAGGCCTCCATGTCACTGCGCACACCTCAGGCACTTTCTCTCCCGGCGAAGCAACCTGGTGTATCTTGGAGACAATTTGACCCGGTGGCCGGTACACAAGCAAGTTTCTGTCGTCCTGATCCCAAGTTGCCGCCAGATCGAGAGTCGGACAGCTGATAGGGAAGCGTCCTCCAGGCGGCGTTTTGGACTGGAGCTCCGTTTCGCTCAGAAGCTCCAGCTCCGTTGCCTGTGACATTTCTGCGACTCAAATCATCCCCATGAAGAAGTTTTGTACATGGGATTCAACAAATTCGCGAAGAGGAGGGCATTTCTGCAAATGCGAGGCGGTTTGTTTGGACGATTGCAGGAGCCAGCCATGAGCAAGGCATGGTTCAGCACGCGACGGGAATTTTTGGTATGCATTTTGAGGATAGGACAATAGTGTTATAATCTGTTGCAATAGAGTCTCTAGCACATACGACCATAGGTAGTGGAGAACTCGGGGTCCCGTCTGCTCCCCCATAGATAAGCCACTAACCGGCAGATTAGTAGTTGGGTGGGTGACCACCAGCGAACACCGGCTGTTGTATGTTTTTACTTTTTGCTTACCTCTTAGATAAGTCGTAATATCAGTACTTCTAGCCGTCCACCCCATCACATACGACCATATCCATTGCGAAATACGGGATCCTGTCACGTTTTTTACTCATATTCAGGGTCTGCCATCTTTGGGGGCCTGGGGTTACAAATTTGGAGTCACATGGTTCTGTTGTCACCCCATTCTAAGTGTTGGCCAACATATATAGCGGATGGAGCTCATAGGCACAGCAGACGTAGCTTAGTTTGAGAAACGCAAGAAAAAAAGTGAAGCAAAAGATAAATCCAGTCAGACAAATGGCCATCTACATCTTGAAAGATGCACTTTGAATGCCACCGAGAAGCCCTTGGCATAGATGAGTCGCAACTACGAACATCCTGGCGCTTTGGCGGCAGTGTTGTTGTGAGCTGGCAACAAAGCGCTTACGAGCTCGAAATTTCAACGGACATGAGACTCAGGTGAGGTCATTCCGAGCTTGCTCCAACGAAATCTTGCTTCGTTAAATGGCCTTCGAGCCTGCTAACCTCGGGCTAGCGAGCACAAGTTCGGGTTCGCGTACATGGCCAGGTAACTCGTAGAAATGGTTCCTGTATAAGAGGGAAAAACATTATATAATATTACAGCAAAAAGCATCGTACATTATTACATTGCCGAGTTTCCGTATTCATGGCAGCTGATAGGATTAAAGTATAGAGAAGCCGGTTGCAAGCGCCTGGCTGTCACCCACCAGCTCTCCTCCCCGATATGCTGACCTCCTTGCGAACCTCTCCTGAAGACGGAACAAATGACTAATATGTAAACACAACCCTTCGATTCTCAGTATATATATATTCTCCATCGATGGGTCGCCGAAGTCGACGTAAAAAACGAGCAATGCTGCACCGTGAACACAGAATTGCTTGTAGCAAGCAATCCCCCGGTTTATACAGCATCCAAGCGCGTAGTGAATCATGCTAGCGGTATATGTTCTTCTCCTAGGGCCAAGGATTTCCCCAAGCGTCGGCCCATCCATCTCAATCTACCAGGATGCAAGATCAAAAAGATTGTGGCAATGGCCAACATGACGGAGCTATCGAGCACGTAGAGATACGCCTCGTGCGCGAGCATCTCGCCGTTGGAGCCCTGTTGAAACTCAATCATGCGAGTGATATTGCGGACGATGAAAAGAACACTGATGGCATAGAGACCATAGATGTAGCGCTGCCACGGGAGCTCACTACTCAGCGGGTTCGGAAATGACGCAGATGCCAAGCGCTTTTGGAAGCAAGCGGTCCAACCCGCAAAGAAGCCAAACGCGGCGACCTGAAGGATCAAGCCTGCCAAGATGATGATCCTCCCGTGACTTGCCTCATCGGCATTTTCGCTGCCGGATATAACGGATCCGGCAAACTGTGTCACAAAGCAGATGGTGTCGACGAGAACAAACAGCTTCGTCAATACACGAGGATGTATCGTTAGGTGCTCTGATTCCAGGACTCGTGCAATGCGGCGAGGGGACATGTAAATGCTCGCCGCCAGGAATGGCGGCGCCGACAAGAGTAGTAAATTTTGGAGTAGGAAGGGTAAAGTCTTTCGTACATCGTTGTGGGACTGTGATCGAAACCAGTAGGCGCTGGCTTCCACTGTCAGACACGATTGGATTAGTATAAGTCGTTTGGATTGTAGTTCCCAATATCACATACTACCACAGCCGATAACGAGGGGCAAAGGGAAAAATGAGCGATATGGAATCATGGCCACCAAGTGAAGAAGACAAACGACGCTAAAAAAGCCTAAGAAGGCGAATGCCGGGCCTTGGGATGGGTTGTAGGGGTACAAGTCGAACGGAGCGTATCCCTGAGTTTCTGTGTTGTTCGCCATGCTGAACTGCGCACAAGGAGTTGCGAGCAACCAAACCTAGGTTTCTGATATTACAGATGAACCCGGGTGAAAATGAAAGACAGAAAATAAAGAAGGAAAACAATTGCAGGAGGAGGAAAGTTGACACGGAAGAGCTTGAACATTTTGCGGCATCTCATTCAGCAAAGGTTGCTTCATTTATAGGTAATTTGGTTAAGTCTACCGCTGCGATGCTCCCGAACCCTATTTCATCGCTGTACGTATCGAGCCCTTGTTCATCGCTCATGTAGGATGGGCGAGTAGGCTAACTTGGATCTGCCGTAAAGCCCTTTAGTACCCTCTTAGATCTTTTACGCATTTGATACGCATTTTGATCCCTGCACTTTAGAGATAAGTCCCCACAGCAAGGTGGCGTCGAGTGTAGAGAGCCAGTCTATTTACAGCATAGCATAGCGCGTCCCGTTCGTGTAAGCCTTTTGTGATTTTGCGGAAAGGGAACGTAAATGAAACAACTTGACACGACTCACCATTACGCAAGCAAAGACCGACAAACACATCATCATCTCTTTGCGTATGGGTCACGCGCGGAGACAGCATACCAAGTCTCGTCTTGGTTGCCAAACGTGCAAAAGGCGAAAAATCAAGGTGAGCCTTCGGCATCGCATCAAGATTCGCGCGAGATGCGTAATGTTTTAACTTGTCCAACATACTAGTGTGACGAGTTCAAACCTCAGTGCGGGAACTGCGCTCGATTCAGCGTCCCTTGTGACTTTTCTCCTATTCCTGCGCAGGCAACAAGTTTGTCTCCCAAGGCAGCTCGTCGAGGCCGGCCTCGATCCGACTGGGCGAGTTGGGCCGAGCAGCTTCGTCTGAGCTCTGCAGCTTCCGCCCCAAGAGCATGTGCATATTCGGCGAAGCGTCTTGATATTGATAGCTTGGAACTGTTTCATAACTTCATGACTACCACTGCGCAAACATTGGGCGACGATGTCAAGCTCTGGTCCGAAGGGGTGCCTCAGCTTGGCTTTCAGCATCCTTGCATCCTTGATCTTATACTGGCCATGTCATCTTACCACCTTGCTAGACTGAAGCCATGTAATGCGCCAAGATATCTGGAGCTTGCTGAGAAGCACTCAACCTTTGCTATACAAGGAGCAACCGAGTTCCTCAAACACCTAGATGGCGAGACTTCAGCACCACTTTACGTCATTGCCGTTCTCATATGCTTCATAGCTTTAGCTAAAGGACCTACTCCGGGCCATTTGCTTCTGGTTGCCGAGCATGGACAAATTTCGTGGCTATCATTGCTCGGTGGCGTAAAATTCGTCGTTTTGACGTCGGGGTGGCCATCCATCTTCTCCGGTGGGCTGGCCGACTATCAGCCTCAGCCGGAGAAGGAGAAACAACAAGAAGAGTCGTCCCTGTCAGAGCCCTTGGTGGCTGGCATTGAAGACTGGCGCTTGTCCTTGAACGACATTTCAAACCTGATAGCCGTTGTTGGAGTGCAACAAGTCAGGAATGCTTACGAACACGAGATGGAGGTATTGTTAGGCTGCTTTGAGTCCACCTTTGGCAAGGGCCGAGATTCCCGGCAAACCATCAAAGGCACGATGCAGGCTATCATGTCCTGGATCTACCAGCTGAATGATGTATTCATTGAGCAGTTGAAAAATAAAGACACGATTGCCTTGATTATCTTGGGTCACTTCTGCGTCTTGCTCAGTACCATTGAACGGTATTGGTTCATTGAAGGATGGGCGCGGCACACCATACAAGAAATCCTTCACATCTCAGAGGCATGTCGCAGATGGCTTTCCTGGCCACTCCAATACTTGGAATGAGATTTTGCAACTTGCCAACGGCTTATTGTTAACGTCTCGATAACTGTACTTAACATACGTCTCAAAGGAAATTGTGTCCCGCTGTGACGGCGAATGTTGCTGCGGCTTTGGCAATGCCCGGCATTTTTGAGATGTGTGGTCAGGGTCAATAAAGAAAAGTGAGCGCTGTTGATGGAATGGGAGTTTTCGGGTGTGAAGAGCCGAAGCTTGCACGAGGCGTCAATGTCACACCTTTACACCTTTCATCTTGGCGTGCAAAAAGATCGTGTTGGGGTTGTGCTGAACAATACAGCTAGCAGAAGGTGACTTATAAGTTGATCAAAGCTACCACCAAGCACATACGACCATATCCATTGGAAAATACGGGATCCCGTCTGCTCTCCCAGAGTCAAGCCAATGAGAGGCAGATTAGTAGTTGAGTGGGTGACCATCAGCGAACACCGGCTGTTGTATGTTTTTTTTTGTTATAATAAAAGTCAAGATCAGCTCTCACTGTATCTCAGATCTTATTTTGTATAGAGTAATAGCATATTCAAGGCTGAGAAGACTTCTTTCCCTATAAGCCGCTTGCCCCCTAGTCCAGCTTGTTACTTTGTTGGCATAGTTTCAAGGGGGCTGAAGGGAGTTCAAGTCAAACGCCGTTCACGAACAATGGCTCGGCCCTCCCCTTCTCAGCTGCATTTGCTAAACCGGAGACTATTCATGTGCTGCACATGCTGTTTCGTAGGACTGGCAGCGTTCTTTGCTGGCACCAGTGATGAACCCTCCAGGCCCTGGGAGATCCACATCAGCTGAGAGAATCGATAGACTGCCATTAGATCTATGCGAAGACACTTGACTTGGCGAGAATACAAGTTGATCTCTCTTTCTGCGATTATGGAAGCAACGCCAGCTGCTTTAAAACGCATGGCAGCATCTAGGTATATGAGATGTCTGCTCGCGCCACGATGCTAAGATGGAGTATCAGCCTTAGTATTCGCCTTGACGCTACCTGAGACGGCTTGGAATCCCGCGCTTCATGCTCAACGTCGCTTCGGCGATCCTCGTCTTGGCATCAGAGGCGGCCGGTGTCACCATCCCGGCCGGGAGAGATTGTCACTCGCGACCAGACCTTCCGCGCCAATAACGGAGCCACATTCGCCGTGGAATCCGGCTTCGACTATCATGGCGATCACAAGACAGTCAACGCTAATAACCTTCATGATTGCATCAACATCTGCTCGACACAGGCGGCTTGCCTTGCCGTCTCATACGCTGCTACAGGCAAGTCGTGCTGGCTCAAGTCCACCGTAAATGCCGCCATCGCCAAAAACAAAGTGAGCGGTGCGGTTCGCCTGCACTATGTGTCGGTGCCGATTTCGTGCCCGACCGATGGTCTGAATTGGATCAAGAGGGCCTTTATCTTTCCAATTTACAAAAGCCTTACGCTAGCTAGGATTTCCTAGGCGTTATTTCGTTTGACTTCGACTCGACCGTCTGGCTTATCAACTCATCGGGGCGCGATGCAAGTTTTCACATGACGCTGGAGGCGCATCAAGCGGCCATTTAGCGAACAATGGGCAATCCAATGCTACAAAAAGTCTCTCACAAACAGCCGAAATCACGCTCCAGAAGGAAAACCAGTCAAATAAGAAGTAGTTGCTGCAAACAGGAGATGCCTATGATCAACCATCTCTTTAAATAGCCGGTTGACGGACGATATGAAAGTGTGGTGGAGGTATTGACTGCTACCGCCAGCTAGCCCTTGAGCTTATGGATACAGACGTCAGTGCTGCCCAAGAGAGATTCCAAGAGGGGAGAAATACTAGGGCGGCAACGCTTAAGCGTACTAGTGGAAGGACGAGTATGGAGATGTTAGTCCTGCTTTTGAAGACTAGTCTGCTGCTGGCTGGGTCGAGCGCACAGCCTTCAACAAAGAAGCTGGAGTAGCAGGATTAGGGTAGCAGGATTGGCAGAAGATATACGTGATAGCTACAGTGATTGGAAAGTAGTATCTATCTTCCTGCATAGGCATTCGAAACTGGCCGATTGTAAAACAATGGTTGTTAAAGTAATATATTCAATCTTGGTTATATATCTATCCCGGCGTTGATTGACTCGCTTGACTGAATGAAGTTGGTGGCAAGTCGCGTTCTGTAAAGAAGGAGGTCGCGACGTCGTTGGGATCAAAGCCCGATTCGGTCTCGAACTTCGCCTTTGTTCCGCTGGACTAATTTCCTGGGACATACGACTGAAGAAGTTAGGAATATCCTGGTGGGTCTCTAGGAGAGTGTGAGTCAGGACACTCGCAAGGGGTTCATGGTGCTCTGTAAAGAAGGAGGTCGCCACACCTCGGTGGCCAATGCAACCAGTGCGACCTAGCTAAATGGTTAGCAGCTGCTATCTAAAACCTGATAAGGACGGAAGATGGAAGAGCCAAATCTTACCAATTCGATGTCTTCAATACCGCCGTGTTCTATGGATGGGAGGTTATAGTTTATGACGTGCATCACATTGCGGACATCGATGCCGCGGGCTGCCACGGCAGACTCGATGAGAAGGGGAGCCTAGCCGGATCTCAAGCTCGCACAGCAGCTTCTCTTCCAACCTGTGTAGCTTCATATTGAACAAAAAGTCATCGAGCGTCTCAGCAGCTTGACGACTGTTGATAAAGATAATGGTATGAACACTATTCATCTCTTTGAGAAGAGGTAAAAGAGTTTTATTCTTCCCTTCCTAATTAACTTCAACAATCATCTGCGTAATATTCTCTGTGGTGCTACCGGTATAACCAATTCGGAAGCGCACATGTAAATTACACAAGTACTTCTTTGCAAGGTCTCGCGCAGCTTGGGAAAGATAGCAGAGAAGAGGCTGTAGTAGATATTTCCCACATCTTGCTTTATATTTATTAGTAATTGTGGCCTATGGAGACTAATATCTTCGGAAGAAAATACTTGCCTGCACCAGAGAGAATGGCCTGGAGTTCAGACTCCTAGTCATCGTTAAGCGGACGAGTGCACGATCGTGAAGAGCGATAGACGATGGCTTCTCATGATGGAACGAGTTCGCGAAGCCGAAGTTGCCTGGTTGACTTGGGCATCGAGATGACGAAGGCCATAAAATCCCGCCTAGCGGAAAGGCGGGGACTTACTACTATAGTTGGTCCCGCTAACTACCTAAGTACTAGTGCCTACATACTAGTATGAACCTTAGAAAGGTTATGTACCTTAGTAATAGAGACTCTGTAGGGAACGCGATTACAGCAGTAGCTGGCGGTAGTAGCAGCAGCTGGCGATTACAGCAGTAGTAGCTAGCAGTATCAGTAGTGGCTGGCGGTAGCAGTAGTAACTAGCAGTAGCAGTCAATACCTCCACCACACTTTCACATCATCCGCCAGCATCATGGATCCTCGTTTGATGTGCGACATATGCTCATTGTTGAGAATACCTCAGACATATGCAGCGAAGCATTGGCTTGCTGAGCTCTTTGGAAACGTGTTGTAGCACTCGCCAAGTCAGATGTAACCTATCAGTCGACGAATTCATAAACTGATTGCGCGCTATTAAAAAAAAAAAAAGACCTCCTACAGTGGCACATAGATAGGTAATGATTGGGTAAATCTAGAAGTGAAGCTCTGAGAAGAGCTTGAGGCTATGCACGCCTATATACAGATAGCAGGGATATACTTCTTGATTAGAGTTGGCCTTGTGTCCTCAGCGCCCAATGTTTAGAGCACGGCCGAATGATTTCTGCATCTGCAAACGCCTTAATATAATCAATACGCTGCGGCCCCTCTTGAATGACCTTGATCTGCCGAGTCCAGTCTGAACAATCTCGGCGGGACTCTGCGGTGCGGCCCCTCACCGCATCCCCCCGGCGCCTGCGACGTCGTTAGGATCGAAGTCTGACTCAAATTTGAACTTTACCTTTATCTCGCTGCGGGCATATAACTAAAGGAAGTCTAAATATCCTAGTTGGTTTCCAAGAGAGTTTTGGTGAGCACACTGACGAGAGGTTCGTCGCGTTCAGTGAAGGAGGTCGCGCCATCTCGGTGGCCAAAGGAGCAGACTTGACTCCAGTCTTCACGACCGATCCTTCTTCTAGAATCGCACGTCGTATCCACAGAGCTTGGTATTCCTGAGCATGACCGGATGAATTCCGGCATCCGCGAAGTAAGGATGGTGAATTCTGGATGGGAGTTGGCACCTTGTATCCACAGAGTTCGATATTCCTGAGCATGACCGGATGGATTCCGGCATCCGCGAAGATCTTGATATATTCGATTCGCTGTGGCCCCCCCTATCCGGTTCTGCCGAGCTGCTTTGACTTCTTATGCGGGCGTGTGGCGCAAAAAAACAAGAAACTTTCTTTTTGTCTACGACCTTGGCCGGGTTAGCAGCAGTAGCAGCAGTAGCAGCAGTAGCAGCAGTAGCAGCAGTAGCAGGAGTGCTTGATAATGGAACTAGGATGCTAGACAACTTACATGCAGAGAGGCCCCCTTTACTGATACCATGGGAAAGCTAGCAGTATTCCAGGTTCAAGCGAGCATCGATGTCGAGGTGAAAACTATATGCCACAAAGGATTGTTAATGAAGTTGGACTCTTTGCTGATAACATCCTTTAACATATAACATTAAGTCTAACTGGACTTGCTCGCCGCCCTTGTTGGATTAGCAGCATAGGACCTTTGCACTTAGCGATGTCTTTATAAGGACTAGGTATTTAAGTTACTAAGATATAATATAATATATAAATACTTTATAATAGTATAATACTAATATTAATATTAATATAGAATTAATTTATTATAATTAACAATAATATATTTATAAATAAAAAAAGCCTTTTTTGTATAGTATCTTGTGCCTGACTGACCGATGCGACGCCAAACGGCTCTTCCTATGCCTGGTGGCGTTACCTCTAACCACATTGATCTGTGACATCCAATCCTATTTTATACGTGACACTTGAAACGATATAACTGTGGGCCTATGATATTGCTGCGAATTGAAGACATTGTTGCGATTCATAACAAACTGCACTGACGCAGTTCTGGGCATGTATTGAAAGGAATGAAATTAGGATGCAGGAGGTTTGGGCAATGGAGTTTCACTATGCTCATTACCTTGGTAAGTAGTATATTTCTTCGCGCACTTACGTGCCCAACCCTAAATCCTTAGTCTTCTGATAAGATCATTAAATATTCTTTATTTTCCGCTCACAACAGGTATTATGCGCTCGACCCAGCCAGCAGGACCAAACTAATCTCCAGTCTCCATAACCAATCCTTCATCTGGAGCCGCCATCCTTGAATTAGGATGCAGTTGATTAAGAAGCTAGAAAGTCTACTTTGTGTTTAGAATGTTAGTTTAATCTAGAAGTGAAGCTCTGGTAAGAGCTTGAGACTGTGCATACATATAAACAGACAGAATTGTTCATGTTAAAATAATGGCAGTAGGGGCAGCAGCAATAGTAAAGAGAGGGTTTAGCAGCTATCGTCATTCACTACCTGGAGAGCGCCTAGAACTACTCTGTTAACTCAACGACACGCCCGGTATCAGCCCAATTTTGCAGCACTTTGTCCAGCATTCCGCGCTTCACGAAGTGCGTGGCGCCACCCAGCGTGACCAAAGTCCTCTGCTTACCCTGGCCTCTGCCTTGACCTCTGCCTTCGGCCGCCTGCATTTCCCTCTGCTCGTCCACCTTGCCCAAGACGTAAAGGTCGCCGAAAACCAACAGACCGCTCTTTTGACGGCTTAACATGACATTAAGGCGATTCTTATCGACGGTAAAACCAGGGCCGACTTCTTTAGTAGTTCTAAGAATGACCACCATGATGTCAGCCTCGCGGCCTTGGAAGGAATTAACCGTCGCGGCAGCGGGCATGCCAGTAAGAGGTGCCAAATGCTACAAGTCCTTTCAGCAGCGCTTAAAAAGCTTAACATTCGCCTTATAAGGCGAAATAACGCCTATGCTGGAGGCGGGGATATTAGTCTTTTTAACTAAGTTAGAGAGAAACTTAAGAGCGCGATTGACCTGCTCTTAGTTTCTCTTGGACTTAGTAACTGGGTTAATTAGGCAGACAGTACACGGGCAGTGGACAAATACCTCCTGCAAAGCACCGGCACGTATTAGCTTTAGCTCTGAAAACCTTTTCCGGAGGTACTCTTCCAAGGTTTAGCCAATCTTGTGGTTGGAGATGCTGCTTTTAGGGCCATACTGGAAGGGGAAGTCGCTGTAGACCTGCTACCCACAACAAGTATATCCACAACGGCAAGCGGCAAAAACACATTTGGTTAAATCAAGCCGTGAACTGCGGATGCTATCAAGTTACGCAGCTGCTGCTCTCATTTGCTGCTGACACAGAGCGCAAAGACGTCGATGGCCAAACAGCGCTTACTGCCACCGAGAGCTGTCGGTTTGCAGCACTGCTTCTTTCTTTTGGTGCCAACGTTGATGCGAAGGGCTCATGTCGCAGAACTCCAGTTCACTGGGCCGTATCAAGGAAGAATCTCTTTCTAGTGGAACTGCTTCTTGTTTGCGGCGCAGATATCAACACCATGGATAGTTTTGGAGAAACTCCGCTTGATCAGGCGGCACAGTCTGATGACGATGACATTTCGCTACTCAAAATGCTTCTTGAATATGGAGCAAATAAAATGAAGACATTTTCCGGCTCTGAAAAGATCAAAAACTCACTGCAAGAACCACCGCTGCGGGTTCCTATATCCATTAAAGCTATAGTACAAGGTCTTATGGAAGAATTTGGCCTATTTGCAAAACCAAATGGCTGGTCGCTTGGCGACGATTGCAGGCACCTAGAACTACCACTGAGTGAGAGACTCACAAGTAAGAAAAGAAAAGCTGACGATGTTTGAAGAATTCAGCAGCTGTTCAAAGTTTACAAATGATAGATCGTTAAGCACTGATTTATAGTTGAGGCTCGAATGAGCTGCTTGTTATTCGCATAAAGTTGATTAATTGTATTCTAAACTCATTCATAATCTTTCAACAGTCTAACCCAGTATCCATTAAAAAGACTCCTATTCCATTAAAGAACCACACACTCCCCCATATGATTATCGTTCTAAAGCATCAGCCACATAAGGAACCCCCCTTCATTACTCAAATTAATGCTTTTATGTCGAGGTTCTTACTAGGGAGAACCATCCGAACACACCGGCCATTTATGCTTCCAAGCCTGGCATACATATTGTTTCTCTCCTCTTCAATTCGACGTCTATTGTGCAAACTTGGATTTGGCACGAAGCTTCTTGCCATACTTGTACATCAACAATGTACCAATGATTCCCATGACGCTGAGTCCAGCCAAGACTGTTACACCCTTGTGCACTCCCAAATTGATAAACATTGGCCTGGCAGCAAGAATGCACCCGGCAGCAATAGCCGATCTGATCAGGTCATTGCCTGTGAAAATTGAGGCCGCGTATTGAGGATACGAGACCGGCACATACATGAAAAGACCCTGGATGACGCAGTATTGACCGACGGTGAAGATGGCAACACCAATCAGCGGCACGATCCAGTGGATACTGGGCCGAGCAGTCCAAGCAAAGATGAAAAGCCCGACCGGAATGACAACGGAACCGAAAATGGCCGGCAGCAAGCGGTGCTCCTGTTCACGGAATCCGTTCTTGATGTTGTCCGGAATCATATAAAAGTAAAGGTAGGAAAAGTAAAGAACAAGACCAACGATCGCTCCCACCTCACAAGCCAAGAATGCAGCACCAGTCTCCCCAAGGTTGAAACCATAGAAAGGTGGGAAGACTAGAGGAAAGACCTCGAAAAAGGTGAAGTAAATTGCATAGGTCAAGGCTGTGTATATATTCACAAAGAAAACTGACGGATCCTTTATTGTGATTTCAAAGGGTCGGATCAGCGCAGCAATAAGCACAGAGGATCCGGTCATGTTGCGCTGCTCAATCTCACTTTCAGACTGGAGGCGAGAGTCACCAGTGAGCTTTCGAAGTCGCCTGGCGCGCCTCAGTAGAATGTTGGGCGTGGATGTTTCGGGGGTAAAGGCTAGCAGGAAAATGGCCATGACTGCACATATCCACACAATTTCCCACAGCGGCCATCTCCAGCCTTTTGACTGTGCTGCAAAGCCGGCAAAGGTAGGTCCGATAGCAGGTCCTGCCCAGAACGACAGCACCCACCAACCAAGGCCGTAGGGGAAGTAGATGAGGGTGAAGATATCACCAATAGAGGCTCCTCCGATTGCAATGCCCACACTTCCAAAGAAGCCGGCAAAGAAGCGAATGGCCAACAGACCACCGAAGCTGTTGATTGCGGCTGCTGGGAATGACAGAGCAAAGAAGACGATGAAGGTGAGATAGTAGACTGGGTTTCTGCCGATGACTGGGATTTCAGTGAGAGGCCCGAAGATTAGCGGGCCTACACCATAAGCCAGAACATATAAAGCAAGGCCAAGCTCAGATGCTTCAACGCTGACACCAAAATGCTCTACAATGCCTGGCTCTGCGAAGGCGTAGACTGAACCGGCTACATAGGTGACCCATGTATACAAGCAGATGACAAAGACGATGTAGCTCTTCTTCAGCGATGACCAGTTACGAGGATTCTCTGGATCATCCGTTGTGTACCAATCGACTAGTATAAGCCCGTCGTTCGTTTTCTGCGGGACAATAGGCTCGCTCTTTGTTCTTTGAAGCTCGGCTTGTTGTTCAATGTCGGCTCTCTGGTCTCGATATGGACCGCTTGCTATGCTTGCTGCTGTTCTCTCTCTCTTCAACTCCTCTCCGCCCTCAGCAACAGTATCAGAGGTGGAAGCGGATGGAGATAGAGGAGCACCGGATTGTTGTGAGTTTGGAAGATTAGAGGCCGCCTCTTGCTGTTTCTCTTTGCCTGCCAAGAGCGCTGCATATTGAGGTGGTAGAACGAAACCTGGCTTCTCTTCTGGGTATTGCAGCCAATTGTTTCTAGAGACAAGGCGAATGGCTTGGCCAAGCGCTGACTCTCGAAAAAGGTCAGACATTTCTATGTCCTTTGAGATGTAAAGTCCTTAATTATTATTTTTCTCTCTCCAAAAGTTGTAAATGTTTATAAAGTTGTGAGGCTAGTAGTTAAGTGTTGAGGGAAGATGTCGATGTTGAGCTGCTGAGTATTCTACTCCAAGAAGACTCAAGGCATACTTTATATCAACAGAACTCACAATATACATATTATAAATCACCATTCTATTCTGCGTGTAAGTCGAAGTGCAGTTTCGAAAACGGAATCCTCGGATGACAAACGTCACAATCCGTGTATCCAGGGCATGCCCGACAGGTACTTGTCGACGACAGGGATTTGAAATGTTAAACTAAGATAGCGTTCAAAGAGCTATGACAGCTTTTAGCTTCATTTGATATGTCGGCACATAGCCTCGCCGAATAGATTGCTCCGGATTTGCCACGAAGACTGCTTGAATCCACAACACATAAAATTTAGACTCTTTACATGGATCCATAGGGCGCTTAATCAATCCAGTTAGGAGCTGTCAGACGCATATCCTTACGCGACTTTATTGAGGAAATGGATATTTTCCTCGAGAAAGAAGCAATATTTGATCATCAGTTACATGCCATCTGACGCTGCCCTATGACGCTGGAACCAAGTCTCTGTGCTTTGTCATCTCATAAAGCTACTTTGCATGTACCGGCATATCTTATTTCGCGAGAAGGGTCTTCTAGAACCCCTACCGACTATCATTTCCAGATGTAAGAGCTTATGAGCGTTGAGATCCAAGGACTCGGCTTTAACCGCCCCGCGAAACCTCTTGTGGAAGGGGAAGCTTCAATCAAATTGACTGAATGGGCTAGCCTGCATTTTCCAAAAACAGAAAAAAGGCAGCACAGAAATTGCCAATTCAAGTTAGCGCCTCGTTGCTCAGCCGCGCCGTTGTATATCAGCTCCTATCGCCGAGTCAACTAAACATCGTGAAAACTCGATTTTACGCCATGTTGCAATTTAATTTCTAATTGCAGAGAATCAAATCTGTAATCATCTTATGAAAAGAGCGGAGGATCCAGCGTGTTGGAATTGGTAATGCTGCTTGTGAGCTGGCTGCTAGTTATCTCAATAGACGGTGCATTGGATGTCGACGCGGCTAATGGTATTACAAATTGATGAGTCCGCACGTCGTATTCCGTGGTGGGATTCTCAAAATCTTATCATGACATCACATCGTAATCCTTATAAAATGGATCAATAATTTAGATCGAGCGATACATCGATTTCGGTGTCCCAGCTTTGGCCAATGAGTCCTCGCTTAGAATTGAGATTACCCCAAAGAAGAGCATAGATCTATGTGAAGCATTTGGAAAGCTTTGACAGCTGAGTTGAAGCCCGTCCCACCGGCGAGCAAGGGCTATTCGCACCGCTAGGTCTCTGTTCTCCTTCTCTTAGCGACATCGCTGTGAAATTTGATATTTGGGTACAGAAGAGAGCGAACCCTAGTCCGACTTGCTCCACAAGACAGCGCCCGCTTGCCTTCAATAATCAATTTGTTGCTAAAATGTCCCAACTGCGGTATCTAATGGACGTTCAGTCTACCGTTAGCTTTGACTTATTCAATTCCATGAGATCGACAGTTGGTTAGTTGCGCGTATGTAGAATCTATAGCTTCAGCTCATTAGTCGAGCCCCTTCCTTGACGAATCTACGATAGCGGCCCGAGTACCTAGCAACATAGTTAAGCTAAGTATTTGCAGTGGCATAATCAGGCCTAAAGAATTAGTTGGCATACCAGAATCACGTAATCAGCTGTGGAAGCTGGCTATATGTCTTCTCAATCGCTCCATTCTTCATACGAGATTAGTGTTCGACATATTTAACCAAGAGGCTTGATCATCGTGAGTACCCAACTGGCCACATCAGTAACAATGCGCTCCAAAGCACTAGACGACTTGTCAGATTGTGACATCTCTGCCGCAGATCTCGTGAGGATCCATTCTAGACGCCCGATAGACTACCACTTGCCTGTATGGTGTTCCAGATAATTTGTGATCCACATTTGGCTACGAGAATGCTGGGCAAGCGCGAATGGAGCATGCAAGATTGCCCTGGCAGAGTGTAGATTACGTCGGTGGCGACACTGTTAATGGGCTGGCTCGTAATCGGAATCATATCTTTACTTGGAGGTATTAGCCTGGTAGTAAGCGTAACGTCTGTGAGCCAATCGGACGGCTATTGGCTCGAAACAGCGTACCCCAGCCCTACTTGAATTGGCACAGCGGTTGCTAGAATGCTCTGTATGTGTGGACAATCCATTCACGGAGTCAATAGCGCGATGAATATGTACTGAATGTGTGTGCTGTCTCTGGGTGCTTCTCATGGCTTCTCATGGTGATTACTCCTTTTGCATTTCTTCTTGTCTCTTCTTTCTTGGTTTTCATAAGTTTCAGCCATTTTAGGAAGAATCATAGCTCTGTTGTTGCTTTATAGCTATTGTTGGATAAATTAAATACACCAGTCACGCCATTGCAGCACTGTGGCTCCTCGTACAGCCGGTGAAGTGTTTAGTTACGGGACACAGGATATCCGTTTTGTCTCGCAACTTGCCCAAAACATAATATATTCAACATCGCCACTTATTATAAGCGATAAAAAAGCACAATAAGCGTGCCCAAAAGCCACTATCGCAACGATCCGCTCCTCAGCCATAAGAGCAAGATAGCACCCAGTGTCTGATATGGTTACGCATAACCTTCATAGACCATCGTCCCGACACTCATCAAAAGAAGATTATGAGATAGAGAAATGACAAAAATAAAAAAATAAAAACATACAACAGCCGGTGTTCGCCAATGGTCACCCACTTGACTACTAATCTGCCGGTTAGTGGCTTGTCTATGGGGGAGCAGACGGGACCCCGAATTCTCCACTACCTATGGTCGTATGTAACAGAGCAAAGCACAAAAGGTATCATATACCACGAGATGCTTCTGAAGCTGCCTTCTCTCGGAAATGAATTATAAATGAACATGAATAACATGATATGAATACAGTCAGATAAACAAACTCCTGGTAGAGGAATTCGCAGATGATCTTTTGTCGGCTGCCTATAGTATGAATGGCCAAAGCACTGATGAAGAGTTACACAGAGTATATGCTACCAGAGCAATCATGGCTGCTTACTTTGTGTTACTACTATTGCACTATCCAACACTAATATCCCTCGCCGAGGAACAGTTTGACAATGTTCTTATGGCCCAGTTTTGATGCTGCACAGAGCGCGGCTACATCGTATTCTTCTCGTTTGCTATCATAATGGGCAAGGAGTGCTTTGACAGCGCCCTCATTCCCCGCCACTGACGCTGTATAAAGTGCAGTTCCAGCCCCATCTCCGTACTGTATGATGTTTATATCTGCGCCACTGCTTAAGAGCAGCTTGACAATATTTTCATGCCCTGCTTTTGATGCTGCATGGAGCGCAGTCCCGGCATTATCCATTCCATAATGTATCATGTTGACATAAGCACCATGGTTAAGAAGCAGCTTAACAATGCCATGATGTCCTTCTTTCGATGCTGCCTGGAGTGCAGTTATCTGATCTTCATGTCGCACATTATCAGCATGAGCACCGTGGCTAAGGAGCAGCTTGGCAATGCCCTCGTGTCCTGCCATTGATGCTACTTGGAGTGCATCTTCACACAATGTAGCATCAGCATCATTTTCAAGAAGCAGCTTGACAATTGCTTCGTGCCCTTCCTCTGACGCTATGTGAAGTGCTGTTCTTTGGTCTTCATATCGCATATCAACATTAGCTCCGTGGCTGAGAAGTAGCTCGACAATACCCTCGTGTCCTTCGCTCGATGCCATCTGGAGCGCCGTGTACTGATATTCGTCGTGCGCTTCAATATCTGCACCATTGTCGAGGAGCAGCTTGACAATTCCTTCATGCCCTTCACCTGAGGCTATATGAAGTGCGGTATCCTGGCCTTCGTATCGCGCATCAATATCAGCACCATGGCTAAGAAGTAACTTGATAATGCCTTCATAACCTTCCCTTGAGGCTAGCTGGAGTGCAGTGTCTTGGTATTCATCTCGAATATTGACATCCGCACCGTGGTTAAGAAGTAGTCTGACAATACTCTCGTGCCCTTTCCTTGATGCTACCTGAAGTATAGTTTTGTAATGTGTATCCTCATCAGGCTCGGTTCGTATATTAACATCAGCATCATAATCAAGAAGCATCTTGACAATTATTTCATGCCCTGCCTTTGCTGCTCTCCAAAGTGCTGTGATATGACCCTCAGCTTCTATATTCGTATCGGCATGGTTGCGAAGAAGTAATCCAACAATATTGTCATATCCTTTATATGACGCTGCCTGGAGCGCGGTATGATATAATCCACCTATTGCGTTCACGTTAACGCCTTGATCTAATAGAAATTCCACTGTAACTTCCAAGCCGCTAAAGGATGCGTAGTATAACGGCGAAGCCGGTTCATCGCCTCCCCCAAACAACTCTGCATCGGGACTATAAATGGTATAACAATTCCTATACGATAATTGACGATTGCAGAAAAGCTGCTTGATAAAATCTTGTAGCGTCTTATTGTTTTCTTCAGCCGCTACTGCGTGGCTTGTCCAATATTTCGCGCAGTATTGGGCAAAGGGAAATCGCTTTTGGACTTCCTCTGATGTCCTGGCCATCCTGGCCTCCCCAGTTTCCCAGGCTTCCCAAGGTACGCTGCTTATAATCGAAAAGTCCAAGTGCAGTAGATACGCAAGGCAAACTATTGCAATTGAAGCTTTAGCAGAGACCTCTTGGAAACATTGCAAGAAATCTTGTTCAATCCGATTCGATGTTAAATATTCCTTGACGGACAAGTGTGCCAATTGAAGCTCAGAGCACCCGCCCTCTTGCATAGGAACGGTAACTACTAAACTTAAACAGTAGCATGTGATTTCACGGGGATCAGGCATCCTGTATATTGAGTTGAAGTATTGATCCCCTTCTGGTTCAGTAGCAATTATGTCAATAGCCTCATCAATTCTTAACGGGCGCTCTGAGTATGTTAAGAATTGCAGAAGCTTGATAGCTTGTTGCTTGTATTCCAAGGGGATGCTGTTCAAGATCCTAGAGTAGGTTTCATCTAATGTCCTTGGGAGGGATGCAAGAGCACTTTGGAGAGTACGATAGTCTAGGCAATTTTCTAGAGTATCAAGTTGACATGCAACCCATCGAAACCTAGACAATAAACGTTAACCTTTCCACAGTTGATAGACTGACGGTGAACATGTAATCTTACATTCCATCCGCTTTCTCTATAAGTCGCAACTCAATCTCATTTTGGACTTCCACATGCGACCACCACCTCTTGAGGCCAGGATTCTCTCTGACTCTGGCATGGATGTACGCGCGGATGTCGTCGCTAATAAGGCCACTCTTGATTGCAATTATGTCATCTTTTTGGTAATGTTGAGTTATCTCAGATTCAATATCTTGTTCTGGACGACTTGTTACAAGAAGGTGGACATTCCTTTGCTCCGTGTTCAAAATTTCTCTGATCCATGATAGTACTCCATTTATCGCTGGGCCTCTTCTGGTACTGCATTCGTCCAGAGCATCAAGGACGATCCAAATTTCTTCAATTCGGTTCAGCATCTCGAAGAACACGTTGCAAAGCTCTTCGGTTGTCGGTTGTCGCTGTCTGTCTTTACATGATGAGAAGAGAGAATATAGTGGCTGCGAATCCTTTTCATCATTATGGTAAAACTGGTAAATAAGTGAACGTATCATCTTATCAAGTGTTTGCTTAGCCGTATCGTTAAAATCGAAATAGAAATAGAGAATCGTTTGAGAAGGTAGCATAGTACCCAGTTGCTCAATAATGGTAGAGCTTAGGATCGTTTTACCACAGCCTGGGATGCCATGAAGCCATAGAAATGAACTTGGCTGCGTTCTCCATTTGATGAAGTTATCACTTTGCAAAAACCAAAGGCCAGAGCCCTTATGCCGTTGCTGTAGAGCTTTGTTAAAGTTTGTCGAGGGATCTGGTGGCGAGAGCCAATATTCAACCTTTCCCCGCTTTTGTTCGAGATCCAGATTTTGAACTGTAGCTTTTGTGTCTTGAGTAGCAGTATATACTTCATCTAAACTATTTTTTACTGAGACTATGTAAGTAGTGCAATTTCCATATCTCAATTAGAGTAACTGACCAGAAGAAATAACATCGCAGAGCTTCTTCTCAGCTTCCATCTTATTAAGAGGAATCCGACAGAGTAGGTTTTTAGCATAAGCAGCTGCCGCCATTGCCGCATACCCTTGCCATTCTTTATTCTTGTGGGAATCTGCATAATCGCAAATACCACGAATAACTAGGCAAGGGAAGTGATTCATTAGCCCTGCTGCTTCCATTTCAAAGCATAGAACTTCCTTCTCTTTCGCGAGACTATCTCGGGCCACGGCATCCTTCATAAGTTGATTTGACGAAGCAATGGTACCATAGAAAATTGCTGGGTTATCATCGCTCTCGGTTCGTTTAATCCGAGGCACTAGGCTGGACGGATTATCACCACATGCTACTGCGCAAGTCTCCTCTTCCTTCGTATGGACGAACTCGCTCAGATATAGTCTATCGCTGTTCATGTCTGGTCGCTTATAGTCTCTCCTTAACCTAGGACTCTCTTGGAGAACGCCATTTATTGCCTGTTCAATTTGGTGCCCTTTCCGCTTATGCTCCGCTTTAATTCCATTAATAGCGGTCCGTAGCACCATTGGCGTTTGGTTTAAGAAACCCGTTGGTTGGAAACTCTGGTTCTGTATTGTTTTGCCAAAGTCATACTGGAATACACCGCTCTCTCCATGACGAGGAGCGCTGACCACAATATCACCTAGGCGAATATCATGTTTTGAACTTGGCGCGCCGCCGCCAATGCCAACCATCAGGCCAATCCTGACGTTGGGAAAGCTATGTAGCATATCTCTTGCAACGCTAGCGGCGGATGAAGTGCCATACTCTCCATCGGGAAGAACAGCGATGACAACATTATGTTTCCCAATCTTGCCTAGGGTATAATCATTATTATCATGAGGAGATACATACTCTGGCCCTTTATGCTCTTCGTCGAGAAAGCTTTGTGCAGCGACGTATTCCGTCTCAAGAGCGCAAATCCATCCTACGGTGTAGTTCCTGGAGTCAGACATGTTGCGTGTATCAAATACCAGAATGTCATTTGCGGTATTTTCCAGCACATTTGATTTTGAGCGGTGAAGGCAGGCTACTTATAGCAATTGTTAGATCCAACAACATTTGCTTATTAATGACAGGGTGATTAATATCGGGCATCCAACCAGATTTCGCCGTCGTAACTATAAGGAGCATGAATGTAACATTCCAATGTTCATGTTGCTAAGCTCTTTATTATAGCGGACTGCCTACTGAATCTTCCCCATAAAAATAGCTTTAGCGCGTGCCCTTACCCAGAACTTGACCTCCCCCAGCGATCGATCCGCTATATCCGCCGCAAGATCCTTCCTTGCTGTCCATAGCACGCGTCAAGTTGTGCTTGTCTCTATTATACTTTCCTCTTTACGCACTAAAAATCGCGCTTGATGCCTAATGCCTCGTTAAAGAGTTGATCCGCTTCACCGGTAGCGAGTGGCATAGGCGTGTGATAGTTGACGCTTAAGAGGTGATAGGTAGCCTGAAGGGAGGCAGATGTGACAAGGGATCTCAGAGGGAGTGTGAATAGCAACGTTCCTTGTTTTGTGGTTAATCATGTCGGATTCTTAAATTTTTTTAAGAAAAGGGCAGCTAGTTTAATTGAAACCGTTAAAAATGATACAGTCATGTCATGCTACATCAGGTACGTACATGAAATGTTGGTTCAGTTGTTTCAGAAAACGCAGCCATGTGACTCCAAATTTAGAACTTCAAGACTCAAAAAATGACAGACACGAAACCTCAATAAAGAACTTGACGGGACCCCGAATTCTCCACTACCTATGGTCGTATGTGACGATAAACAAGCATGAACTGATATATATGTCTAATTTATAAATATCGCAATCTGTCCCAAACTTCTCCTGTCCTGAATTCTTCTAGATCAAATTGTCCCACTTTCATTTAGCAGCCTTTTAACTGATTATAGTAAATCGTGCGAAGAAATGCAAAGTAGGTATATAGCAGACTAGGTATATATAGCATGTTTTTTGAGCAAATATAGAATCTCATTATGAAGTAATATTCTGTATTGTGTTCTTTTGAGCTTTGTGTTATTACGGCCTGGCCCAATGTAGAAGGTACGTACCCGGAAACAGTGCGGATAAGACAGCCGATGAGAATTAGCCTCTGGGAGTCTCACGCCGGTGCGTACTGCAATAATCTTGAGAATAGCTTCATCCTCACAGGTACCAGTATACAAGATCGAACGATGCTCCAAGAACGTCGTGATATAAAAGTTTGACTTAAAACGCTCTTCAATATAGTGTAGTTAGCCAGTCCTTAACAAAGTATCAAGACTAAATACAACTTTTACGTTCTATTAAATTGACCAAGTTCCCTCTTCCATTATGAGCCCGAGTTACTACTCCAGCTATTTTATTGAGCGCAGGTTCAATCGTGAAGTACTTGGTAAGAAACTAAAGCACTATAGGCCGGGAACAACCATGCGGTACATCACTTCTAATGTCTCTAAACAAACGGTTAAGCGGAAGGCGTTGGCGTAGAGGTTCCGAAAATACCAAAGGTAACAGTGGAACACGGGGAGCTCCATTCCAAGGGGGCCACAAATTCGGCTGAAGGGATATTGTTTTTACCAAGCAAGATGTACGAGTTTTCACTCTGATCAAATTGTGGCCATCCCAGTCCGGCAAGGCCGTCAACAGGATCGTTAGCGAAGGAGCCCCAGGCTTTTTGCATAATATTTGTCAAATTCCTTTGGTCTGCTGTCGTTGGAAGTCCAGTAACATCCTCTGAAGCCCCGAAAATCATGTGTAGATCGACCATGTGGTAAGCGCCGCTTGTGCTGCCGTTCGAGCTGTATAGACGAGTGTTATCCCAGTCGGCCATATATCGAAAGGTCCATGCTGGAACGCCGTGTTTGCGACGAGAGCTAGCTTGAAAGATTACTGGGCACGTGAAGGACTCGAGAATAAACTGCGTCACATCTTGAGATGTTGGTAGAAGACCTGTTTGGGCAAATGGAACAAGACGATAGAAGCCGTCTTCGTTGTCCGTATTTCCAAGCATGATAGGTACCTTGGCGAAGCGACCGGCAGTGGTCCGGTTGATATAGTCAGAGAAGACCACCTCATCATCGGGGAAGGGAGCAAAATGGGAGATAGTCCTCAAAAAGTTGTCGCTTGGAAGAGGTCTAATCGTTTCCGAAATTGCGAGGATGTTTTGCCAGTCAACTTGTCGGACACAAGCTAACTGATCCTCCTCATTCGTACAATTCACTCCTGCCACAATGGTATTCCAGTTATTCTCAACGGTAGTGGCAGTGTTAAAAGGGAAACTGAAAGTGTTGCCAGAGTGGGCGATGATGCCGCTGACAATGGGATCTTGCTCATAAGCATAGGCCCAAAAGTCAACTGCCTCACCCCCAACAGACTGTCCAAAGATAGTAATCTTTTCAGGATTACCTCCAAACGCAGCAATATTATCGGGATCCATTCAACGCCAACTCGCTGATCGCGAAGACCAAGGTTGGCAGGTTGGCCTGGAGCTCCAGGGAAGCCGAAGACGTCAATGCGGTAGTTAACCGTAACAACAACAACATCCTGCGCGCCTGCAAGATACTTGCCGTTGTAAAATGGAGTGTTGGTGCCTCCAAAATTGAATCCTACCTCTAGTTAACACTACACCTCATATTCCCCTTATGGATCGTTAACGAATCGATCCTCACCTCCTCCAAAGAATAAAACCAAGACAGGCTTGGAAACATCTGCCGCATTAGTTGCTTTGGTCCAGACATTCAAATACAGGCAATCTTCGCTCTGAGGGGTGGCGCCATCGACAAAGAAATCAGCAACACACTTCGGGCCCTGTGGAGTGAAACCAGGGTAGCCGGAAAGGTTTGTGTTTCTTGGATGAGGACAGTCTGCCGCATACTTTGAAGCTACGAAAGGCTTTGAACTGGCGTTGAGCTTGACGGGAGCTTCGAATCGTAAATGACCGACTGGTGGTTGTGCATAAGGGATGCCCAAGAATTCGACAACACAGTCCGAATTTGATGGCACATGTCCGGTAATAAAGCCGCTAGTTGTAGGCACATGCATGTATTGGCTGATACTGCACCCAACGCTTGGAGTCACAGGGATAGATGTTACCACCGTCCCGAAGACAAGAGCTGTAACCTGAGGCTGAAAACGCATGATTGGGGCCCTGATGGTATATATATTAGACACAATTATTCATACTGGTTGAATATATTGAGAGTTAGAATTGGGAGAATCTAGTATATATATATATATGCTAAGTCTCAATAATGATCTCGAGGACACTGACCACTGTGTCTGAGTGCGGACGAAGCCGATCATGCCTCCCAGCATGGATTTCTAGCAGCAACAACATTGTTCGGTAATCAAAATTGCCTCTCTTTGCATGTCTTTTCTCTAGATATTACGTCCATGTTTGGATGCCTGCTTGTAGAGAGATAGAGATTCTTGGTGCTAATCCTTGAAGGGGGTAATATGCATTGTCTCAAGCAGGTTAGGGTTGCCAACTAATCAATCATGAGCTTACCTTCAGCTTATTGTTCTATTTCTGTACTCTTCTAGCCTTCGAGTCTTACGGTGTCGTCTTGATAGCGTATTTTACTTTATGTACTCCTAAATATCAAGATAATGGCAACTACCTATGCCAAAACAACCCAAAGCATATGTACATGGCTCTCTACCGCTTGAATTATATTTTGTCAGTGATTCTATGTTGTGTTATGATAGATGGTGCACAGATACTTCAAAAATAGAGAAAAGTATTCATGACTTGTCGACATGTGAAGGATAATTCTTGTATTGACTTGCGTTCTCATTGGGGAAAGCAGTACCCTTGTCAATTACTCAGTGGCAGCCATCAACGTAAGTGATTACGATAATATGATTTGAATCGACTGATTAACAATATAACTGCAATTACTACTAATCATTTTGTGATCAGTCAATAAATGGTTGCAACATTCTTGGGAATAGATTAGCCTGTAGGGATCAGAAGCGGCCGCGAATCCAAGGATGAAGCTTAGCCTCACAAACCGCGCGTCCGGATGCCTAAAGTTGATCACATTGCCAGATTGTGCTACACGAAATGAATTCTTGCATAGATTAGTGCCACAAGGTCAGATTCACACAATGATATTGTTACAGCAAGTAATAGGAAAGCTGTAGTGACTGTTGTGGTATTGGTGTCAATTCCAATCCCATGAGGAGGCAAGTCACATGTCTCAATTGATGGTGACACCGCTGTCATAGTTACCATAGATATGACTATGTTTACCACCTTTGAATGAAGGAGTGCCAATTATTACTCAAGATCCATTCGCGATTGTTTCCATTGGCAATACTATCTTGAATACTTGGGTGAACAAAGGGTATAAATTTGTTGGGGAAACGCGATATACAGGATAGCTGGAATTGTTTAAAAGTTTGGACATCTACTTTCAAATTCATTTCTTTGGCTAGGAGAATATTGTGACCTCCCCAAGCGGAAATTCGGTATAACCTAAACAGTGTTGTATCTACCTGAGCGGATATCCGGCTCAACTATAATTATGCAAGCTTTCTTTGTTGGGGGGAGCGTGGGGGGAGCATGGGGGAAGCATGGGAGAATGCTTGTAGGAATCTAACGCTACATATGATCTGCATGTTAGACCAGGTCATAGCGCTGGGTCATTAAGCTGAGGGATTAATGAATGCGGAACTGGATGACAAACGAGGGAGTCGTTTGTGGTAAAAGTCATTCTTAGGGAAAATGGCTGCTACACCGCAAATTTTATGCCCCTTCTTCGCCCATCGACAGAAAGCTATGTATTTTGCTAGCGCTGTCACGGAAGTGGCCATCCTAGTGTTTTATGGAATGTACTTTTCAACGTATAATGGTGCTTTGAACAATGGTAGCTGAAAGGATAGAAAAAGTCTTATAACGCCAAAAGAGGTTGCAGCATACAAATGCATGCATAATCTTCAAGGCCCAATTATACAGCTTGTACAAAGCGAACTCCAAACAACAGTAGATAGACCATTTACAGCGCTCTTTGTTTGGTCACCTGAAATTTGACATTAGGCCAGCTTATTATTATCCGTCTATATATTCTGTCGTATCATCCACTAAGTAGGCTACGCCTGGAAAGCTATAATTAGATCATGAACTTGCTTGGTCTGAGAATGTAGCGCGTGGTTGCCCCTCATAAAACAGCAGTCTTGGATGGTATTTCACGATTGGCGGCATATTGATTTTAGTTTAGCGTAATTTTTCAAGTTCAAGGGTTACGGAAGTAGGAGCCGTGTACTTCCGATTTTGGAAGCCAAAGGCGTTGGAAATAGAAGACATTGAACCGCATCGTAGAACTTGGCGGGACCCCGAATTCTCCACTACCTATGGTCGTATGTGCTAGATGAGTGCCTAAACAAACATTATAGATGAAGACAGTTAATTTATTTTGGGCCATTGAACGCTCTCTTGAAGCCACAATGGTTAGAAAACAAACTAAGACTTGCCAAAGTGGCGTCTATGTTGAACTCTTCCATTAGTGTCCGTACCACGATCATCAAGTTTCTCAACCGCTGCAAAGCGAAACTTGACGTAGCCGATGCCCAAGGCCAGCTTGCTGTACATTTCGCATCAAGTCCAAGCTGGGAAGATAACCTAAAGATTCTCGTCGATGCTGATGAGGATCTGGAAAACTGCGGGGCGTTTGGCAATTAATTTTGCAGCATATGTCTTGCACCACAACTGCATGACCTATCTTCTGCGCAACTTTAAAGATAATGCCTGAAAACGGCGGATAGCGACAGCTTTACTCCTTTGTTGTAAGAAGTATGACCGGGAGACAGACAAACTGTCTTTGACCTAGTCGAAAAGGGGGTGATCTATGGGTTCGAAGGCACACTCATGGCACGAATTCTGGTCCTGTGTGGTCAGTGTCGGAATTGGCCAGATCCCTTGAAAGTCATGGATTCACAGGAAATACTTACGCCCAAAGAGCACAGGAGCGATGAGTCAGGCGGTGAGATAGGGATGTGGGACAATCCTTCCGCATAAGTAGACCTGGATGTCCCAAGTGGTTGAAGTGTTCGAGCTGTCTTATGGTAAGTGGTATAATTCAGCACAGAAGAGACAGACAGTAGCTGAGCGAGTTGCTAACGATAATGTAGAAGACTTGAGTGCCACTGTCGATATTTGTCGACTGTGTTAATTACGTCTGATTTTGTTTCAAGTGTTCGAACTCCACCTGCTAGAAAGGAGTCAATCACAATCGTATGTGAAGCAAAAGTTAAACTAGATAATTAACAAACAGGCAGATACAGCCACGGGTAGTGGGAAGTTCGAGGCCCCATTACAGTCTTTCCTTAACTTGAATGTCTTTCAATTTTTTGACTTTCAATACTGAAAGCATCAAATCGCTCGCTACCTAAGCCTGCAGGTACACGTAAACCAGGAGGCAGCGCCAGCGCGGATTTCACTTCTCTAGAAAATGGCGCAGGACGTCGTATTTTTATACTATGTAGTATAGTCCTCTACATATTCGCTGTCGTCATTGAACTCTATGTCGTCCACTCCATAGTGCTCTATATCTTCACTGTCGTAATTGAACTCCATGACGTCCGCTCGGTCCAACTCTGACGGGGGCCTCCCGGAGAATCGTTTAAGCCGAATACCAAGGTCAGCGCACAGGTCGTCGAGATTATTTCCTACATCAGAGCCCCAGGAACTTGAGTGATTTGTTTCTAGTGCTAGACTATTAAAGCAAGGTGTGTGAGTCTGAAGATTTCGCCACCAGTGCTGAAGTAGCCTGAAAAAATCGGTGTCGCCCATTACGTTTTGCTCTAGTAATATCATGTCATCAGCGATGGCCAGATGATGGATATTCTTCGGCATCATATCCTCAAGGCTGCCCAGATTGTCATTTGGAGAAAATCCAGTCAAGAATTGCTGCGTTATTTCCAACTTGTGTAGTTTTTCGAAGTGTCTCAAGGGTTTTAGAGATCCTCTAATTTGCAACGCGGGAAGGGCATCTAGCTCGGGGTCGCTTGAGACAGCTGCTGATATTCGCAACTTCTCCAACGTATCCTTAACAAAAGATAGATCTTTAACAATCTGGTCGAAGTTGATGATATTATTATTGGTCTCGTTTCTGAGAATTGGAACATATTTCCACTGCCAGTCCAGTGTTTTGAGATTTTTCGTTGTTGCAAGAATGTGCCCTAGATTACCTTCCCGTAATCCACGTATACGTAACGATGTGATGTTCGAGAGGTCAGGCGCGTCTGCTGGCCACGCAAATATGGCAGGATTGTCGATGTCAGCCGCTATCGATTGGACAGCGGGAAGATAGAACAGAGAGAGAACATCGGCCGTATTTTGCATCTCCGGATGGCGAATGGTGTCCGTTAAGACGTCGATGCCAAGGTACACTTCCCGCAGATGTTGGAATCGTGGGAGGTTGTAATCCACAGTTTGGCAGAGGGAAGCTCTCAGCATCCTACCAAGGAGGCGAAAGTCGTCGCGGAATTTGCCTTCCAGGTGTAGGAGCTTTGTATTCGGGGCCAACGATAGAAACAGCAGAACAAAAGCATCTGGTGTGCCATTTTTCAGGTCTTGTATCCATAACTCTCGAAATGGAGGATTGATGTCTTCAACCATCGCGATGAGACTCACTAGCTCGGAGTCATCCACGGAAATACGCCAACCATCACTCGTGTAGCCTTCTCCGAAGGAAATAGATTGAACATATTTAGCAAGCTGAGGATGTCGCTGGAAGTTCTGTAGAAGCAACATGAAGGAAGGGGACACATCGTCTCCCAGCCATATCAAGTCCAATTTGGCGTATAGCAGCGGCTCAGCGACGTCGCGCAAACCTCGGCTGACGAGGCAAAGATCGCGGTGACTAGCTGCAGGCAGGCGCTTTAAGATGGAATGCACAATTTCCGTTGGGCAGTCTAGGAGGGACTTCATTATCACGGGATTCTGCTGACGTTTTGTTTTGGTTTGTTGTGTTTTGTTGTGCGATGCAGATCAGAAGCTTTTTATGGTGATGCAGATCAGAGCTAAACCAGCACCCAAAGTGAGGAGAATTGCTTACATAAATGCTGCGGTGAATGATGTTCAGTTACGTAGGTCTGCATGAAGAAGCAAAGGATGGCAAAACTTGAATCATATTGAGTCAATTATCTGTAGCCGTTTTCGGTATTTGAAGCGCATCCTACAGCACCTCGAGATGCTCTTAGCGGCTTCATCACACTCAACGGTCCGACTATAGGCGTGCATCCAGAAATCGTTCACTATGATGTACAGAATGCGCTGAAGCCTCATTCCAATACAAATGCTAGTGCTCTGCCTCTGGAATTTGTTTCGAGGCTTTCTCAGCTTCATTCTTCAAATCAGCATTGAATTTGTCCCATGGAGATAAGTCAAACTTTCTCGAATTCCACCATGGCGAGGAGAGTGTGATTAGAAGTCCTCGAAAATCCTCTCCTTGAGTGAAAGTGGTGCTTCCTGGAGTTGTTTCGCTTGGGGTGAAATGAAACTGGTGGACGCCCTTGGCCAGTCCGAATAGCGATCCTTCCCACTGAAAGGATTCGGGCGAATTCTCCTACATCAGTTTAGTATAGGCCTTTGTATTGTATCAACTTAAAACTTACCACTATCACTGGGTTGTGTGAGCTTCCATTCATGTTAACTTTCAGGCCGTCTCCCGACTTTAGGTCGATAGGCTGCTTGCCAGGTTCGGCAGGTTGAATATTCCAACCGGGCTGCCATTGCGAATAGCGAGCAAAGTCTAAGAACTAAATGTCGCGCTTTTCAGTATGAGAAGATCACTATGAGAAGCTTCCTATGCTGCTGCTTGGCTGCCGCTTCATATATAGATGTGGATTTGAGAAACTTGTCCAAGTTGACGCACGTACCACGGATCGGACAATCGCTGGCGAGGCAGCGATCTCAATCTTTGTAGAAACGCTTAAGATCGGGCTCATTGCTGTCTTCAAAGCGAGATCTGCAAATAGCTGCTACAAGCAAGAATAGCTTAGACGACAATGGACAAGGTTGCGCAATATTATGAGCGATTACTATAGCGAATCTTCAATCGCCCGCCCTCAGATAGGCTGTGACGATGATGGGATTCAGTGCGAATCCCATCATTTAGCAATGTAGACGAAATCCTTCCGTTTGTCAGCATGCGCCACGCCGCCCAGCCGCTTTAATAGCGCGCCATGCGCGCTAAATTTGGGTCAACGGTCTCAAGTCGATAGCAAAAAGTGTCATGGTGAAATACATTGAGATACATCGATTAGGGTGGTTATATTGGACCACCTCGAAATGCCAACATGGGGCTCTAAGCTTTCGAGGCATGTCTCACAACGCTTTACGGCGTATGCCAATTTCGTGCTTGTCAAAGGCTATGCCCTTGAGCTACAGGCCGAGGTGTTTTGGTTAGGTCGGGAATACCATCGGGAATCAATATGACAAATAGCTGCTTAACGTTCACACAAGTCTAGATTTAGCGGCAAGCGGCGCTTCGAATACATTTGCTCAATCAATTCATTGTTACCTATAACCCCACATTCATCTAGCGGGCAAAATTGTATCCATGGAGTCTCAATGAGCTTTTGACAGAGAAGCAGACACTGGTAAATGCGTTGTGCTTAGCATTTTGTAAGACGAAGAAAACATCGTAATCTCGCTAGCTAAGGGCGGTTTTATGATTCTACCTAGTTTGCCCGCTTCACAAGACCGGTCACATTGGAACACGCCGCGTTTTGCGTTGATTCAGTAAATTACTGCTTTTACATGGAGCAAACATCAGCATACGCAATTATCTCGGTCGGACACCTCTATTCAGAGAATTGAAGACAGAAAGCATCATACGATGCATCCCCGTCTGACACAAGGTACGGACGTCATGAGATAGCTGTTGAAAGTCATGTGCAATGTGGAAATGGAAGAGACGTATTTGATCCAGCAAGAATACAATGTGGATTTATCAATAACATTCTCCATCTCGGACAAATCCTCTAGCACTGTAGCCAAGCCTGCTCTGTTATATTGGCGAAAGATTGAAAAGACGCCCAATATTTGGTAGGCCAGGGGCTTATATTTGGTGCTGAATCTCTGACATCACAATATAGCCAACACAAAACCGACTACGTAGGCATATCTAGAGATGTCCTTGCACTTGCGTGTTCCAAAGCAATTGGTCCCCTGGTTGAGCCTCAATGCCATACATTACAAAAGATTGTGAGAAGATGCTGCGGACTTAAAACAATGGCCCAGTAAAGATAAGGTATGTAATTCGTCCCAGGAGTTTTAGTTGGAAGCCTCTTACATCTACAAGACAAGCGGGCCGTTTTCATACGTGTCACACAATCAGCGGAATCGTCCACTGGTTCAATAGTCAAACGGCGGTTGAAAAAATACAAACATTATCTCCTACGGCCTCGATGAAACGACAAGAGATTCGGAATGCAAGTTGCAAGCTTCTCTAGACCAAATCAGCGGCACTTGAAGTTCATCCCACGGTTAAAATTGGGGTTTTACTTGATGGACAATTTTTCAAACTTTTTACCTTGATGTTACGAAATGGTTTGCGATGAAGACATAACTAGTATGTACATCATGTCCATAATATAACTACTCATAAGAATCGTCATAATGTAGACATCAGTGCTATCTCGGTGGACACTACTATGGTTACAGAATTGCTAAAATAGCAGTCTCAATTGCATTTGTATCAAAGTTCAATCAGCCAAAATATCACAGCACTTGGCCAAAGTGGCTACTTTATGTCGGAGGGAAAGACAAAAATGGATCTTATACATGATCACAGTATTGTGTTTCCAGCAAAGTACGAAGAGCATCTGCGTGGATAATCCAACTAAATTATACAAAGATGCTGTCTCTGCAAAATGGGCAATGGAATATTCCCAAATTTGGATTGACGATGCCTTGAAGGCTATAAATTAGAAACTAGTCCTATGATGAATAAAGAACTACTATTCAGCCACTTGAATGATACAAAAGAGCAAATCAATGCAAAGCGCACCATACAGCCTACCTTATTATAATATTAAAGCAGCACTGAGGAGAAGATTTCACTATTTCGACGCCAGCAAACGGCATCTCGAGGGTTTTGACCAGACAAGTCTCACAATCGTGCAATATCTTGCAAGCTACTATGCGAGTGGCTCAGAGAACAAATTACTTCATGATATTCGGGTAGGCAACGTATCACTGAAGAGCGTCTGCTAGAGGTTTCCATCAGGTTTCTCCACACCCCGAAGTCACAAGCCATCATGGGTCAAGGGATGCTACAAAACAACCAGAAGTGCCCATAATGATTACTCTTTAAGCTCAAGTAATACAATAAAGTAATATGTGCAGCGCCAAGAGGCATGTCATGTGGTTTCCCCGCAGCACAACGAATTCAGGCCGTAGGCCGTCATCCTTCCCATCTAGCTACAATACAGTCAACTCTTTTACAGTACTTATGCAGATATACAAGCAACTACCAGGTATCAAGTGAGACAGTAATACGCAGATGTTAATGAATATTCAAAATCGTGCTGACCCGGCCCACCATGATCAGAGACCCACATTCTGCTCCTTTTCAACAGCGTGAATGAAACATAACTTCACATACGCAGGCAGTATATAAACGCCACAGAGAGCTAAGACAACTAGAAATGAAATATGCAAATACAGTTTTCTCAAAAGCCAGAAAGAAGAGACTCGTCTGACAGACGGTACTGAATGGCGACTTGATCTTTACGATTCTTACACTCATAATGACAACTGCTGACCCGAAATTGATAGCAAAGGCGGCGGCAAGTCAAAGAAAAGGCATTAATAGCAGCAATGCGGCAATCTAATCCTGCAATCGGCCCGTAGTAAAGCAACTCTATCGCCCGTCATCATTCCAATCCGACGATGAGGTGAGTAAAAAGTCACGCATATCAATGTCTGTGAGAGAGATTTCCAAGTGGATCAAGAAACCCATCATGTATGGCATGACATCACACTACAAGAGTCACATGCCCCCGCTGGAGCCTGGCATTGGTCTAACTCTTGGCAATAAGGGGAATCAGACATTTTCGACGGAACAGACATTTCCGGACATCTGTGGCTTCGGAAACCGGATTAGCCGGCTCAGCTCGTCGAAAGGCAGCCGCCCTGGTCGAAAGGGAGCCTGTTAGACACGGCAGCTTAGTGCTAGTATAGAAAGCAATTGAGCTAACTAAGCATTAGGATTCTTGTTTTAATACTGTTTCTAACGTTTTCCAAAATTTTGGCTTGTTGAGATTTAGAAGACATTGTAATAACTGCTCTTTTGGTCTCTTCAGCAAGCTACGACTCCTCACGGTAATAATGAAGTCATCAGTAGTAGCTCAAAGCACTCACACGAGAATACAGTAGCTTAGGCACTTTGGAAGTCTAGACGCTGGCTCAGGCCTAGGCAGAAAGAATGCGGGATGATGCTGCTGACCCAAATCCTTCCATTGAAGAGAATAGATGCCAAGACACTAAAATAGAAAATATATGAGAATATAAACTTATTGAGCAAGTTGGCATGGTCTTAGGCCTTCGGATATCCATAGATTCTCGCATGTGAAACCTACAAACGAATACAAGTGGTTGCTATTGACGGCGTCCGACGTTTAATTGCGGCAACTCGTTCTTGGCATTATGAAATAGAATGGCCATTGCCTGATCGACAGGAGACCTAGGCCTTAGCCAGCCATATACACGTAGTGGCCTGGAACGAGGAAATCGGAAAGGAAACAAGAACTAGAGCTAAATGCCAAGTAGGAAAGTAGGAGCTCGGAGCACTTTAGTTTATATCCCCTAAGGCAATTAGGTCTAGATTAGCCATCTAAGTTTAGAAACCGGGTGTGGAGGCAAAGTCAATCGAGATTGCAAGAGGCTGCAGCACCCGTGTGAATTCGGGCTACGCTATGAAGCCTCAGCGCAGCAAACAGTGTGTTGGAGCAACTCATCCGGCAGACTATATATGTAGGTCGATGTCATTGTGGTGTGGTACAGTTGCGGCTGAACTTAGTTGACCCATCCTTCCCTTCTCGATTTCGGGCTAGCTATAGCTTCTCTGCTAAGCCAGGAGAGGCCAAGAGGGATCAAGGTTTTCATCATATAATTTAAGTTGTTAAGCATCAAATGCACGGTTAAAAACTCAGCCCCCGCCATGAGCTCGTATATACATGTTCGCCACATTGGCTGCGTGACTTTGATGTGCAACGCCGTGGATGTGCTGTTTCTTGGCCCGGCTTCGAAGTCGTCGCCGGAAAGCGATCTTCCATGCTCTGTGATTCGACCTCTGCTTGGCCGAAGGTGGGCATTAGCCCCCAGTGGCTTGAGAAGCGGAGGAGGCTGACCCGCAAGTGTCCAAGAATAGTTCAAGTTTGGCTGCAGATTCCATCTCGCTGTTTCGTACTCTCCCTGCCTACTGTACACGCAGCTCGTATGATTGCCCTTGCAACAACCAGCAGGAGCTGACACAGTGCGTGCGATATCCCGTGCAGGATGAAGCTGTCTGGGCACTATCGGGCACAGCAGATACACTACAGATATACTACATCGGCATGACTGCATTGCCTACGTGATGCATGCTGTGTTGGCCGCTGCGTCTCCAATCAGACAGATCGGGGCATTCACCTGTCACCTCCCCAACCCCTGCTTTTGCATCCCAATACAGCACCGCATCAAGTACGGGCTGCAGCCAAAGGCACTGTGTCCAAGACTCGCTGGCCGCTTTAGGATCGTGCACCTGCATAAGCAGCCATGATCCTGAAGTCTAATTCCCCTCACTAGCCATCCTCCGATCGATTGCCCCATACTTGTGCGGCAGTTTCGGAAGTCGGGCATGCCCAGACATTTCTCCACCGTCCCCTGGCCCGGCAGAGAGGCCCGCGGGGAAGGCATGGGTGGTTAACTCTTGGCCTTTGCTTGTCTATTGTCTTGCCATGTGCTGGCTGCAGCCTTTTCTAGCTTAGCTGTGTCACAACGAATGTATTGCTGCCAATTGTAAGTTACAACGCCATAATGTGAATTACCTGAAATGCGTTTTAAAGGATTCAATAGGAAGTAATTGAGGAGAGAGCAGTTAGCGGCGAAGTCCAAGCTACGGCACTGGCTCGATCCCGAGCTCCTGTGTAATGCAAGGGAGAACAGCTCGTAATTCTTGACGAACTTGCCCTTTTCCCGCTTCAGCTTGCTTCCAATGAGAATTTTGCCGGCCATAGGATTAGAGGGGCCTCTCTGCTGCTACTTGCGGCAGCCATTCGCTATTGACACACTAACGCTTCTTGCACCTAGCTTCTGCCTCCGTCAAGAAGCCATTGGAACAAGCGGCTGATCCGCTGAAATTCAATCCTTCCAAGGCTCCTAGTTTCTACGGCTCTAGTTTGGCTAAATGAGGCCGATACTAACAGCCCTCCCGCCATAGCTAGTTGTAGACCCCCTACTCGGCAGACTAAACCAGGACTCCGGCGAATATAGGACATCATCATTTCATCTTTCACGAAGCATCGTAGAGTCAGACCTGATATAAGGGGTGCTCTAGTTCTGTGGCTGATGAACAGCCATGATCGACAGTAAGGGTCATAGACACAATAAGCAGTAAATCTAAGGTGTGACAGCTCCCTGCTTTTCGTTCTTCTTTTCAATAGCCTTGCTAACAAGGTTACGGATCTCGTATTCCCTTGCATATGGGCGTTTTCAGTTGTCCAATGGAAACAAAAGGATGCCTCGTATTTCTCAACGCCATGTAATTACTATGCGTTAACTCTAGTAAAAACCTAAACCCGATGGCTCAGCGACGATCCGAGTGGATGAGACATACAGTGCTTGTTTGGATCTATTGGAGTCGCTGAGATGCAAGGTTGGTTATACAAACGGTGACTGGCCGAGTGATCCTACGCTCGCCGTCTTGGCCAGCTCTTGGCTGGCTGATCGTGGCCGCTTGGTCGAATATGGGTGCGGCTGAATCTCAGAGACGACTGCCAGCCCCGAGCTTGCTCTTTCCGGCTGCTCTGGCAGACGTTAGGCTGTTGGATACTTTTCTGATGAGGACCTATGCCACATCTCTTGGAGAAAAGAAAACTATATAAACTCTTGATTTGCCTAGATGGTAAACTTCTTTTTCTAACCATCAACTAGTCTCCTGCCTACAGCTTGAGGCCAAGCTACTGATCTCCTTCTCTGGGTAACCAGTTGCTGAAGAGGCCGCCGTTTGTCAATCTTTTTGAATTCCTCTTTCTCAGATTGCTGATAACCGCCTGCCATGTTACTGAAGCGGGTTCTCCTTGCGGCGTTGCTCTCTTTGAGCTCCGTCAACGCGTTCCCTAATCCAAACCACGCCAATGACCTCGAGGCTAGAGAAGCTGAAGATAATCTCGTTGCTCGTGGCGGCAACACCGACTGCGGCTCTTACGCCAGCTGGGACAAAGGAAAGAACCGCTGCGTCTGCAAAGACAATGGCAAGGTCTATGATTCAAAGCACAAGACGTGCAACTGTCCTCCTGGGCAGGTCTGGTATGGCTACGGATGCGTTGTAGACTGTGGCAAGCAGGCACACTACGACAAGTGGCAGAAAAAATGCATTTGCAACAACAATGGACAAGTTTATGACTCCAAGAGCAAGACTTGCAGCTGCCCTCCAGGAAAAGTCTGGAATGGCAAGTCGTGCATTCAGGACTGTGGCAAAGACGCCCACTATGATTCCAACCAAAAGAAATGCGTCTGCAATAACAAGGGCGAAGTCTATGATTCCAAGAGCAAGACTTGTAGCTGCCCGCCTGGACAAGTCTGGAACGGAAAACAATGCGTTGTTGATTGCGGCAAGCAAGCACACTATGACTGGCATCAGAAGAAATGTGTCTGCAATAACAAGGGAGAGATTTACAACTCCCAGAGCAAAACTTGCAGCTGCCCCGGTGGTCAATACTGGAATGGAAAGAAGTGCATTTGTCCGTACGGCAAGGTGTGGAATGGAAAAAATTGCATAGAGGACTGTGGAAAAGACGCTCACTTTGATTGGAACCAGAAGAAGTGCGTGTGCAACAAGAACGGCGAAATCTATAACTCTCAGAGCAAGACTTGCAGCTGCCCCGGTGGCCAGTACTTCAATGGAAAGAAGTGCGTCTGTCCGTACGGCAAAGTGTGGAATGGAAAACAATGTATAGAGGACTGTGGAAAAGATGCTCACTTTGATTGGAACCAGAAGAAGTGCGTGTGCAACAAGAACGGCGAAATCTACAACTCTCAGAGCAAGACTTGCAGTTGCCCCAACGGCCAGTATTGGAACGGAAAACAATGCGTTTGTCCGTACGGCAAGGTGTGGAATGGAAAGCAATGTGTAGAGGATTGTGGAAAAGACGCTCACTTTGATTGGAACCAGAAGAAGTGCGTGTGCAATAAGAATGGAGAGATTTACAACTCTCAAAGCAAGACCTGCAGCTGTCCCGACGGCCAATACTTCAACGGCAAGCAGTGTGCTTGTCCCTACGGCCAAATTTGGAATGGAAAGCAATGTATTCCAAATTGCGGCAAGGACGCTACCTTTGATGGGAACCAAAAGAAGTGCGTGTGCAACAAGAAGGGTGAAGTCTTTGACTCCAAGTCCCTGACATGCAGTTGCCCATCTGGCACCGTGTGGAATGGCTACGCTTGCTTCCAGGATTGTGGCAAAGATGCCCACTATGATACTAACCAGAAGAAATGCGTTTGCAACAACAAGGGCCAGGTCTTCAACTCTCAAAGCAAGACCTGCAGCTGCCCAGGCAACCAATATTGGAATGGAAAGCAGTGTGCTTGTCCGTATGGATCGACATGGGACAGTGGAAAGAAGACGTGCAAGCAAAACTCGTATTGAGATGACGAGAGTGTAGGCGGTGGCTTTCGATGAGAGTACTGTCCTGGCTCTTGTCAACATATCGAGGGATTTGTTAAATACGACTTATTTGTTACATAAATTGAAACAAGCTGTTAAAAGGGAAAAAATCTGGCAAACTGTTTAAAAAAAGAGGGGGCGCTTCTTTTGGTTGGAGCAAATTTTCTCTTCTCTTCATGAGGCATACGGTGGGAATGAATTTTGGATATTGATGGATAGCCTCTACGTTATGACAATTGCAGCCACTGTAGTAATGCAAATTTATCACGTCTACGATGCTCTTTATTTGATGTCCTTGGGCATGTTTGATTTGAACCTTCATGTAGGTATGTTGAAAGCTCGACCATAGCCGAGTAAAATCATGATAGGCATTAATACAGGTATACTGAAAGCTCAATACAATGTAAAATATATACTAGACGACTCCGGCACTCTCTTCTATGCCTCTATGGATTCAAAATTGGGGTTTCTGACATCTGCGTCCAACACGGTACCATTCATAAACACAGTTCCCTTCTTCAATATCTCAACACGACCAGGATGCAAATGCCGTGGCGGCTCATTAACCACCGTTCCGTTTGCGTAAATGATGCCTTTCCAAGACTCCGACAAACTAGCCAGTTGGAGTTCCGAGTTCGTGCCTGAAAGAGGCGAGACCGAGCTAACATTGCAGTTTTCGCTGACCATATACAGGTTCAGGCCGACGGCAAGAGTATACATATCGGCGCTTAACTGATCCCAGCTGTGCTGGCCCTTCACGACGACGCCAATGTAATCCGTAAGTATAACGGTTGGCCAACTCTGAGGACTCATGTTGTTGACTCCCATCCAGTAGAGCGCTGGGTTGGTAGGCATGATTCCGATGCCCTCAATAGTATATAGGGTCGTGGTGAAGATGTCTGCGCTCACAAGCCATTGATCTATATGGAACGTGTCAGAGCTACCCCCTCGAATCACTGCCTTCCAGTCGGATGCCTGATCTTCCGCCATGGGCTGAGTGTCGCCCAAGTTAGACCAATCGTCATTGATAGAGAGTACATTGGCTTGGTAGAGACCGTCCGCTACTGAGTCTTGAGGGACACCGGACTGTAAATCACCAGCAAGGAGAAACAGCACACAGCCATTTCCTCCATTTTGATCCATGAAATAAGACGCTGGCTTTTGGTTGAACGTGCTGCTGGTGTCCAGGTTGCCGCAGCGATTGTTTACACCTCTAAGCTTGCTGAAGAAATCGTTGACAATTGCGTTGGTCCAGTAAATGGGCCCTAAGCTGGGGACCTCACGTATGCCGACCAGATATCGGACGTGGAAAATGATGACTTCTCCCGGGCTTTCAGCCGTGAATTGGTTGATCTCGCTAATCACACTGTCAAGCGATTCTCCTGTGTTTCCAAGGGCGACCTCAGCCGTCTCGTCGTTGACGTGCATGGTCCAAAAGCTGTAGTTGGAGGTATTTGTAATGGAATGCACCGATCCAACGCGCAGATCAAAATATCTCGAGCCTGCATAGAGCTGATCGTAGATGTTGATGCCTTGAGTCTGTGTATTTTCGCTGATGCCTCCACCAATAATCTGGTTGCTGATTGTAGACATTCCCGCATCGTGGGTGCCCGGCATGACAATGTGCTGGAGTTGTCTGTCTTGAATCACGTCGTACATATTCTTCATCCAGTTTCCAGGGCCATATTTGATTGACGTAATGAAGCCATAGCTATCGCTGCCCGTGATAACCAACGTCACGGGAGATTGTTCCGCTGGGTCCAAGTATTCTCTCTGGCCTTGGCCCATACCCGTAAGATCAATCACAGTTCTGGCTGGATATGTGTCTGGTATATGAGTCGTCGTTCTGATGAAGAATGTTTTGTTAGTCCCATCGATAGCGTAGTACGCTTCGCCATTATCATCCACAGCCGATGCTCCGGCCTTGTTCGTGTAGACTACAGTGTTCTGAAATAACCTCGGTTAGCCTCACTTGGATGAACTACAGCAATGATGTTAATTTACTATGATGTACATACTTGCCGGGAATGGCCTTGGGGAATATCACCCCAATCAAACGTTGTCATCTGGTAAGAATGGGTATTCTGCAAGACAAATCTATGAGGCGTAAGATTTACGATGGTGATGTATTGCCGTGAGCCAGGCACACTGATGATGCTTTCCATGAGGTTCCATGGCATGTATGTTCCATTTGGAGGCACTTCGTTGCTGTAAGTGAGATTCTGTGGATTGCAAGCGCTAATAGCTGCGCTTCTGGTAGCGAACAACCAGCCCCAGCTGGCTGCAGCCAAGAGAGTCTTGAACCTCATTGGAAACGCTCTTATACTGTTTCTTCTTCTTTTCCTTTCTCCTCGCGGATATTAATCTGTCGCGGCTGGATCCTTGAAATCGTGATTAAAATCTTCGCTGATACCAATACCATTTAATGCTCGATTATGAAGAGACGCTGAAAATAACTAACAAATGGGGCGACAGCAATAATACAGCACCCTTGGATGAGAGCATATGAGAAAACCTCTCCCAACATTTACAAGACTCAAGACCCTGTAGAGCGATATATATATGATAATCGCTCAATCTTCCCATCACCTCGGCCCATAGAGCCGTTTTACATGACCACATGCTAAAAGCAGGTGAGAAAGCTACAGAGTTTCTTTTCAGACTTTTCTTAGCGCTACGGTCAGATGAGGATAGAATTGGAGGGGAAATGAAACCTAAGAGGAGGTTGAGCATGAATAAAGAGCACGAATGTGGTTGATAGGCCGGGAATTAGCGCACGAGGATCGAGACTAGGTCAATAAGAGCAGCTCAGCGGGAAAGGGGCCGCAGCTAACTAGTTTGAAGCTTTCAGCGAACTTTAATGGCACTGAGGTTGAGGGCATTTATGAAGCAAGATTCGTTGATGGACTTGGCGGCGAATTAATAAGGCAGGTCGGAATGCAATGCAACACCACCAGCCGTCTCTAGAGCAAAATACTGTGTGCGAAGTGCAAAATAGAGGCAAAGCTAGAACTCTTCGTATACCGAATGTTACTTATTCTTCGCACAAACAGACAAGTAGGTATTTGCGCACACTGGGCAGCTGAAACATGGGAACAACCATGTAATTTCAGGGGACAGGAATTTAAAGTATGTACCTCATGCGCTCAAGCTGCTGACCCTCTAGCGTAAGAAAATGCGCATGTGGCGAAGATGAGTTTCGCACTGTCTTGTCATTCTGGCTTACTTGCCTCATGGCACATGGCCCAAGTCACCATGCCTTTTACAGTCATGAGCACAATGGATGAATTCGTAAGGACTGATAAACTGGTTCCAGGGCAGTCAAAAAAATGTACATTATTCAGACCCATTCGTTGTATATGTTTAGCTTTACAGCGTAGAAAAGCTTTGCTTTATAGCCCGTACAAAATGACTGAGAACGGCCAACTGGCCTAGTTACTTTTGCAGGCTTCGCGAAGCAAAGTGGTATCGCATACAGCGCTGGGTATATATTCTTTATTCATGATGAATACCATTGCTTCTATTTGCGCTGTTTAGAAAGGAAGAAATGAGAAACAGTGCTAGTGCATCGTGATCTAAATTACCACCAGATACTTTGAACGCTCGCTTCCCAAGTGCAGGTCGTATTCAACGTATTTAATAAGTGAGAGGCTGCGGTGATCTGGCCCGTCTTATTTCTCGCAGTGATCTCTCACCAATCCTAGGAATGTTGCCCAAGGCCGCTGCATTCAGCCGAATAGTTTCTTTAGCTTGATCCACCCGATATATGAGCCTATGGCTCCTATTAGGACTTGTCATGAACAGCTTCAGCTTTGGCCCAGCGGAAAAGCCTTGGAGAACTTGTCTGATTAGCGTTTGAAACAAAATGAGAACTCGGTCCATCCTCTCCCCATGACCGTAAAAGTCGGACTCAAAATCCGAAATGCTGTCTATAAGTACGTAGATAATCGTGTCTGGCTGTATCTGCCAAAACAGTCTTTCAAAAAAGAAACAGAGTGCCTCAGTGTTGCTTGCCGCTACAGCGTCGTACAAACTTTGATCGACAAAATCGAGCGACAGGTTATATGACTTTGGGTATAGAAGCAGCTGGCTGATGATGCTGCGTAAGAGACCCTTCGGCCCTGAATTCTCTTGCTGGGGGTCAATGTGATGGCCGCAGAAGAATTGCAGCACAATACCAGCCTCAGCCCGAATAAGACTTGATGCAAAAGAAGCGGTAAAGTATGACATGGGAGATGTTCTTCCTACGCTTTCCCCGCGGCTGCAGCCATCAACAAGCACCAGGCTGGGCCAGTCTGATGATAGCCATTCTTTGAATTGGCGCTTTTGCCTCAATAATGTAGCATATCCCAGTGCCTCGTCACTCATCAAACTTTCTTTGCGGAGGATACGATCCGCATCACCTATTGGATCAGGCGTTTGCAGTAAGTTGATGATGTCGCTCTCGGTTAGGGCTTGCGCATATTGAACGACAGGCTGGGGTGGTGGACTGGGAGAGATAATATTTGGGGGCAGCGCGAAAAGTTCTATGCAGCATCCAGTCAGCCAGTCTCGTTTGTTTCACGAAAATAATATGACAACTTACGTCGTTGAACGATGGAATCAGCTATAAACTGGTACAAGGCGCTCTGCAGTTGCTCATGAATCGTTGCAGGCAGCGCGTCAACCAGTCTTTGTAGTCCCGCCTCAAACTGTTTCCTCTCTTCTCCTTCTTTAGTTATCTGCCTTTTAGTCTGTGCCAGCTGGTCGCCCATTTGATCGGCCGCATCGATCATCTGAGAGCGGAACAGGTCCACCTGAGAAGATAGCTTGTCATGGCCTTCACTAGTTTCTTGTTGCAGGTCTATTACTCTGGCTCTGATATCATGAGCCGTCTTGCGAGTAGCTTCCGCTGCTATTCGTCCTTGCTGAGCCGATGTCTTCGTCTCTTGCCATACCTGTCGGTCTAAGTGGGCCGTAGCTTCGTAGACCGTTTGCTTTGCTTTACTAATCCTTTTGGAGATTTCGCCTATCTTTGCAGCCTCTACTTCAGGTATCTGCTTAACAACCCTTTTGAAAACTGTTATCTGTTGTCAGAGCCAACTGTTTCACTGCAATTTGATGCTTGGAATAAGGGGCCTCTTACCATTTCCCTCTTTATAAGTTCGATTCAAGATTATCATGAGTTCTGAAAGACAGTCCACCATAATCCCATAGAAGTCCCAAACCAGGTTCTTCAGTCTTATCTCTTTGCTGTAGACGTCGCATATCTGATAGACGCTAGCCAAGACCCCAGGAGCGTCTTCGAGTTCTTGCAAAATATTACCCACATTAGAAAGCCTTTTTCGGTATGACTACAGGCATGTTACTAACATTTTTCATCAATATCCGCATACAAGTAAACTCACCTGAAAAACAAACACCAACCCTGTTTTAAGAACACTAAGACCATTCTCATCGGGGATAGCTTCAGAAAGGCGTTCCAAGATGCCTATTGCTATGTCACCTTTTCGGATCCATCCTCTAAATCGATTATCTTCAGCCTTTTTCTCATATGTCTTTTTCGCTTCTCCAATGCAGTCGAAAACATCTCTCCAGCTGACGTTTTGGGGTATGGCTGTTGAATCGCCAGCTTGAAGAGAATTGATGGCGGTCGACAAGTCCTCTAGTTTCCTGCAGACGAATTAGAAAAAAAGGAGTTGCGACATGCGGAGAGAGGAGGTGAGAAAAAGAAATTATAACAAATTACCGGTTAATAGGAACTCTCCATTCTGCACGCTGACTACTGTATTCTGTTGGTGAGGCTAAACCCTGGTGAACAGCCGCACCCTCGGTTTGGCTCCAGTCTTTCATTACTTGAATCTCACGTCCATCGCTCATAATCTCCCGCATCCCCTGCCCCACCTCTAATAGTCGCCGAAAAGTCATGATGAGTTGCGCGTTTGTTATCTTTTCAAGAGAGAGAGTAGTAGTTCAGCGTCTATATCTTTATGCTGTATGGTTTTGAACTTCAACCGGACTGTTATCAACTTCTTAACAGCGCGTAAGAGTGAAGCTGAAACCTTGCAGGATTGACAACCTTGCTTACAACCTGTACCCCGCTTGGATGCCTCGCCTATTCCCAAAAGGACAGAGATCACAAATGACGAGAAGAAATGTGGGTTGATTATTATTGATAGGCTGCATTAGTCGCCCTTTGAGGCGGCTTTTAACCAGTATTTGGAATCGGTTCCGCGTAGGATCAGGTTCCTACGCGGCAGTATCGATTTGTTTCACTGGATAATGCCTCTCTTCGCCCCCATCGAGGTTGTGATTATTCCAAGTTGTGACTCGCCCATGCATGAGCCTATGCCCAAGTAAGCGCAGTTGCTTATGGTAAATTAATCAGCATCGTCGTGGCAAGGGTGCTTCAGCTGTATGTGTTTTCTAAGTCCACCTATTAAGACAAAACGTCCCCTCTTCTGATGGGTATAGTATATCCATTTCAGCCGCATTTGTAACTACCTATTTTTCTTCAATCGTCACCAAAAAGAGACAACAATGGCAGCAGATGCTGGGATAACCAGCCAGAATGGCGAGATGAGTACCGCCAAAGAGACTACAATCTCAACTCCGTCTCTTGCAGATGAGGCGAGGGACGAGTCGGTTCCAGAACGAAGCGAAGAGACGGTGAAAAGTGCTTCGAATGACGAAAACGCCGATTCATCAAAAATTGCAGAAGCCAAGCAAGAGGACAACAAGAAGGATGGGTCCAATAAAGACGACTCTAAGAAGGACGAGTCCAAGGAGAATGAGCTAAAAAAGGATGAGCCTAAGGACAAGAAGAATGAATCCGCCCCAGCGCAAACAGAGAAGCCCGCACCGGCTCCCGCACCCACCACCATCGCATCAACAAGCAAGAAAGAGAAGCCAAAGCCAAAACCCATGCAGGCATTTTCGCGCGTTATCCCGAAAACGCGAGAATGTTTCACTTGGGATGAATTCAAGAATCATCGAACCGAAGACCACAACTACGCCATCGAGACACTTGTGGCTGGCGATTCGCTGAAAGCAGAAATCGAGGAGTCGGAACTTCTTTATGAAGGTCTCGACGATTTTCAGTTCATGGGCGGGTGGGGAGGCGGCTTCCGAAGAGGTTTTGGTCGACGGAACCCTCAACACAAGACGGTCATTGACGACGGAGACGAAGTTTGGCTTCAGCGAGTGCGAATTAACTCTAGGGCTGTGATGATGTATCTTGGACGCCAAAGTCCGGCAGGAAAGAAATGGAATGGGCGACCGCACATCTTTCGTCGACCTTTCCGTTACCTGATCCATTTTCATGACCAAATGAAAGAGGCCCTAGCTGAGCTTGAAGAATCGGCTTCAAGCGCTGACTCAAAGTCTGCCGACTCGGCGCAAGTCCAGGATTCAAGTACAGATAAGGGCAAAGATAAATCGGATTCTGATTCTCTCGGGATAGAGTCTCTCTTCACCCATTCCGATACCTTGGCTGAGATGAGACTATATATCAAGTTCGTTGATGAAATGATCATTCCGGAATATCAGCGCTTCCAAGATCCTGATATCAACACTGCACCTACAAAGATCAGATGGGACCTCCTATGGTATCTCTTCAAACCTGGAGACCTAGTCTATGTACCCAATCTCAATAGCGGTGTCCGAGCTCGAGTCCCCATGGGTTGGGACGGCGTGTTTCAACGCCTCCAAGCTGGATTCGGCGACGGTGGAATGGACTCAGGGCCATCGACCAACCACAATACCAGAGGATCTCATACTGACCAGATGGTATGGAGGATATATCGAGCTCCCTTCAAGCAGTCGGTCATTGATGGCTGCAACTGTGAATCTTGCCTCAAGATGGACTCAACCTGGTCAATATCGTGCTACCACATTGACTATGATGGTCAGAATTACAGTGCAGTAGGAAGAACTATCGAGATTCCCTCATTCGAAGGGGAGCGTGAGATCACACAGCTGCCCTGTTACCCTATGAGATACGTCAAACAGCGAGATGAGATAATGGAGAGAGGCCGACAATACGGCAGCAAATTTATCGAACATATTGATCCTGCAAAGAGATACAGCTTCTACCGCGGTTGGACACTCATTAAAACACCTCTCGGCCAGCCTATCGAAGACAAAAATGGAAGAGTCATGACTAGTCCTGAACATATCGAAAGTGAGATTCTCGTCGACTTCGAAGAGGCCTTCAATACAGATCCATCCTGGAAGCCCGACATCCTGGCAGTCGACGCGCTGACCTACAGGGTTGTCATATCAGTTGACAATGAGAGCCCGCTGCAAGAGTGGCATGATGAGAAGCGCACCAACCTCAAGGATGCCTGGGAGGACAAAGTGATTACCGAAGACGGCGTCGACATAATCCAGATGAATGACTTTATCGAAACGGATTTGCTGCTAAGGAAAAAGAAAGACAACGAAAATGAGCTTGAGATTGGAGAACTTGAAGGCGACAACCTTGCTCTACTGCCTAGACGACTCTTTGCGTATGCCCTTTGGGAGCGCAGATTCGTACAGGTTGACATTCGAGACGTTTCGTTCCCCGAGCTCAAAGACAAGGACAGAGCCTTTGATAGCCTCCAGATCCCCGACGAACACAAGACTTTGATGCAATCGCTAGTTTACTCTCATTTCAAAAAGAGAGTCACCGAAGGCACTGTTGAGATTGCAACCCAGGATCTCATTCGCGGAAAAGGTAAGGGAATTATTATTTGTTTATGCAAAATACCTCATATGCTAATGCTACCACCACTCAGGCAAAGGAATCGTAATTCTGCTCTTTGGTGTGCCCGGTGTTGGTAAAACAGCTACTGCTGAATCTATAGCCCAGAAGTTCGAGAAGCCTTTGTTTCCAATCACTTGCGGAGATCTTGGCTTCACGCCTGAGAGCGTGGAAAGATCTTTGAGTGAGATATTTCGTCTGGCTCATCTGTGGGACTGCGTCCTCCTCCTAGACGAAGCGGACGTCTTTATCACACAGAGAGACAGGAAGGATTTGGAAAGAAATGCTCTGGTGTCTGGTAAGTACCTATTCATAATATCCATCTATTTCCCGAGATGTTACAGTGCCTCGCAAGTAATTTCGGGCCACCTACTTGCACGATCAGTGGTATTAGCGGCTCGAAATTACCTACGCTCCACTATAATTCAGTTGCATGTATAATCCGTCAGCGCTAACCTTCTACCTCAACCATCTTAGTGTTTTTGCGGATGCTCGAATATTACAACGGCATTCTGTTCCTTACCACAAACAGACCTGGCGTTCTTGATGAAGCAGTCAAATCTCGAGTACATTTGAATCTTCACTACAATTTCCTCACTGAGGACCAGGTGGTTGCCATTTTCAAACTCAACATTCTGCGACTTAAAGAAATCGAAGACCAGGCTGCTAAGGCTCCCGGACACACCAAACTTTTCATCGATGAGACCGATATCATTAATTTTGCCAGTGAACACTGGAGAAACCACACAGATGGTATTGGGCGATGGAATGGGCGACAGATTCGTAATGCTTTCCTCATCGCCGCATCATTGGCGCATTATGAGGGTGACATGGGGAAGAGACCAGAGGGCCTACAGAAACAACTCACTTCAAAACACTTCAAGAAGGTGGAAGAAACTACCAGACGGTATGATGAATATCGAGTCGCTTGTCTTGGAGACACCGACAGCTACCTTGCTCACGATCGGTATGAGAGAGATGATGAGTGGCATCCTCATGCACGAGGCGCTCCCAATGCCTATATGGCTAATGTCCAGCCTCAAGGCCCTGGCTTTTTGCCTCGGGCTGGGAGTTACCCGTGGCAGAGACCTGTACAAGCGCCCGTAAACATGAATCCAAGCTCGGTGCAAAGACAAGGAGCTGGAGGATGGTCGAATAACACGGAAGCGCGTCCCCCTCCTGCCCCTGCCTCTGGATATCAACCACCTATGCAACCATCTCACGGACAGCCCCCGCAGCAACAATTCTCACAACAGCCGGGACATATGCCAGGCAAAGGGCCCGGAAGTTCAAATAGCCCGAATTACATTACTCAAGGTCCCTACCCTTCTCCTCCAGTAGGGCATAATGAGTCACAGGGCTACGATATGGGAGGCAATTCACAGATGAAGCCTAGAGGAGAGCCGAGGATGGATGAATGGAATGGCGGCGGCCAGCAGCAGCAGCATTGGCAGCAGAATCAGAATGGGTTCAATTCATATTAAGCGGGCGATATGCATTCATTGATACCAACGTATACGGAGAGTATTAGTCTCATACATGAAATAATTGAAGTCTATAATAAAAAATAAATATTGATCCACCACCCCAGTTCTATTATTCAGCTATCAATAACATCCATAGGTTACTACTACCGCTGCTACTACTGCTACTACTGCTACTACTGCTACTACTGCTACTACTGCTACTACTGCTACTACTGCTACTACTGCTACTACTGCTACTACCGCTACTACTGCTACTGCTGCTGCTGCTGCTGGGGCTACTGCTGCTGGGGCTACTGCTGCTGGGGCTACTGCTGCTGGGGCTACTGCTGCTGGGTTACTACTACTACTTTAGGTGTATCAGGTAAATCCATCAGTTTTGTATGTATACTAACTGTCTTATTGAGCTATAGCTGGACTGTTGGACAAAAGTGTTGGATCATTTCTCCCGAGATACAACATCTTGTACACGCTCCTGAGATAAACAGGATTATACGGCTGATCAAACATTTATACACTGTCACAAGACCATAAATGGTATGCGTGCAAAAAGAAAATGCTTGTATTGACAAGTTCATGAAAGAATCTACACTTGCGAAAATATAATGTACATCAAAATCTGTATCCGCTCTATGGCCATTGTTCATTCTCATGGCGACCCGTGTCGTAGTTCAGCCGCCATATTCCAATAGGTATCCAAACCATTTTCCATACTACTAAATCGAAAAGAAAATCATCGCTTATTTCTTCTGAGCCCAACCAACCTGGGTGTTGCCGCTGTCGAAGACGACATAGGCAGCCTTGAGGGCAATATCACCAAAGATGGCGAAGGGAAGGCCACCAGAGGACTGAATACCTCCAAAGCACTCGCTGCCGCTGGCCTGGCCGTAGTTGATCAGGCTACCGGGGACGGTGATCTTGCCGTCTCCAACAGTGAAGGTGAAGTCGGGGAGAGTGGTGCTGCAGTCAAAGACATATCCACCCTGCTGCTGGTCCTCGCGAGCACCCTGGACGTTCTGGTAGTAGGCGCTGACGAGGTCGTCGCTGGCAAGGAGAAGAGTGGTGCCAGTGTCAGCAATGGCAGAGAAGGATCCGCCAATGTCGCTGCTGGTGCTGAACTGCCAGAAGCCCTGGCTGTTGTCGACGGGGGCGTAGAGTACGTTGGAAGCGTCCGATGGGATGGCACCAAAGATGTAGCTGCCGGGAGTCTCGTGGCGGAGATCGGCGACGAAGAGGGGAGCGTCGAGGCTTCCGGAGATGCTGTCGAACCAGGTCTTCTGCTGGGTGGGCTTGACGGTGTTGATGGAGCTGAAAGCGAGACCAAGGAGGCCGTCGTTGTTACCCTGGGCGAACTGGGCGGAGACTTGCTGGGCTGACTCAACGGCTTGAGACTTGACGGTCAGGCTGCCAACGGTGACAACATCGGTGTAGACATCGCCAGAGGAGGAGGATTGATCTCCGTAGGTAATGGACCAGCTAGCACCATCCAGCTTCTGGGCAGAGGTGCTCTTAGACGGGTTGTAGATGCTGTGGCCCTGAGAAGAGCTAGTATCGGTTTCGCTGGAGAAGACCCAGAGGTCGGAGCTGCCGGTGTCGAAGTCCAGGTTGAGAGTCTGGGCAGGAGTACCAATCTGAACAGGCACGAGATACTCAAGATCACCGCTGTCTGGCGTAGCAGTAACGTTTCCGCTGCTTCGCTTGATGAGATGAGCAGACTTGAGAGTTTCGATGGCCTCGAGGAGGGTGTCAGTAACTGGGACGCCGAACTTGGCGTAAGCACGAGCCAGAGCGAGAGCACCGTTTCTACTAGTGAAGCCGGTGTTGGCGGCTCTCTTGATCTCGAAAGAGCCAGGCTGGGGAGCCATGTAAGGAATGGCACTTCCTGCTGCCATAGAGGCAGACAGGAAAGTGACGAGGAAAGTGCCAAAGCTAGTGGTGGGCTGCATCTTGAAGTCTGCTTGAAGAATGGATGAAGAAGAAAAAATATCTTTTGGGGGGAGAAAGTAGTTATATAGAATGAAATGAAAGTGGATCTATGGCAGCTCTCGAGATGCTGATGATGGCAGACGAGTTGTAATTTCTCCTTAGGCGAGATTGTCAAGCCTTATTTATCCTTTTTTTTTAACTTCCCCTAAAGATCGACGTCAGTCACTGCAGCCAAGAAACACCACGATAATGCCGACGCAAGATATCGTAAAAGTCCTTTTGATCGGGAAACCAGTACGAGAGTAGAAGGTCAGAATGCCTGAGACGACATAAGGTTAGGATGATAGACGTCTGACACCGCTCTCCCCAGACCTCACGATGCAGCAATGCCTCATCGAGCAGCCCAATTGGGCAGCTGGTTGAAATGCCATTGGAGAACTTTTGCGAGTCAGTTCGGAAAGTCTCCTTGATGCTGCTAACAGCAAGTGTAGTCAGGCACGGAGATCGTGGAGACAGTGGAGGCAACCAATGGTAGCACGAATGATACCTTGAATGCCAGACTGAGAGCACGCAAGCGCGTTTTACTCAAAGAGATCTATTGTGATAAGCTGCAACCTCGGGCCATATCAACCAATCCTAGCTGTACCTTCGGGTCCGAAGAGTTAAGCATAGTTTGAATTGACACAGAGACTCGTAGAAAGGAGTCTAGTTTACGCGCCAGAATGGGCCTTCTGGAAATAGCAGTACTCTTAGGATCCGGAAACTCATGCTCCATTCAGAAGGTTGAGCTGTTTGTCATACCGGAGATCCTCATACGATGTTCAGGGCACATGCTAAGAAGATGAAACTACTTGGTGAGGCCTTTTGACGATCTGCTATAAACATCGCCAAGAAGGGACTTGCAGCCGGACGATCTCGGTGGGTCGCCCCGCCGGCGATGGCCAACGAAAACACAGCCTTCCTTTTCTTTGGGCGTTTCAGCCAACTCAGCTTGTGATTAATATTCTTCGATTGGAGGAGCTGGAGATAAGAGGACCACCCATATCCCCTGGGGCGTGAATGCGCATGATAGAGCTGTCAAATCAATGCTGACTGCCGCGGTACGAGAAGGTGCATCGGAGACGGCCTCAACTTCCTTGAAATGCCATCACTGGGACTTTCCGATATAGACAAGGATCAGCCGCAGCCCCTGTTTAGTGCTGAAATGACAGGACGAAGCACAGGTACCTTTGTCGCCATCGCCATAGGCAGACAAGCACGAGCGCGAATCTGAAAATGAGCACAAAAGAAAACAAGGGAAACAGAGGTAGGGAGCGCAGGAAGCGCAAAGAAAAGATTTCCCGCCGTCAAAACGCCGTCAAAAAGACCGACGCGCTCTTTAGCGTGTTGGCTACCTAGGACCTATCGTTGGGAAAGGTGGGGATTTCTCGAAAGCAAAGTCTAAGGATGAAGAATGTTCTAGCCATTGGATATGACTGGGCCTCACATGTTATAAACGGATCATTCCCGAGCCAATAAGATACCGAGACAGCTGCGGCAGATCGTCGTTTGTTTACAACAAAAGAGAGTGTGCTACTCTCTCATTGTTTATTGGCTTCGGTGCTTTTCGGACAAGCACCGGCGTGGATAACTGCTGATTGATCGATATAACCTCAACGATAAAGGAGGTGCGGGTGGCAGTTAATATATGTATACTGCTGCATAACGATAAGAATAAAAATAAGAATAGTCAGCCAAGCCGGAGAAATTAATGCCAAGTCTTTAGCGAACATGGGAAGAGGTGTGACATACTCTACCGCTGCCACTACCGCTACCTCGGGATTACGGCCGGGTAATCTGGGGATTTGTAGCTTTGTTATAGATTTGTGAAATCTGGCTGTCTTGATACAAATGAACAATCTCAATGTATTTAAATTTTATACCTTTGTCGTTTCCTAAGGTGCTCTAAATGCAGATCAAATAATCTCGGCCAGCTCCAGTGTATTGCTGATCTTCACAATCTACGGGTGACGAAACGGCCCCGTTTATATCCCTTTACAAATCCACCAAACCCCAGTTCTCCGCTCTATGAGTCCCCTGTGGTCTGATGATGCTAAGCAAGACACTCGCAAATACTCGATCTGGCTGCTTTTAGAGTAGAATGTGGACAAGTTGATTGAGTAATAGGGCTAAAAGCACCTTTCATAGTTTTGACTCAGCTTGTAGCCGATATCGCTCGCGGGATTGCAGGGCTGGCAAACCATAATTGGCAGCTATTGAATTGCTCCGTAAATTGACAGTAATCTTGGACAATGTGAAGATAGCAATTCTAAATACTTCTTCAACCGCCCGTTAGCTAAAGTTTAATAATACTCATTAAATCTAGCTTCTCTCATGAAGACTAAATCGTGAAGCGGTCTCTTGTTTTTACCCATGGGCGTTTGTTTTTGTTTCCCAATAAATGTAGGGTAGCTACATGCTACGAGTAAAAGTTCGAGCTTACTGCGATCACCTAAACATCGGTGTTCAATTGAAGTAGTGGGCTTATGTAGTGGGCTTGAAATTTCGCATTTTGAGCTAGAATTTATTGATGGATTGTCTCGACTAGATTACTCAGTAATTTTACCTTAATTAAGCATTTTGCGGGTTGATGGAGAGATTAGGAGAGCTTGAGATCCTGATATGGAGAAGTCGGGGAGAGTTAAAATTGCTGTGAAGTTTCTGGGTTTGTTGACAACTTAAACGGAGAGTGAAAACAATGCAAAAATGATGTCATTTTCTAGTCTGGTCTCAGCTAGTCTGGTCTCAGCGGGATGAGCAGTCATTATTCATAAAATCATAAGGCGAAACTATATCATATTCGCAAGATGTCGCAATCAATATTTGCTCTTCCGCTGTTTATATATAGCTCATCAATCTCATCCGAGGCTTCATTTTCTTTTCTGGCATCGGCGCTGCAGCGAATAAAACAAGTAATGGTACACTTAGGAAAAAAGAAGAAAAAAAGTGTTTCATGCCGTGGCCTAGGTGCTTACTCGACAAAATGCAGTTTGAGATTGACTCCCTCGCCGGGCGAGTTGATCAAAGTTAAACCGTGGCTAACTGGGCCAGCTTGTGATCCATCGATGCTGTCAATGCGCTGCATCAATCGGACTACAACGTAGCCCAACTCTGTCAGTGCAAACTGCTGGCCGATGCAGATTCTTGGTCCTCCGTTGAACGGGAGATATTCCCAGCCTGGTCGTCGCGCTTCCCATCTCTCGGGCTTGAAATATTCAGCATCAGGGCCCCACAGATCTTTTCGACGATGCATGAGGTAAACCTAGGTGATGTTGTTAGATAGAAAGAACTTGGCTATGATATATGGGATATTTCGCTTACGGAGTAGGCGACGTCTTGACCCTTGGTCACAAAGATTGGTGATTGTCCGTCTTTACCACCTCCAACAGGCAGTGTTGTGTCAACTTGGGCGGTTCGAACATTCATGGGGACTGCAGGATAGAGGCGTAGGATCTCATTCAGACACCATTGAAGATACTGGCAGCTCTTCATCTTTTCGAATGTAATTTCCCTGGGGTTGGAGTATGTTCCAAATTCGTCCAGGATGATGGTTCTCAGACGTTGGTAAATGTGTGAGTATCGAGGGTCGGCCATGGTATAAAAGAAAAACCCTAGTGTTGAAGCAGTAGTATCTCGGCCGGCAAGCAAAATGTTGAGAAGTTCGGATCGCAGCTCCTCAGGGTCTTGGGTATCCTTGGCCAGTGCTTTGAGGAAAACGTATCTTCCTTCATCCGTAGACCATTTTTCGCTGGCGCCTTCAGCAAGAGCTTTCTGAACAAAGTAGTCGACGAAATCGTGCACACTCTTGACCATTCGCTTAAACTCGGAGGTATGAGAGTATTTATAGTGTGGCCCTAGTCGCGCTCCAATGGCAAGAGTATATTGTGCTTTATCAAAGGCATATGCGAAACCGACGTCGTCATCAGAATTAGGTTGGTGATCCTCGAGTTGGCTGTTCACACTCTCCCCGAAGAGGAACTCAGTTGCGGAATCGAGCGTGAGCCTGAAAAACAGAGGCTGGAGGTCCACCAGACTTGTCCAGCCATCCGGCCCAACATGGCGATCGAGTACTGTCATGAAAGCCCTGACATGGTCTTCTTCCAGACTGAGGTCGCTCACTTGGCCGCGATTGAATTGTGGACGTAGCAAGGCTCTAGAATGCTCCCAGTACTTGCCGTTTGAGGCGAACTTGCAAATGAAAGCAGTTAGCACACATGTATTGAATCCTTTGGGGAAATTACGCCGCAGAACTCACAATTCCATGTCCAAGCAATGGCTCGAAGTTATCCGTTCGATTTATACCCAAGCCGAAATCCTTGAATTTGAGCGCTAGAATCGTTTGGATATTCCGAGGTTCTATCGTTACCAAAGTTTCCCGGAAGAAGGGTGATTGAAAGCGAAAGGTGCCCATCGTGCGGCCGTATTTAGTTGCTTCCCGGTCGAATTTTTCCTGCATATAGGTAGGAAACTGCTTTTGACGGCTCGCCTTGACGCCTTTTACCAATTCTGATATACCAGTCGGGTCAAACGTTGACATCCATGGCGGCGACTCGCATCCGAGCTCCCTGGCTCGAGCTCTATAATAGAGTATCTCGCGGATTTGGTTGAAGACGTAGACAACCGCTAGGGCCGCGGCCACAATGCCCGCCGCAAGAGTCAAATGCATGTTGGCGATGACACTCACAATGTATGAGGAAATGTGCAACGAAAAGAAAAGGGGAATGAGTCAAAACAATAACTTTTGCGAGAAATAAAAGATAAAACCTCGCACCCTCGGCTAATCTAGCTCTTTAGCTTGTGTCCTATGTAGTGGTCATTGAGCGGCTATATACGGGGAACGAAAGCTTGACACCATAGTTTGACACAAACGCCAATCATGAAAACAAACAGGAGAGACGGATCAACCCAATGGCCTGGACGGGCTCTCGTCCTTGATCCGGTCCCGTTTCTGTAGCAAATTGTGTCGTTTGTGACTCTCCACCCGCTAGTTTTAGACAGTGTCAAAGGGCGGCTGGTTACATGGTGCCATACCAAGCCGCTCTAGTTTCTTCTGCAAGGGTTAGTGAAAAACCAAATTGCAAAGATAGAGCACCGGTAGCATGATGTCGTTTGTGCCTCACCGTAACCTGCTACAGCTGTCGGATAACTGCATGATCGTGTCTCAAGGGAACGGAATTCGGGCTATTTAGGCCCGCCGCTGAGTCTCGTCTCTTTCCCCTTCTGTCTCGCCTCTGGGCTTGGATGATGCCAACAACGTTGCGTATGCTAGTGCGATCTTCACATGCCGGGGAAGATGATCGGTTGGCTAATTCTTAACTGGCCATAGTTGATGCGGGGGAGGCTCGGACGGGCGGGCGTGACGAACCCGCGGAAGCCGTACAAAAACATGCTGTGCAGGCATTGCTGCTGTACGAGGTGGTATTTCGCGTTGTTGCGTGTGCCGTATAAGGCACTTACGTATGCGTGTATGTATGTCTCAGCTCTGCAGGGGGTTGGTGAAAGCCGAGGTCCATCAAAGCATCGCGTGAGTTTAAGAGTGCTTGTGTTTGTTAGGCCGCTGTTGTTTGATGTTTGAGCAACTGACGCTATGACGCTTTATATCGACGATGTCATGAACGGCTTAAAAATAAGATGCTGAGTGGCTTGAAGGATTTGGGAGCAGCCGCAGTGGAACATGGGGAGTAGCATTTGGTACGTATATGTCTTGGATTATGCCCTCGATCTCTAAGCGACACTTCGATCACCGGCTCCGCCCTTCTTTGCATATAACGCAGTGATCGCATGAACCAGCATATAAAGCCAAGATCCATCAATCTGATGACACGCGCAAAACGGTCGTTACCCCGGGACGCGCATATCAAATCTGCGCATTGAGCCTAGCCAATTGCGAAAAGTTTTTCATAGCGCTTACTGCCTGCCTTTCGCTTGCTCTATATAGGCTCGGAGAATATGGGCTCGGGGAGGCTGTAAGCCAAGCCCTGGTTAAAGGATAGCGAAAATGGCAAGATTTGAGACTACATTTTCGTACCCTGTCATCTAGGCTACAATATGGCATATGTAATGCAATGTCGAAATGTGATACTTCTTCGTAGGTTGATGCGCAGCTAATCACACAACCTCTTAGGACAAGCCAACATAGGTACGAGGGGAAATTACTCTCTCGGAATGTTCTGTTTTCGTCCGATTGGCCGCCCAGCCTCTTGTTGACCAAGACTCCTTCTACTAATAATGAATAGCTAATATTATCTATTATCTCGATGGTTTCAAGAAGCTACAACCGAAATTTAAAAGAAAAAAATAACTTTGATAATTAAGATAAAGATAGAACTCATTTGACTGTTCCATGCTTCTGCGCTCCTTCCTTCCCCGCCTCGTTGGTGGCTCCACCTCGGGTCGCTCCTCGCCGTGTGCTCCCACATGGCTTCACTGGAAGCTTTTCTAAAATACCTGTAGGACGGAAGAAACTGTAAAGGAGAGTAGCGTAATAGCGAGTGCCATACTGTGGCAAATGAAGCATTTGCAATTTTGGAATATTGTTCAAGCTAGTTCAATAATGCAGAGTGATGAGAACAATCTCGAATTAGGTCTCATCTGCCTCTTAAGAGGCTGCTTAGCGGCATGTGTCGTTCCGAGTATCTTCCCGAGTTTCGCCAAGAATATCTCCGGATATGTGCAAGGAATCAACTTCAATTGTCCACTAGGTTTTGAGGCTCATCGCTGATGTTATCGACGAAGTCTATTTCGAATTTTTTCTCTACAACAGCATGCTATAGAAAAGAGTCGTGTAGGTGAAAACAAGATGACGGCGGTCAGCAAAGATGATGAGCCATCGGCTCTGGCAATTCGCCGGGTTACACATGACAAAATCGTCCTCTTCGGAGACTCTCTGACAGAGCTCAGCAGTAACATCCACACACTTTCATTCGCTCTCACGCCTGCGCTACAGCATTACTATTTTCGCAAACTTGCCGTTGTCGCGAGGGGATATGGCGGCTACAGCTCTATGCATTTGAAGCATGTGCTGCTGCCGACATTGCGTGCTGAAACAGCAGCCGGAGAGACAATCAAGCTACTGGTGGTAGAGATTGGCACAAACGACGCAGCAGAGCGCGATATACAAGCTGTGCCCTTGGAAGAATACAGCAAAAATCTCCAGTGGATTGTGGAACAAGCCGGAAAGGCCGGTGTCGAGAGAATTATATTGGTAGGCCCTGGAGCGGTGGATGAGAACATGCTTGAACCTCCTGTATACAACCGAACAATGAGAAATGTAGCATACTCGGAGGCTGCGAAAGCAGTTGCAAAACGCTGTGGTGTACCATTTATCGACATGTGGCACGCATTTTTGTCACACGTGGGATGGAAAGAAGGGCAGCCAGTGCCAGGCATATTTGGTACAAGCCAGACTGTACTGAAAGATGTATTAGACGACGGGGTTCATCTCACTGGCAACGGCTACAGAATATGGTACGATGAGCTGCTGGCAGTGATTGAAACCGAGTTTCCAGAACTAAAATCCGAAGCGCTGCCAACGGTACTGCCACATATATTCGATGTTGATAGAGATAATTTGCCCAGGACTTTATGGCAAGAGGTTAGAGTTAGAGAGTGAAGAATTACTTGTTATTTTCTAAGACTCTGAGCAACTTGCAGAAGTAGCTATGCTGTCGGACGAGGCAAATTGCATGACTATAGATGTCTAATGCAGTCATACTTCGCTTGGTAGTAAGATATCTAACAGACCCTTTCTTGAAGAGTTACCCTCATTTCAGAGCGCAACATTCTAAAGCAGAAAAAGCAATTAAGGAAAACGCACAAATGCAACTCTTCCTAGATATAACTCATTCATACCCTTTCATCAAAGATTCACTTCCTCCGTACGCCTCGTGCCGCATCAGCAATCTTGGCTTCTGCGTTCTCGAACAAGCCTGGGGGGATCTGATCCGGGTCGATGATTTCTTTCATTGCATGAGACAAAATGCGCAGAAAGCTGATATAGGACGCAAAGTCGCCTGTTCCAGTGTAAAGCATGCGGAAGCATACTTGGATGGCAGTGGTAATAGGCCAGACAAAGAACCGACTCAACTGTCGAAACGTAACTGCTCTACTGCCCGTCAGCTGCAGGCCTACCTGGACAGTTCTAACAATGTCGGTCACAGCAAAAGCGCATTTGGAGTTTGCGTCTGTAGCAAGATTCTCCGGCAGCTGATCCTTCTCGACCCTGAAAAGCGCTGTCTCGTGTAGATTGATCTTGATACTGTCCAAATTCATTCGCAGCCCTACGGCAAGCGGATCATTGCCGCTGTTGCCATTCATATGCGGCGCTAGCAGAGTTGCTCGACAATGCTCGACGGCGTTGTCAATAGCATAGTGTGTCTCCCAGAATCCCTGTGACATTTCATTATAGGAAGACTCAACGTGTCTAAAGTAGCGCTGGTAGAGAGAAATCATTAGGGTATTGGCAGCGAATGATGATAGTAAAACAGTCTCTGTCAAGTCAAACACTTGATCCAGCCTCGGCATCTTTTCGTCCAAGAAGTCTGGATACTCGCTGGAGCTGGGGAGTGGGATATTGATCTGGGCGATATCGTCAGCCTGAATAAGCACAGTTATAAGGCCCGTCTGGTACTCACGACTCCAGTAAACGTTGGACTAATGCTTGACCTGAGGCTGGCAAACGAGTCAAGAATAAATAGACTCCAGAAAACTCGTCGCCTCTCTTCTTGCTCTGCCAGACTGATGGAATGATTGGGCTCTTTGCTAAACCCCCATCGAGCAGATCCGAGTTTACTTTTCACGCTGTCTAAACCCAAAATTTGAACCAGCTTAATTGCACGGCCTAGTGTCAGATAGGCTCGCGCAAAATTTGGCTGATTCAGTTCATAGAGCGTTAATATCACATAAGCTTCTAGAAAGCTAATATTTCCCAATGAATCGCCGCTCTCTTGTCTTTCGCAAAGGTCGATAAGATTGCGAGCCTGTTCATGATAAAAGCTTGCATAGTCTTGCAGTTCTGGTACAGAAGATGCTGCCAAGGCTCCCATGGCATAAGACAAAGCCTGCAATTCACTGGTGGGATATGGCAGCGATATTTCATGCTCAAAACGACTTCGGTTGATGATGGGGATTATGGGATGGAAAACCTCAAAGTATCGTTCGTAGCTGCCTTGTTCAGCTTCAGATCATTATTGAACAACATAGCTCATACTCACAATTTCTGTAGCATTTTGTTTAAGCCAGTGGGCACAGGCTCACTAGCCGGCGATGGGATATTAAAAATCGCAGGCTTAAACTCAAAAGGCTGGTTATCCAGTATGTTCTGAGCCATCATAATATCCGCAAAGTTGGAAGATGTCAATTCGTTGGTTGATAAGTATGCCGGAGCCTCAGTAGCTGATATTGCTGGTGCAGTGGCGTCTGATTCTTGAAAGACATGTATGGGATATATAGGAGCGGGGACAGAGTTCCAATGCGATTGGGCCTCTGCTTGGGGAGAGATTTCATGAGGTGGCAAGGGTGTTATTAATAGTCCAGTGCTATCAACTTCTCTCCATGCCACTGGAAACTGCGGTTGATTTTGCTGCATCAAGTGCGTAGAAGCTAGTTGTACCTCCGCCTGTTCTTGAGAGAGACATTAGCCATCAGTGGACCTTATGTGATGTGTTCCCAACTATTGCCGCTATCCAACTGATACTCACTAAGTCTGTTATTCAATGTCTCAAGAAATCTTGACATGCCAATTCTGGAGTTTGTCGGTTTCGCTCGACCTGAATAGTGGCATGCTGCCCCCATCTTGATACATCTGTTGCATGGATCCAGTGTGTCGCATCTGACTTTGCGAGCTCGACATGCATCGCAAGCGCGCCTTCTTAGAGACGAGCTTATTCTCCGCGTTGATACCGGTGTGGGCTGCAATGTCGCTTCATCTACAGCTGCGCGATTAACATCTTCTTCGCTGGCAGCCATGGATATGACGGCTGGCCTGTGGGGAACCTCGTGTGCCGCCGCACTCATTGCTGGACCTTCTAATACTGAACTGTCAATTTTGTCACCCCAATTGCGCCAAATGCAGCATATAACAGACGTAAATATGTAGAAAAACTGCTAACTTCTGGCGCGCGGCCTACTGTCAAGTGAAATTCCTTGGTCGTGTATATGAGAAGTGCTTGTTTGTTTGGCTTCGCTGCCGTCAGCGGGAGGACAAGCTTATGGCCGGGTCGCCCCAAACGGGTTACTTAAACCCTCCATTTCTGCTAGCGAAGGACGCAAAATACTCAAGTCGCCTTCGCGGCAGTTTACCTAAGATGTCATAACGTTATTGTTCAGACAAAACTAAATTTGCATGCCTATGTTCGGAATCAACTGAGGGTCTCGAAGGCTCGGTTCAGATGTAAGCTGGCTCACGAAATCGCATTTTGTCCGTTCGCAGAGAGAACAAGTAGGTATTAGCACGCGCAGCCAGATCTCGCTACCGTCTCCAATCACCTGGCGGGGTATCCAAGTATCATGTAGATGGCAGTCAGAGTGTCGGCATCTTTGAGAAAGAACGTTTCACATATCTTTTGTTGAAACCAAGAAATGCTATTCGAATGTCAATATAAATCGCGCTGAGATACTTGGAATGGCTATTTCCTTCTTTGAGAGCGAAAGCCGGTAGATTGCCACCATCTCGACTGTAGCTGTCCATTTTCACCTGCATTAATAGTGCTCGAGTTAGGACTGATAGGGTTTCGGTGAATGAAACCCAAGATTGAGAACTGCTCTGACGTATCTAAAGAAAAGAAAGAAAGCCATTGCAAGAGGAGAAAGTATGGAATTTTTTCCGCTATTTACCTTCCCTGGTAGAGGGACGTAGGCGGCTTGTAGGACGAGACTAATTTTTCAGACTCTGGGATTGCTATGGCCTCTTGGACGCCAAGTCAACAAACGTCAAGTTGTATGATAGAAAAGTAGTCGCCGGGGTTTTTTTTTTAAAATCCGGGACAATGTCCGTTTCTTATCACCATTTCATCGGCGTCAAGAACAACTTTTAGAAAGTATACGCGCATTGTAGCCTCGAAATCTACGTACCTGCTCTTACTGCACCAATCAGCAAAGCTTCCAGTGAAGCCATGTGGAAGCTCGCGGCGAGGAGCGGCCCGAAGTGGAGCCCACTACCAGCGAGGCGGGAAGGGAAGGAGCGCAGAAGCAACGGTCGAATGTATCTGCGTGTGAGTAATTGGTAAGCCTATTGTTATCCTAATTATCGGGAAAAAAAAAGGATTAGGATATGCGGCTATGGCTAGTTGAATCATTGAGATGTAGCAATACTTATTTACTGTTGGCGGATCTGCCTGGCTTCCATTGCCAGACATTCTCTGAGCCCGCCTTTCAGCAGCTTTGAGAATTCCTGATATCGTTTCTAGCTAAGCAGGAATCAACCCTTATGGGCATGTTTGGAACATATACTTTCCACTTTTTCTTCTACGTGCGTTCTGTATTTTCACTCTCAAGATTGATTCAGCGCATTTGGCAAAATTTTATTCTTTCTCAAGTAAAGAAGGGTTTAATACATTATCTCCGATTCTATTCCTCCAGCGGTTCCTGGCTCGGACCCCGCCTTGGCCGTGCCCCACAACTGGCCGCTCAGGCAGGTGAAAGAGCACATGAAAAGGATCAGTGATGGTGATGTTAATTAACGATATAGAGAACTTTAGAGCAGTGCAAAACATTCATATAATGAGCCAAGGAATCTCCAAGTCATCGCAGAGAGTTTTTATACTCGTCCTCATCAATTCAAGTCAAAGAAATAAAAATAGTCTATTGGCTCAATTCTCTTATCTAACGCCTTTAGCAGCACAATCAGGGTAAACCCCAGACCTTTCGCCAAGAATCTATCCGTCAGAATGCCTGGTACTATCAGCTTTTTAAAACAGTCTTTCCCTGGAGCTCCCAGTTTTACGGAAAAGGATGTACCTGACTTACAAGGAAAAGTCTGCAGCGCCCATATAGAGTATTCTGAAGGCTATATAGTGCTAACGTTTATCTTTAGAATATTATTGTCACTGGCTCCAATACTGGCCTCGGCAAAGAAATCGCCCAAATTGCCTACTCTAAGAATGCCAAGGTCTATATGATGGCACGGAGTGAGGAAAAGACCAGCAAAGCCATCGACAGCATCAAGTCGGCCGTCCCAAGCTCAAAGGGTGAGCTCATCTTCTTGAAGCTTGATCTCTCCGACATCCCCAGTGCCAAGGCTGCCGCCGAGGAATTTCGACGCCGAGAGCAGAATCTCCATCTGCTTTTCAATAATGCTGGCGTCGGATATCCAGAAAAGGGTAGTAAATCGAAACAGGGCTACGAGCTCCAGTTGGGCGTCAACTGTCTTGGAACTTTTACCTTTACAAAAGCCCTAACACCTGCCCTTATTTCAGCCGCCAAAACTGCGCCAGCCAATTCTGTTCGTGTTCTCTGGGTTTCTTCTTCAGCGGCTGAGGCTGTTTCGACCAAAAATTACGTTGAAAACCTGTCTCATGTGGAAAAGATGGGAGCTTTTGAGCAGTACTGTGTCAGCAAGCTGGGAAATTACTGGCACGCGGCTGAGTTTGCTGCCCGTTACAAGGACGATGGAATAGTTTCCATTCCGTTGAACCCCGGAAATCTTGATTCAGATTTTTGGCGCACTCAAGGTGCCCTAATGACATGCATTTTGAGAAGGACACTTTTGTATCCTCCTCTTTATGGTGCTTATACAAATCTTTTTGCGGCTTTCTCTCCTCAAATTACCATTGAAAAATCAGGCACTTTTGGTAAGGCACTCTTCTATGTATATATAGACATGCGCAAACAGCTGATTGAAATTTGTAGTTGCGCCGTGGGGCAAATTCTGGAACGTCTCCAGGGAGATGATTGACGGCACCAGACCAGAGTCTCAAGGAGGTACCGGTATTGCGGCCAGCTTTTGGGGATGGACCGAGGCTCAGATTGAGCGCTATACCAGCTGAGAGTTTTGCATGCTTGCAATCATTACTGTTCCATTTTTTATGTCCTGGTCTATCTGTGGGATTTCCACCGCGAACAAGCGAATACTAGTGATTTAATTAATTCTCTCTTATAATTGAATCTAGAATATTATGACGAATGCGACCCCACCATCTCACTTATCGCTATGGAGGGGCAGCCATGACCCTTTCTTCACCCCTCAATTCAGCTACCGTCGCTCATAAGCAACAAAGCATCAGATCCTTTCATCGTCAGAACACAATCCCCGTTATTGGACTACACACAAAGAGGTCTCAGATAACAACAGAGTCGTAATAATGCTCATTCAAGAATCCCACGTCGACGTGGAGACGTCTGTCAATGGGCAGAATGGCTCGATGAGTACGTTCGCTGCAATTCTCCTCAATACGACAAGCCTAACAACCACAACAGGAATCTTCCTTTTCCACCCAACTATTCCTGGGTATCCTCAAGCGTCCGTCATCTCCCTTTACTTGAACAAGTCATGCAACAAAACAGGTCTAAACGTACTACAGCAAATTCCCTGGCGTCTGTCTCTTCAGTGAAATCTACCAAGGTCTAGCGCTCTCCTCTCGCTTTCCCTCAATCGTGTTAGGAACTGACAAAGGTTTTCATCTAGTCACTGGCCCTGTCGCGCGTTTCGCCCGTCAGATCGCTGGTCATGGGTACATCGTCGCTGCGCCATCTTCATACCATGACTTCATTGGACCCGAGCCCTTGAAGTACGATGTAGAGGATACGGATAGGGGCAACCGCTTCAAGATCGAAAAGGTCCTCCAGCTCTCACTTACAGTCTTCGCAATCGATGCATCACTGACACAAGCTGAGAACAGACGCTCGAGTCCTACGATGAGGACTCTCGCAGGACCGTCGACTACCTCCTTACCCTGCCCACCTGCTCTGGCCGCATCGGCTCCACGGGTATGTGTCTAGGCGGCCATCTCGCCGTCCGCGCCTCGGTAAGATCACATCCAGCATCCCCATGGACTCTCATCGCATCCTGACAATGACCAACCCAGCTCGACCCCCGCATCACCGCCTGCGTCTCCTACTTTGCAACAGACATCCACACCTCCTCCCTGGGCTCCCCAGCCTCCACCGCCGACCCGACCATCTCCCTCTTCGCCTCCCTCACCCACGCCGAGTGCGCCATGATATTCGGCGTCAAGGACACCCACGTCCCCGCCGAGGGCCGCGATCTCATCCGCAAGGCCATGCGCGACGCGGACGTCGTTGCCAGCTTCCACGAGTTCGCCTGGGCGCAGCACGCCTTCATCCGAGATGAGCTCAGCAAGGGCAGGTATGACCCCGCCGTGACAAAGGTCTGCTTCGAAATTCTGCTGGAGCTGTTCACCAGAGTGCTTAAGACGGATTTGGGGGCGCCGATGGGGAAGGCACCAGAGCCAGAGCATGATTGTTGATCCAGGTTATTGTATCAGCAATGGACGCGAGGAACTTGGTTGCAACAACTTGACAGATTGCCATGAATACTAATGTATGTCTATCCTTTGGTCGCCTTATCCTGGTGATCCAAACGGCGGAGTGGCGCTTCCGTCTGCAATGTCCTTATCGCACCGGAATCCCCTTTCAATGTCATAACGTCAATCTGATGGAATTATGGTCCATTCTTTTTCCACATTCTAAAGTCTTACAAGAACAAGCAAAGCAGTTTGCATCAGCGTCTGACTGAGGACGCGTGCCGTGAGGCCTCACGCCGTCCATTAGCGCTTGCCGGCGGTCGGGTCAAGCCATCTCTGGCTCTTAGGATGTCAGCATATTTGCATTACTTATCAATAAAGCGGTATTCATGCTAGGTCATGAATTCTCTTATACTAGGGTGCTCTTCTTGCGGACAATCTTTTCTCAATAGCCACCACCCCGTAATTTTAGGTGGCTGGTTTCCTGCAAATGGGCACTTTTTGATCTCTTCATTGCCTTGTCCTTCACCCTCCAACGTCCAATCCAGCTCGACGACTTGATCCTCTTGGCCTCCCCTCAATTCCTCCTCCAGTGCTCTCTCCATGTTGGCTTTGATTTCTCCCCACGTCGTCATGCTCAACATCGTCCTGCTCCCTTCGGCCACGCCTGGGGTCACCAAGACATCTGGAGTAGCATTTCCTGCCGCTGCCCCGTTGTGTACTGCGATCCGAATGCCCAATCCCGCACCTGCCCACGGTATATCTGTTGTCTCTGGCAAATGTACCAACTCGGCGTGATACTTGGTCACTCCGTAGGGCTCTCGTCCCCATGTAACGCCTCCTTTGTGGCGCACGCGAGGGAGGATATAGTGGATGGTTTCTAGTGCGGGTAATTGCAGACAAAGCCCTCTCACCACGCTGCGATAGTGTAAACGGACATCTTCGTCACCTGGGGTAGTCTGTCGGGGCACGTCTTTAAACCAAGCTCTCCACTCCATCCCGACGTGCAAGACTTGATCCCCTCCGCGAATCTGAGTCTTTCCGCCGCTGGAGCGTAGCATGTGCCGCTGATTGCGGTCGAAATACAAAATGTCACGCTTTGGACTAAACCACGGCCCTGCGCCAGCGTGAGCGAGAAAGAAGCCTCCCTTCTGAAGCGCCACTGTACGTGACTCGGAGCATATGCGGAGCGCAAGTGGCGGAGGATGTAATATGTGGAAATTAAGAGGCCTCTCCTGGTCTAATGTTAATGTGCCCTTGACGTGGAAGATCCGCGATGGAGGAAGAGTAGCCTCCCAGATAAGAGCGCGAATCTCAGAGGGTAGACCAGAAAAGTTGAATGTCTCTTCGGCCATGATGCCTTGGCTGTCGAGTGAATTGGGTATTGGATAATACTACTGGATCGATTACCTGATATTTGCTTCGAGGCGGCACCTTAAATACATGAAGTATTCAGGGCGCGTACACACGCTAAAAAAATGCGGCTTCTGGTTAGGCAGCCAGTTTTCGAGCAGCTATTTTGGTTGGTTCATGGCCGCCATGATGAAACGCGTTGACGCTGCGTAAGGCAGCCGAATAAACATGAAATCTACATGTAGAGAGGGCATATTACGTGCAAATGGAGAACCTATCGCAGGTAGCCATCATCCTGTAACCATAGTAGCTGAACTAAGCGATATTGTTGATTGTAAGTGACTGTCTGAACTTTGTAAGCCTTGGCCCACCAACCCAGCCTTTGTAGCAGTGCTGCGGTTTCTTTCAAGCTCAGGACAGTGCCTTTGCTCTGACGTAGGCGAGAAGGATCTGAGATCCACAACTTCCAAATTTAGCAGCAAAAGCAGCTACATAGCAACTACTATCGCTCTACGATACTCCCATTGGAATCACTGCAATCCAGGATTCTACTCTCTCTCTTACTAATAGGCTATACCGTGTAATTAGGCGGAATACTGGATAGCGTGACAGTATAGAGACCCACCACACATGGTAGCTGCGGGAGCTTGGATTCTTACTTTTTCAAGACTTACTAGAACCGGCGTGTTTAATTGTGCGAGAAATGTGATTTTTTGCTACAAGCTATAAATTTGCACAGCTCTATGACAATGGCTATCTCTCATGATCATTTGGCTCCCAAGAGCCATTTAAACGAGAGTCCGAAGCATCCGGTTGGCCATATCGTCTCAAAAGCGAAGCTTTTCATAATTGCTCTGGCAGCCACATCAGTCTTCGTTCTCGCCGTCATCTGGCCAAATTCACTTCCCAGATTTCCTCTTGAATATTCCGCTGATAGACAATTTTTCTATAAAAACGGAGTGTGTGAACCTCTCACAACTGATGTACAAAACATCACTCTCTACCAAGATGTGCCCTTGGCGCCCTCAATACTCCCACCTTCACACGCGGCATCGGATGGAGAGGCGATCATTGAGCTGTTTCAAAATCTCAGCAGGACAACAACCTGGAGAAGCATTGCAAATATCAGCTTCGAGGGAGATACTTTTGAGCCCGAAGGCCTTGTTCGCCTCGGTCCAGATCGCTTCGTAGTGAGCAGCGGAGAGTACACCGAGTTGACAAAAAAATATCCCCATCCCATCAATGGAACAGATCGGACGCCAGGGAAAGGATTTGCCCATCTGATGGTATATAATGGGAAGGGAGAGCGTATTGCTGATGCCACTATTACCAATGAAGGTGCGACAGAATATCACAATGGTGGAATCGATTATGATGGGCACTCGATTTGGGGCACGACCTCGCAGTATCGACCAAACAGCGCGGCATATGTGTACAAAGCCGACCCATTCAGCTTGAAACCCAAGACTATTCTGCGCCACAGCGATCATCTGGGTGGTGTTGTTCACGATACCGTCAGCAACAGCCTCACAACGCTTAATTGGGGAAGCCGAGATGCGTCTACTTGGGCTCTCAACCAGATAGCACCAGATGACTGCTCTATACAGAAACCACAGTTATTGGTACGGAACCCTAGCTATTTTGTAGACTACCAAGACTGCAAATGGTTGGGCCGAAGCCAATTTTACGATGGCGCGAGTGTGATGCTTTGTTCTGGTGTAGCTGCATTGGACGAACATTATCACCTTGGTGGCATTGCGCTGGTAGACGCTGAGACAATGAGCCCATTGGCCGAAGTACCGATAACGCTTCAAAGCGCTCTTGGAGTAAGAATGACGCAGAATCCTGTGGATATTTCTGTGGAAGACGGGAAATTGAGGTTTTACTGGCTTCCAGATCAAAGGAACAGTACGCTGTATGTTTATGAAGCTGAATGAGGGGCTCATGTTTTTTAAAAGTTATGATGCAGAATATGATAGAATCAGACGTTAATGTAATAGATGAACTTGGGCGGAAATATTTAACGTATTCGTTTTCGAGTGTTCAGAAGAGTTGGACTCAATATGAGTCAAGTACGGCTGTGAAATAAATACGGCGCCAACATACGGCAATTTCACTGGAATCTTCCCAGATCAGACCTGCAAGACATGGATTATCTGATACGTCAACGATTTCTTTAAAGAGTTCCAACTATAGCATGAATAATTATTTGCTAGCTCGCCTGATGGTAGTTTATCTGGTATGCGTTCTTTCTGGCCTCTGTAAAACTCTCGGGGGCTTTTCTGATAAAGTCATAAAGCATGCTTTACAAACCGGACATGTATCATGCCTCTTGAGATACCATTTCGCCAAGCACAGAGAGTGAAAGACGTGCGAACATGGCAGCGGGCGAATCGTATCGTCGTCTTGTAATGTTTCCAAGCATATTACACTGAACAGTCGTTAGCGCGTTATCCTAGAGTGTAAATATTCAGACATACCAAGAAACAAAAGTGGCTCCTTGTGCGAACGGATTGTCTGCGTTTTCGACATCTTCTTTCCAGCTTTTATATGTTTTGCTCGGCACCATTTGATTCAATCGTTCAATTCTGCTGGCATTTTTGGCATTTTCCGGATCATCGCCGCCGTTATTTGATCTTTTGCGATCGAGAACCTTAGTGTATTGCCTGTTGAACTCGTGAGTTGTTGTTGCTAACCCTGTGTCTAGGCGAGACTACTTTGTTAGGGTCGGGTTCGTATACTTACGCGAGTAAAACAAGTGCTACTACAATTACTACAACAATAACGGACATAATGATGATAGGAATGTAGTCGGCATGGCTGGCACTGGAAGTCTGCGTGTTGCTTGTATCATTCCGCGGAACTAAATATGATGCTCTGGCTATTCTGGAATATGATAACATCTGGGAGTCGCTCATTTTGGGATGTTTGTCGTGATTGGTGTCTGCGGCAGTTTGAAGGTTTGTTTGGGGGGAACCGTGGTTTTAATAGTACGAGATGTATCATTTATCGTTGTGACACAAAAGAGGCTTTCATTTTGAGCCCCATCTGTCATCTACCGAAGAACTGGTTCATAGCCCACAGAGGCGCCGCCAGCCGCCACATGCCATAGCTGATCTAGACTCCCAAAGACCCTTGATCACTTTTCCCTTACAGCAGTAAATCTTGCGACGTATTTCATGACAGTAATGATTTCTTTTCCCATAAACCTTTATTCCAATTTATAGAACTGTTGTCTATGGCAATACTTGTAACTTGTTTGTAAGATGACGATTGAAAAGATCATAAGCTCTGAGGTTCCAGCTATGCAGAAATAATTGAGCAGTCAGCATCTTAAACCACTAGGCATGATTGAACTACAAGGCTGAAAGTCAAAGTGGCTTCAGCTACTGTACTTCTGGGCCCCATTGATTGGATATTGCTTCGGCATGGCGGATCTGAGCTGTGGCTGATAGGCTGTCAAGCTGAGATTAAAGTTTATGGCTGGCGCTCAGCTGAAGGGCTTGCAATTACTTTGGAGCAACAAGCATGATGTAGCCGCCTCAACCGGTGCTAGCATAGCTTAAGCCTAGATTATACGAGGGCTATCGGAGAATTGGAGAATTAAAGACCAGTGGTGGCTGTTCATTTCATTGACTATGGCCCAATCCTAGTAGTACATGTATTTGCAGTATTTGCGTCTTCTTTCCATGTAGATTAGTTTACAAAGGCTGTGTGGGCTACTTTCAGGACGTATCGTTACGATGTAAGTATTCATAGAGAGAATTACTCATACAATTGTGCAACGAGAAAGATAAACACCATTTTCTCTACACAGCTGCCAATCGACAACGATCACCACTGGGCGCAAGCTAAAAATACTTGCCACTTGTTTAACACAAACGGTTAGTGAATATACTCAGCTAAACTTGAAAAAGACACTCTAACTGCCCGAGTCATGCGGTGTTGTGTTTTAAGTTGTGCGTTAGAAAGCTTAATTTGGCATGTGTCGGTGTAGCTAAGATTACGGCACGAGATATTCATGACGGTAGCCGGGGTCAAGCATATACCGATAACCGAGACTAAGATCCCTGGAAACTATTCAAGTATAGCTCTTCGGGCAATTATTACTTCATGATCCTCGGCGCTAGTGATGGGTTGATGAGCAGCGCGGCAGCTAAATCAAGCATCAAATACAGCTACCCATATTAGAGCCAATCGTAGGATTGCAAGAGTCGCTGCGTAAAATCATATCGTTGAGTTGTGGGTTATCTATTTGGGCTTTGAATACAATACTATGCGACTTTGCAATATATAATCTTCGATTGTTCACGTCTATCTTTGTCAATCTAGCTCTATTCGCCATGACTGTTTCCTCCTCATCACATCGCTTACCAGCTGCGCTCCAAGATTGTAGCCGTCCCTACTAGACCGTGACTACAGCGACGACTACTCGAGTGTCTGCCATTCCACGTATCGCTCATTTCCATGTCCTGACCCAAACAGCAAGTCAAATTCCTCCTTGGCACCAGGCTGTCCTGCCTTTTTCTTCAGCCGCATAGGCCACTTTTCAACAACTGTATTCTTTTTCATCGCCATGTTGGCGAGTCGGCCACATTCTTCGAATCTCCATTTAGTCATATATCTGATTGAAGAGGTTAACATCAGCTTCCTAGCGACTCTGCTCATTCTACCTCAAGACATAGATACATACTTGTTAAAGAATCGATCATTATCGCGGAATAGGTCTGCAGCTAGCATGTATTTCAGATAGCAGGGATCGTATGGGTGTGTTCTGAAGACTGGAGGAGGCAAAAATTTGACGACCTGTGCCATAGAGTTTCGGAAAGCTGCTGCTTGATCCGCAGGAGTGAGATTCTCTTCGATAGCATTCATAAAGAGCATAATCAATGTGGCATGAGGGTTCGTGCTCTTCTTCTGTAACAGAGGTCCCAAGGAGAACAGTGTCTTGGCACAGCCTAAATAACCAGCATCACATATGTTTGACACCTGGATGGGATAAGCAGATATCCAAGTAAACTCACTAAGAATAAACTTACCTCTATCCTTGAAAAGGTTTCACTTTCAAGATGTTTTGAGAGCTCTTCGGCATTGACATTGAACAGCTGGAAGCTGGCATTGAGAGTGATTGACTTCTCTATAAACGCCTTGAAGGCATATTGGAGGTAAAAGTAGAGCTTTCCATAGACATCGGAAGATGCAGCCCTGGGGGTTTTGTTCAGAATGTCGAAGATGTTCCATCCTTCAAGTGGATCCGAAGAATCCTTGAGTGGCCAACTCTGGTTGCTTTCAAACAAGGTCCTAGAAGATGTTGGCATAAGAGGATATTTTAAATGTTTAAATGACAAAAAAAGAGATTCGGGAGTACAAACGGGTTAGGCGTATCAAATTGTGCGCGAGAAGCACCAAACGGTAAAAGAAGGCCATCCATGCGATAGCGTTCTTGACTCAAACGGTGTGCTGGAAAAACACACATATACCGCCGCTCTCTGTAGTCTCTACGTGAAGGTGCTAGCGTGACTGCCGTGCGGATCTGATGTGCTTTCTGCACGGTAAGGTTGATGGGAACGTCCAAGCGCTCGAGAAGTTTGCACCATACTTCTTTGGTGAGAATTAAACGGAGAATGCGTGATCCAAAGGTCCAAGATTTTGCTTGCAAAGACTTAAGAGGTTTGTTGTCAACTTTCTGAACAACGTCGGCAACTAACGCACGGATTTTGCCTTGCAGGATATCCAGGTGATTTTTCTGAAGAAATGCTGAATAAAATATATGAATCATGCAATCCACTGCCTCCTTGATCTCTTCAGCCGTCAGAGAAATGAGGAGTAGGATCGCATTCCGAATGACGATCTCAGGATCCCTATCGTTCAAGACCATCGAGATGGACTTTTGGAAGGTCTCTGGGATAGAGGAAACTGTCTCGATTACGTTTCGCAAATCTCCGGATGCTGTAGATATAGTTATTAATGGTTCAGAAGTTCCAACAACTAGATTGGAGGCAGTATAACTAATCTTACCGGCGAACAACAAGTGCACATCTCGATCATAATTGCGACCTTCATTTTTCGCGAGCTGCAAAACGTCGATAGCCGGAACGTTACCCCAAAGATATTTATTTCCTCCAAAAACAACCTGTGACGGGCCATTATCGCCAACAAATGCCGGCGTTCTGCCTGTAGTAGCCCAATCTGGCTTCCATTCTGCTTTCATTAAAGGCGACTTGCAATACTTCTTGTGTTCCCCCCAATGTTGGACTTGACAGTCTCGTCCGCAATACTATCCCTCAGACTGTGAGCATATTAGACAATGCAGATGGCCTGGGAACTGACTTTGACTAGCAAGCAACCTTTGCAGCTTAGATGGCTTTGGTTGGTGGCAGCTTCAAGGCGGCAAGTTGGGTTTGCACAAGCTATGATGGAGTCCTCCATCTGGTGCTGCTGGGTGATTTTTTCGAATTGGCTATGATAAATTGGGCTGCAGACGGAAAAAATCATGAAGATGAAGAGGCCCCCTTCATATATAGTAGTCTACATCTGCGAGCTGCAGATGATACATTCACTCTCTCTACTTTGCCACTTTCTTGTGAGGCGCCAACAGCCTTGAAACAAAAGTAGCGAACCGCCCTCCACGCCGTTATTGGCTGACTTTCAGCACATCGATTGGATGATTCTTTGTAGCGTGCCCCTCGCAGCCTGACTGGTGCCTAATGGACGGCCTCCCGCATTATTGAGGCTACACGATACGGGTGTCACAAATAGTATCATGCGCCTTGGCGTTACGGGCTAAGGTTTCTTGAGCTTGGCCACGTCCACCGAATATACACTGATTGATGACTTACAGAAGACTTGGATCATACTGAGATTGTGATATACACTGCTCAGAATACTATAGATATCTTATGGACTCGGAAATCGATGTCACTATTTTGTAGTATTGATTGTTATCGAGAAAGCTGGGTAGAAGCTAACAGCGCCATTTAGGATCAAGGGTAGGCTTATTGAGCTGAGAAAAGTATCGCTCCATATTGCCCACATGTTTTGGAAGAGATGCATGCTTGGCTCAGCACCCTAAGTACTATTACAGCGAGATACACTCGAGCATTGTTCTCCGCTTCACCATAGCTAGCAAGAGGATCTTCTATAGAGAAACAAGGCTTTAGGCTCAAAGCAACACGTAATTTGATATAGCAGGTGTGTACAAGTAAATCAAGGCAACTTACCAAATTTTATTCTTTTGGCCTGAGCGGCTAATGGCTTTACCAGTAGCCTCGTGACTCCTGTGATTGTTTGAGCTTTCACAAGCTCGTGGAGATTATTCGCGCATCTAAGAACCTCGAATCTCAGGATCGCTCTCGCTACTTGCTCTGGATGTCATGGTAAACGGACGCTTTACCCTTTCTGTGACCGTGCCCGCTTTGGTGTTGTCCAACCAGAAATGGCAGAACGAACCTGGTAATCGGCCGCCATTCGACTTACGGAAGGCCCATTGTAAAGACCCTTGCAGAAATTCTCCTTCTGGCAGGTCGGCGAGTTTTAGGGTGCCTTTTGGAGAATGCATCCATTGGATGTGGTGATTGTTGTGGCTTCTGAAGCCGAGACTTTGGGTAGTATTATCATTATAATGGTTTAACCGAGGGAGCGATGTGAGAAGAAATGGCATATAAATGAACTCAAAGCCTTTTTTGGATGAAGGCTGAACGATGCCAGACAGTCTCCATTCAAATATCACTCTCAATAGCCAGTCACAATGAAGCTTGCGACGCTTTTCTTTACGCTTGCTCCGGCAGCCCTCGCTCTGCCCGCATCTAAAGAGTCTCCAACAAGGCGCCAGAGCGATCTTGTAGCCATTACAGATCAGCTGCTCTTTAATACAACGCTTCCTGATTTCATCACCCACCGTAATGCCCAGGACCCTTCAACTCTTGACTGGACATCAGATGGCTGCACTGATTCGCCCGATAACCCTTTTGGATTCCCGTACGTACCAGCTTGCAATCGCCACGACTTTGGGTACCAGAATTACCGCCTTCAAAATCGGTTCACAGACAGTGGCAAGCTCAACATTGACAACAACTTCAAATCCGAGTAAGTCACATCCTCTTCTATGAAGCTATTCGAGATAAGGAACACTAAGTATGAAACGCAATAGCCTCTACTATCAATGTCAGTCAGTGAGCGCGCAGTCTGCTTGTGAAGATCTTGCAGATGTGTATTACGCGGCGGTTAGGGCATTTGGAGGTGGTGATTCGTCACCTGGCAGGCGAGACGAGTCGCACGAGGACTTGGTCAAGGAGTATGAAGCCAAGCTGGAGATCTACCATCAAGCTGTGAAGGAGGCTCAAGAAAAAGGCCTTTTACCCATACTGGATCAATAAGACAGAGCAGTGCATGCACAGGATGTAAGAAAAATTGGGTAATTTGGATATATAGTGTCTCTATGGCGGAGATTCGGAATAAAAAAGTCTCATCGCCAGGCTTTATGTACATCTTTCAAATTATAGTCGTGAAGGAGATCTGGACTCAAGGTTTGTGGAAAATAACATATTGTTATGAAACATGTATTGCTTATATTAATTTCTGATAAAGTAAATATTACGGGAGCTCTGGCCAAGATCCTAGTGTTTTGGACCAGACTTTAGACAAGTCTACTATTTCTGGTCGTCCCATTTCTTACTATTGCCGCAGACCTAGTTCGAGCTGAGGACCGGAAGCCAAATATTCTCCCAGTTGACTCCCTTCTAAGGCCTCGTGGCGTATGTCAGCGACGCCTAGCTGAGAGAATGATCCGAGATTATTTTCTCACACTGTATCCTACATGCTATAAGAGAGATTAACCAAGTCCTTGCATGTCTATTATTCCATCTGTATCAACTCAATCAGATTTCCTTCTAGGTCGGAGATGTAGGCAAACGTAGACTGCTCATGGTTGACATATGGCGCGCCTTGTGCGATTGGCTGCACAACGTGTACACCATCTTCTTTCAGCTTTCGGATTGCTCTGTCAAGATCCGGAACTCGGTAAGCAAAATGAAATAGGCCTTGAACGGCTGCGGCTGCCGCCGATGATGTGCTTAGCCGAGACGCTGGCATTGATGATGAGAGCCATATAAGCTCCACGATGGCACCGGTAGTCGGGTTTTGAAGCTGAACAGCCTGGATTGTGCTTGGCTTGGACGTGGAAGCTGACGTGCTTGAGTTGGTGGGTGCTGCTGGCATCTCCATTGGGCCGACGACTTCAACCAGAGAGCTGAAACCCAGGGTTCGATTGTACCAGTCGCGTTGTAGCGTCAAGTTGGCAACTGAGATGCCGACGTGATTGAAGCGGAAGGTGAGTTCTGAAGATGAAGCCGTAATGGTAAAGGGCAACAAACCCGAAAGAAGAAAAATTGCTTCCTGAAACAGTTTCATATTCGCTGATTGTTGCTGAACTTGTCTATTTTCCTTCGTGGTATATAGTCAACCTAGCTTCAAATATCTTTGCGGTCTAGTTGATAGTGCATGAAAGCTGAAGACCGAATATAACAGCTTTATATAGGTAGGCATAGCATACACGCACCCATGAGTTACCAAACTTCCTATATGAATCGTGTCGTCGTCATCTTTTCCCGAAATGTGATAGGAGCCACAGGAAGACGCTTATTGTTGACGCATGAAGTATCCGTGCTGAAATTAGGCCTTGGTCTACGCTGACGTTTATTACTCAATCGGTCGCTACTCCTTCTTGTTCCCGGCATTTACGGGGTCTGAGCACCGTCCAGGTCCGGCGGTAGATCCGGCATCAGTACTATATTCGATAGAGTAAGGAGTGCTCAACAGATAATACACTCGTTTCTCAAGTATAGAAAAGATTATGGGAATGAGTCTTGTTCTTCTCATATATCACGAGACTATGGCTGTGGGCACCGCAAATTAGTAGCTCCAAATTTATGAAAAACTATTCATAAGCTTTGCTACCGCTGCTAGACACTTTTCTATGAGGGTGGCATTAGGGTAACGTATTACCACAGAAATATGAAAGGCTACTTCATCTCTTTGGCTAAGCATCCCGAGGATGATCGCCCAACGGGGTCCATCTACCGGCTTCAATGTCTTCTCTAACAAGTTTCGCAACCTCGGGGGAAGCTTCTCCGGCATGATTGACCTCCTCTAGCCACTTGACCTCCTCTGCCGTGCTGTCCCTCCCTTCAATTGCGTTCTTATAAGGCTTCCGTCCAAACTTTTTAATGATCGGATAGTGTGAATCCATCATCATCATGAGCCAGAATGTCCATCTCTGCAATGTGATGTCTCCGCCTTTCGGAGGCCCAGCAGCCAGATTCTTGAAGAATCCAAGAGGGTCGCTCAAGAGCTCCTCTCGTTTGGCGCGGTTGGAATCTTTTTCGCCAGTATGAGTCTCGATGAGTTCCCGGAGATGCTCGTTCGAGTTCACAGCAATCTCCTGGTAGGCAAGCACTTCGCCGTGGGCCAGAGGTGCTGTGAAAAAGAGTCGAGCTACAGCCCAGTGATCGATGCCTGCGCCCACTTCATCGCGCCAGCGAGCCCATGAATCTGGTCGCTGATGAGCTGGTAAAGCACGCCATGCATCGTTCAGGCGTTCCGATAGTTTATCAAAATAGCCAACCCATCGAGCGTCGATTCCGTTGCAAAATAAACGCGGGCCTTGATCGAGAAGAACCACGAGGCCAAAGCATTGCTGCGGAAACTCTGGATCCGCGGGCGCGGGGAGGAACGAGAACAGGTCGGGCACGTTGGATAGACCAAGCTTACTCAGGGCGACAAGAACAGGCCATACAATATCGCGGGTGTTGTTCACCAAGTATTCGTCGTTGAATATCTCCTCTCCCGCCGTATTGAAGTCAATTGGCTTGTCTTTTGGGTAGGGAACCCTAGCGTATGCCATTTGTTTGAGCACTGCCGGCGTAATGAGGGAAGAAAGGCTCTCCATGGTTACAGAAGCTGAGCTCGCTGTTCTCTTGCCGAAACTACCAAAAGTACTCGCTACTTAAGTCGTGATGATTGAGAAACGAAGCATTCCAAGCCGCGGGGTATATACCACATGTTATAGTCGTGGAGTGTCAAGTGAGATTATAGACGTGGAGAAGCGTATCCGAAAAAGGATATGATATCGCCCAATAGACCGCTATGGAGCGTCAGTCAAGCCGATCCGTCCCCGAATTTTTATTGAACCACTCGCTTCACGTTGCTAGATAATTCTCTAGGGCTTATTAGTTTACTAAGGCTGTCTCCGCGTGAGCGTGCACTTGCCACTCCCAGGTTAGTATATGTTATATTTGGGGACATTTTTGAAGGCCGCTGAGCATTGAGTGTTGCGACGATATTACTTGTGGAGCCTCGTCCTATGTACAACTAATATAGCATTGCGCGTAGTGGTCTTCGAAAATACCTACCGGGTATTTGGCACATCTCTTTGAAGCTATAGGTCGTATTTATCTACGCGGCATACACCTTTACCTCAATTTTGTCAGTATCTTCACGTAGGCGATGCGAACTAAACCCGTCAGTCCGCTATCTCCTTTACGATGATGCCGTGCGAAATCAAGTTTATTTGAATTAAACTCAAATGTAGACATCTTGGACACAAGCACCACGCATGGTCCCACAAGCCACCCAAATCATGGGTTTCAAAAGTTTGCGCCAGGTCTGATTTCAGGCTCTAAGCTTTCTCATCTATTCTTCACAGCGACCATAGAGTCTTTCCATTCATCACTCTCACAGTCGCGCGCCGCCAGCCAATTTTAATTTTTTTTTTCTTAGTCAAGACTGGCAGTTGTCGAGTCTCACCCAAAACGTCGCTATTATGCGCATTCCTGTGATGCCTAGAGGACTAGAATGACAGTTCTCATTCGCTGAACGTTGCTTGCCTCCTTTGTTTAAGACCTGATTTTCCTCTTCTGCCTAGGACACAAGCTGCCGGCTGGAATATTAAAAAAAGTATATAAACTCCTATCTTCTTCTAAATAGATAACAATCGAGTCTGTTGTCAAGTTCGCAGTCCTTGCCTGTACGTGAAGAGGTAATCTAGTGATATTTTAAAACGGGTTTAGGTGATGGACAAGGGAAAACCTAGAGGGCATTAAAATGCTTTATACGCCTAGATTCTCAGATCCTCAGAGAGGCATATTTTACAGCTTATTAAGCTGTAATCGAGTTTCACCAATCTAAGCGGACGTCGGAAATCCGCCGAACCGAGATGTGGCTTGCAAATCCGCACTCCCGCTCCACCATTATCCATTCTACAACATCGTGCATTCGGTATCCTCACGGCTCTCGCGATGGCGATAGTCATGCCATATCTTGTTTCATATCGCGCTTTCCATGGCAATGCCAAGTTGTCGCTTGCTTGGCGTCGTATATGTACTATGAGATGTGCGCGAATTGACTGCCCGTGTGGACATATCGCATCACATAGGAGCCAGGCATTCGGTAAGATGGAACAGATCGTCTGGTGAGAGTCGGTCTTTTCATCATTATATTTTCTGTCAAAGCTTTCTTTCCAAGGATGATCGAATGGCACTATGACTGCGAGTTTCTGTATGTCGCGACGTTACCACTAATGCATCTTCGGGTTTGTTACCTGGTTTACATCACATGTCAAGCCCGCAGCCTTACACGGCATGTACTGAACAAATCAATCTCCAACTTTATCTCATAGTACGTGTAGCCTTTCCTGCTGTTGAGCAGCCCATTGTGAAAGCGGCGACTCCTCATTAATGCCGTGCGCGACTACTCTTTTCCAAAGTCCGTAGCGCGCGCGAGGGCGGCAGTATTAACTCCGCCGGTGCGGTAACCCATGCAGCTGCAGCAGCCCGAGAGACCAATAACCGGCTTCGCGGCCTAGGTGACTATTAAGTCCATGACTTACAATGCCTTATCTGCGTACATAATGCCACTGCAAAATGCTATGCCAAGCATTTGAACCAGGCAGCCTATTCTGATTAAGCTGCCAGTGTCGGAGAAAAGACAATGGGAAGCGCGAGGATAAACCTCGCGATAAACGAATTTACCACCGAAAGGGTTTGATATGCATATATATAGGAAGAGTAAATTCATGTAATTGAGATGTCTTGTCATGACAAACATCACTTCACTGCCACTCAATCTACATAATCTCCAATAGTCAATTTTCAATGGCACCAGCATTCGACATTTCGCCCGAAAAGCGGGCGTCACAGCTTGCATTCATCCAACGCCAGCTATTTCGTGTACCCCCAACATGGACCAAGAAAGACGTCGACCTAAGAGGCAAGACCGCCATTATCACCGGATCCAATACCGGCCTTGGGTTTGAGTGTGCTCGCCAGCTCCTCGATCTTGGCCTTAGCAAGCTCATTGTAGCCGTGCGCAGCGAAGCCAAAGGCGAAGAAGCAAAAAAGCTGCTTCTAGCGGGCCGAGATACAAACAAGCCGCCAGTCATTCAAGTGTGGAAGCTTGATTTGTCGAGCTATGATTCCATCACGGCCTTTGCAGAGCGCACCAAGACTCTGGAACGGCTAGACATTACCATCAACAATGCAGGACTGATGAAGAAAACTTTTGACAAAAGTTCTGCCGGACACGAAGAGACGTTTCAAGTAAACTACCTTGGTCAGGCTCTCTTCACATTATTACTCCTTCCAGTTATTAAAGAGAAGAATTCGCCGGAACAGCCCGGCCATCTCGTCCTAGTCTCATCAGATACAGCCGCCTGGGCCGAGTTTAAGGGGAAGAATTCCGAGTCGCTGTTTGCCGGATTAGACAACCCTAAACTATTCGATAGCAGCGATCAATATTTCACCTCCAAATTACTGGGCCAGCTGTTTCTAACAGAACTGGTGAAGCGTGTGCCGCCATCAGTCGCCATCATCAACGCCCCGAACCCAGGTCTATGCCAATCGAGTTTGGTTCGCGATTATGACAACGTGTTTGAGAGGGTGTTTGTTTACATATTCAAGCTTGTGCTTGGACGCCCTGGTTCTGTGGGAGCACGGGCATTTACTGATGCAGCTGTGAAGCAAGGCTCAGAATCTCATGGACAGTATCTCGAGGACGGAAAAGTGCAGCCAATGGCGCCTATTGTATATGGATTAGAAGGAGAAAGGCTTGCAGAGAAGCTTTGGGAGGAGACTATGAATGAATTTGCATTTGCAAAAGCAGCAGATATCGTTCATTCATTAAGCAGATGAGAAAGTCTACGTGGATCTATACAGGACAAGAACCAAGTTTGCCACTATTACGGGTATACCACTCGGGTATACAAGACACTATTCTAATAACACATTTTTCTATGATCACACATAATTTTTTCAAGGCTAATTCCATGTTTAAACATTCAGCGCTATTGCAAACTATTTAAGAAATCTGAATTGACTCTTTGATTCATCAAATAGACAAAAACGGCACACCGTTCGCACCCGTGATGGCATTGACTACAAAAGGGGAAGTAAACGTCGGTGGCATGCTGCTAGCGCTCATCACAGCATTCAATATGAACAGTGCATCAGCTTGCTCAGGACCCTCCAAGTCCTGCTGTGCCCAAAGCTTCTTAATCATCTCTTCAGTCGGCCCCAAGTTATTCATCGGCCTTGCTTCCATCGTCCGATTTATCGTTGATAAAATCAACAACCGCTGCTCGTCTGTCTCTGCTTGGATGGATAGAATAAATAGAGGGAACGGTCGATCGTATAATCTGATCCTCTCCAGCAGTACAAATGCTTTGGCGGCGGCATTTCGGGCGGTTGTTGAAGACATGAAAGCACCCTTGACAACTCTGTCGACGTATATGACCAAGGCGAACTGGAACAGTTTGTCATTCATGCTTTCGGAAACTTTGCTTATGGTGATATCCTCCTCTCCTACGTCAAAGCAGTCGCGCAAGTTATCAACATGCTTGAGACGTAGCTCAAGATCATGAATGGCGTGTAGGCGGTTGATTGATAAGTAATTTGGGTCGTCTCGATTCTTGACGAGATCCATTGCTTCGCTCAAGAAATCGAGAACTTCGGGAGAGCAGCCAAGCATATTGTGCATCTAAAAAGTTTGTCAGCAAGAGTGGCAACACCTGCATACGTTTCGGTGAGAAAGAATATGAAGATGCGTACAGTTATAACATCAATGTCATACGCTGAGTCGGAGACAAGAATATCTGATTTGGCCATTACTTCCATCTGCGGTGTCCTTTGCTGCCAATGCTGAATGCTAAACTTATACAGCACTTTATGGTAACGAACCCAGTTTAGCAAGATGGCACAGTCTCCCGCGTACTTTCGATGAATGTTGAAGCCCGAGTTGACAATATTCATGCACCCGTTAAAGTATACCGACCAGTCCTGGGTCTTGCCACTTTGGCTGAGAACCTAGTAGTTGTGATAACAGTTAGCGCTATGTACCGCATGTGAAATATAGCAGTCAGCCATTCAAAATTTCACCTCATAAAGCGTTAGAAGTAGGCTAGTGGCAATAGCCTGAGGCCGAGTCTTATTGTCTAGACCCTGCGTGAGGGCACCTTTGAGATTTGAAATGGCCATGATTTTGTATTTGAGTGCCTCATCTGACTTGTGCAATGACAATAACGAGATTGCATTCATGGAGTGGCGAACAGACAAGGCTGGCACGCTGTTGTCGTCGAGCGACATGCGGTACAAGAGGCCGCAAACGTCATCTTGAAAATTGCCTGATGTGACGAGGCGTATAGCTGATGGTATTCGCGGCCCATCTATGATGTCTCAGCATAAAGCGCCAAACGGGTAGTTACATCATGTCGATCACGCAAAGCCTGACTTACAAAAGCCTAGTTTAGGTGACCACAGGGACTGGCTAGGTGCTGCTGGTGTCAAGACACCTACGTGTTGCACTATAAGGCAAGGTTAGATGGGCCACTAACATTCAATCACTGGTGGACCAACTATGAGCTCCTGTGTCAATGTGTTCACGATACAGGCTTACGTCCCAAGTTGATGTATTGAGAAACTCAACTGGATTAGCTCGATAGGCGCTCCGGGTCTGCACGTTTGCTGTTGCCGCACGACGCTTGTCTCCCTTCCGAGGCCATGATAGATTCTCACTGTATCCCGAACATGCCTTTCCGCGTGTTTTGCAGGCTGAGCACTCGGGCAGGGCTTTATCACATGCTATCTTGAGGACTAGAAAAAGTCAGCCTTGCCAAGTTCATCACACCGAATCCGGACTCCCGCTGTGAGAGCCTCTTGCGGCGTCAGGGGTCACGCAAAAGATCAAAAGGAAAAAAGATCACGTAAAACGGGCGCGCTAGAGGATGGTGAAAATCTCACATACTTCGACAGCTCAGGCAGGACTTTCTCGTTCGCGGTGCTCGATTAGTGGTGGCTGCTGCAGTCATTCTGACACTTTGAGTCTTTTCTTGTGGCAAATTCGATAAGCAGTCCTGTAGATCGCGAGACGACTGATGGATCAAATGAATATCGTATCTCGTAGTTGAGGCTGTCAGATAAGAAAGGCTAAGCCGGGTGGGGGCTTCAAGCCAGGATCTTCAAGCGCCGTTTTACCTAATCCATGGCAGTTTTGTATCTAGAGCGGACACTGTATGAGCGCCGAGTAAAGGCATTGAAGCATTCAGTGGGATGAAAAAGAAGACATGGAAAAAAGAAAGACAAGGAAAAAAAACTTTTCACGATGCGACAACAGGGGTTTGAATGACTAGTAAAAAATGCCGAATCGAAAGGAACGGCCATTAAACATGACATTTGCTAAAATCCCGTCTCAAATGAGAACGGTACCCAATATTGCAATAATTGAACATATATTGACCAGGATCGGCCTCTACAGCAACGAATTTACCAACGCTGCCAAGGGCATCCCCGAAGCGAATGAAGAAGGGGAAACACGCAGCGCTGCGCCAATCATGTTTAGAGCTTGTATAAATATTTGCCTATTATACTTATCCATGCCAGTTTTATGCCAAGAGCGGGCACTGTATAAGCACGGAGTGAAGACGTCGAAATGAAAAGAAGAAAATGAAATCAAAGACAAAAAAACACCTTCTCATTATGCAACAGCAGCAATTCGAATTGAGAGTAAAAGAAAGAACTACTGTCCCTACTGGGCACGGTCATTAAACATTACATGTGCCAAAATTTCGTCTCAAATGAGAACGGTGCTCAGTCATGCAGTGATTAGATACCTATATATAACGATACTCGCCCGCACAATTCAGGATCGGCCTCCACGATAACAAATTCTACAATGCTGCCCAGGGAATCCCCGAAGCAATCAAGGAAGGGAAAACACGCTGCACTGCGCAAATCACACATACAGCCAATAAGGAGATTTTGCGATTTTGCTGACAAGAGCTTCGAGAGAAATTAATAGCGTTCTCGGAGCTGGCGCCGTTGCTCAAGCTGCCGGCATGCTCGCCGACCACAGCTGGGTTGAACTGGGCGATACCATCCTCTGTTACATTGGCGGCAGTGGAGGCAACTCTCTGGCTGCGTTTCTACTCCCCGAAAGGAGCACTATCTGAAATAAACCATGGTTGATATGGCGAGGTCAAAATGCGCTGCTCCCGATGGCGCCTCTGCAGAAATCGCAGACGGCATAGTCGAGCCTCTTGTGCAACATATCAAGGCTAGGAAGAACCCTGCGTCATTTCATTTCTACAAAGCTGTTGGCAGCCAGAGGTATCGCAGACTCGCTGATCCCTCCAAGAATGTACATGGATTCCTACAATCGAAGCTGCTGTCGCTCAGACGACTAGATGAAATGAGCGAACATTTATGGCTTGCAGGTGCACGACGTCCGCCCACGCAGCTGCATTGGCAAGTTGCCCTTGGCCGTAATATCGTGATTGCAGACCGCATTGATTTGCACCTCTTGTGAAACGGAGATGGACGCATTTTTGTTAAACCCATTCCCAGATTCCTTCTCAGTCCAGAATTCTGGCGGGCTGATCTAAGCTGCGCTAAATACTGCCGCTGTTTAAGCAATAGCTACAAAGTTAGGTCTAAAAGTGTTTACTAGTATTAAGAATTATCCAAGAACTAAGTCCAGGCAGTCTTCTATACTTCTGTGTAAGGACTACCTGCGGAAGGTTGCTTTAGCCTTCCTTTACACATACTCCTGCTTAGTCTCCACGAAAAGCGACTTCCATATTGCCGTTGAGAAGCGACTGTTACCGAGAGAGCCCGACGACTCAACAATAACATGGACGCAGTGGCAATATCTGGTGAGAGAACTCATCGCCCAGCATCACCCGGATAAAATTTATCTTCGCTTCCCCCATGCAGAGCTTCGCTTATCGCGAATCAACGCTATTCCTCAGACTATGAAGTTCGCTCAAGCATACTTTGGTGGATGGAATAATTATTCCAGCTTCTTCCGTGACAATCTCGCTTGGATTGCTGCAATCACCGCATACATGGTCTTGTTTTTAACCGCAATGCAGGTCGGGCTTGCGACCGAGCAGCTTCAAAATAGCCCTGTCTTTCAGAGGGCGTCGTATGTCTTTACACTCCTTGGAATTCTGAGGCCTATAGGATTGGGTAGTATGGTATTGCTGCGTGCCGTAATTGAGCTTCTTAGATATCTGTTAGTAATCTTTAAACAAAAGAAGGATCACATAACTTGAAGGATCATATAACTTCATCGGCCTAGTATGTAGTATAGTTCTGATGCGGAGTTGATGTCTTGGACTTATCATGCTTCGGCTCTCGAAAGCATGTCGCTAAGACTGGACAGCCATGCTTACGCATATCGATAATGCTATGTACATTTGAAGGATAGGAACCATGGAAAATATACATACCAGTAACGCAAAAACAAGCATGACTCTCTAGTCGAATAACCGGCAGCTTTTGGTAATAACCTTTTTGGTATTAATCCACCTATTAGAGAGAAAGGGACGTTAACTTGAAAACGAGAAGTATGAGGCAATCATATGTTCTGAGCTCGCTAGTCGACTTCACATATTGTACAAGCATCTTCGCAGATTTAACAATGCTTCAAAGCATTTAGGCAATTCTACTTCTACGCAATAAGTCTCGCAAACTGTTACCTTGCTTCACGGAAATATTGCCTCTTTTTCACCCTTACTGCAGAACAGCATATCATCAATCTTTCCGTGGTGCGATGCATATCAGATGCCAAGGAATACCCTCTTCATTTTATCACAAAATCCAAGAATTCAATCTATATGCGGGAATGATGAAGAATTTGGTAGTATATCCGAAAGTGGAGCAGCGTTATTTCCTCTCATGCCTTATAGATCGATCCAAGAACGCTCCGGAGATCCAAAATTGGCCACAGCATCGCCAAGTATGCATTACCTTCCTATTTTAGGTCTACTATCACAGTGATGCAATAAGTTCTGGATGGTGCGCGTATAGCCTCAGTGAACACGATGCACATTCTCGCTTAACTGAAAATAGAAGTTGCCCAACGGTTTCACAAGCGAGCTTCAAAGCCGGGATGAAATTGAGGTGGGGAGGAAACATGAGGAGGATGGGTCTGTAGCCGCAATATACTTTTCAGATGAATGATACATGTCAGAATTTTAGCCAAGTAAGGATTTCTCTTGAAGGCTAAGATAAGATGATGATAAAATATAATTGCTCTGTAGGAGGATTATGGGAAATTTTCTGCCTTTGCTAAGTTATCGCTAAAACATTTTGTAAGCTTGATTTTGTTTCTAGATACCTTAACGGTAGGTGGTGTGCATAGTGGCATCGATCGGGATTTTCGACATTCTCCGTATGCATACCCCTGTTCGTGTGATTATACCAATTCAGTATTTAGCCAGCGCAACTCAACAACTCTGTAGCCGACGGCATTATACCAGTTATCAATCTTCCTTTCTGTCAAAGTCAATTAAGCGATATTGCCGAGACGTAGTATAAGTAATGCAGGAAGCCAGCTTTAACCATCTACGACAAACAAAGGCAACGATTGACTACCAGCAGCTTATAAACACTGACAGACACGCATGGCTTACAAAATCTTTACGATTGCCTTGGCTTTGGCCACTGGCGTTTCTCAAGTTGTCGCTCAGGAATGTGCTCAAAACCTCTTAACCACACACGGCGGTGTCCAATTCTATCTCTATGACGATTCTATTCCTGCAAACAACTACAGACCTCTTCAACTTCGCCCCAGCCAAGATGGCAAGTTCAGCTACCTCGCTATAGACAACAGCTCTCCGGTCTTTACTGCCAACCTCGATAATGGCGTTTTGGTCAGCGAAAGCAAGAGCTCTGACGGCACTCTTTTCGACACAGACGCTAGGGGTTTCCTGCAAAACTACACCAATGTGGACAATTACATCCCACCTACTTTTGTAGGCCAGCTCGCCTTTGCCAATACTTCAACCTTTTCCAACGCGTCTGATGCCAACTGGCTTCTGGGCCCTTCAGGTGGAACAAACGTCTACAACCTCTGGCACAACGAGCCTGTCAACACGCTCAACGGAATGCAGATTTGCGAAGCTGATTTTGATCTTAATGAAGATGGCACTCCTTGGTATTATTTCCAATACGTGGACTGGGTGGTCTACTACCCACCAAATTGTGAATTTGTTGCAATTTTAACCAAGGTCACTACGCCGGACCTGCCTTCATGCTAGGCACAAGGCTCGATTTAGAGTACAGAGAATTCTTACACATTGGAGGTTAGCAATTGGCGGAAGGATGGCGGATGTACGGCGGCTCAAGACGAGACATTCATAGGTGCTGGGGTTTTAGCCTTCCAAAATATGAAAATTAGATACATATTACTCAATTCCGGCATCCGAAACTATGCCCATGAAAGGATCAATGATTATAAAACTTGGAAGATCGATCTTCATTGTGATGATGTAAAACAGCAGTTGATATACTTATAAGACAGGGCCTTTCTAATAGTAAGTTTCAAACTGATATCTACATAAAGGCCCATATATGGCAAAGTGTTTCTCGTTCTTTAATAACAGACTATATACTCTATAGTTGAGACACAAACATCGAGTGAAAACAGCAAAAAGAGAACGATTTCAGTCATTGTTACAAAGAAACTGACTAGCGTAGTAGCCCTTTTTGCACGTAGGACAAACGTACTCTCTCGGTTTGTGGGTGTATCTGTTATGTGATTTGAATCCTTTTGCATTTTAAACGTCTTATCGCATGGGTAGCACTTAATAGTTGCTCTTCGAAATGCTTAACTTGATGACCTTCCTGACCATATAGAAGTTTAAAGGTTATATTGCATGTTGAGCATCTGTAGGGCACGTCATCCTCATGCACCTTGGAGGCAATTAGTCGATCGTAAACAAGGTTGCAATTGGAGGATAGTCATATCGCCATCACTTGTAACTGACCCGTTATTAGATAGGACTAAAGTGCAATTTCTAATATAACACTCAGCTTAAGATTAATGCGTATAACAATATATTCAGGTAAACCGTATCTAGCACTTCCAGTTCTATTATGCAACTGCCCAGCTATAATTATTAAGGCAATCAGTCTGTATAAAAAGTGGTTACCTATCTGGTCGTCGTAACATGCACTTCGAAGCAAAGTACCAACAGTACCAATAGTGCCAATAGTAGCAGTAGTATCAACAATAACAGTAGTAACAGTAGTAGTAGGAATAGTAGCAATAGTAGCAATAGTAGCAATAGTAGCAGCAGTAGGTGCTGGATAATGAAATCGAGGGCTTGTGATAACTTATCCATATTGAATTCTAGCGAATGTATAAAGAAACTCCTATCTTAAGAGCTCTATTTTATCTCTTCAGTCTCCATAATTCACTGTTCCTTTCCTCCACGCATGCAAAACGGGTTACCAAACCCTACAAATCTTTATCCGCAGCGAGCAGTGCCAGAACCACAATCACCACCCGCACCATAGTCACAGCAGGATCCAGAGGGCGAGCATTCATACACATGGTTGTTGACCCGCTTCGCCGTAATGATGTAGCCATCCCCATTGGACCAGACGCAATTGCCACAGTACTGGCCTTGTTTGAGTGGATGCTTGGTGCTACACTTGCATCCATTGGACACGCATGCTCGTTTATCCAGTGGTAGGAGTGATCGCTCTTCCACTTTGGCGATTGCCTCTACCTCAGCTCGAGCTTCGATGTCGACACCAGCAACTGCCGCAGAGGCCAGTGGCGCAATAAGAGCAGCAAAAAGAATAAAACGCATTTTAGCGATGTCGAAAGTGGGTTGAGGATTGAAGTTGTATGGGAGAAACTCTGTTAATTGAGACTGCCGTGAATTGCTGAGGCCGATGGTCCGAAACCATTCACAACAGGGTCTTATATATTACGGATTGTCGCAAAGGATACCAACTCGAGCCAATTTTACTGTTACTAGCTACTATAAGCTTCGGCAAGAATATACCCCGTGATATATGACTCTGTCCAATAGTTGATGTTCAATTTTCGGCTTGAGTCATAAGATTCCTAAACGACATCACAGAGCCAGTAAGACACAGACACGGAGCATACCGTAAACTGCTAGTATGTGTTTTGACGAGTACTAGCTATCCTGTGCCCCGCATGTCTGAGATGTTGAGGTTACATTGCTTCATCAACTATGCTACGAAGAGCCAGACTCCGACGGAAGCCGCTAATTGAAATATCTTATTGGCTAAAGCGTCAGTAAGCAAAGCTTTCTATTCCTCCATGTCCATCTATGCGCATAAGAAGCTAAATTTAAGCTTGAATTGTTAATGGGTGATGGAAGGGCGCTTGCCACAAGAAAGTGCACTACCAATTGCTTATTATGGCAAAGGATCAGAAAGTCTAGACAGAATAATAAGTAGGATTCCTCCTCAGTCTAGACTGAAACGTTTTGATCACGGATTGACTAATTTGTCCGTGCTTATAAGCCTTCAATTAGCATTGATCGGCGCATCGCACGCTATTGCTGCTCTTAGCCATCGCATAAGCTCAAGATCTACATCCCCTGATTTAAAAAAGCATGCGATACTCTATTCGATACGTAAAATAGATGATTTTGTCCAGTTTGATCAAGGCACGCTCTTCGTCAGGGAGAGTTGAAATATAGTGCACCATCTGAACAACCTGGCCGCTGTCACTAGCGAGGATATTGATATGGTACTTTATGAGGAGCTTGACAACATCGTGAGGAGACATGAAGTTCCCCGCGCTCAAGACTGAGGCACCAGCATTCTCCAAGATTTCGAGCGTCAGATCTAGAGACCTAGTGTATCTTTAGCGTCTGTTTGACTTATTGCCATGTGACACTTTGAAGTTGCTCACCTATACAGCTCCCCAGCGCAATGGGTGGTCAGTGCCCAGTCCCCAGGCTTAATGACACCAAGAGTTTTGAGAAAGTGGCCAAAATTTGCTCGATGTTTGCGATTTTCATACACATCCGTTCCGAAGAATAAGGGCTTCGAACCAAATCCCCCGCCTGTAATACTCGCGTACACGCTCTGCCGATACGTATTATCAGGTCTCGTATCGTTGACAAGTCGTTGGATAGTGTTATAACTAATGCACAGTTAGTTTTAAGTATACGCTGCGATTCGAACTTCTTGTCTACTTACAGGTTCTTCTTCCAGGTGATAGACCATGCGCTTAGCTTTTTCTCTGCGGCCTCATCTGTTGACGTCTTCTCTCTCAACTCTCGAATTATTTTTTCCTCAGGAGGATACTGTATCTCTTCCTTGTAGAAGGGGTGAATCTCAGCGACGGCCAAGACTTCTCCCAGAGAGTAAGGCGCGATTTTCATGTTTAGAGTCGAATACTTGCGGAGAAATAGGACGTCCAAAGGGCTGTAAAGGATACTGCAACGCTTCTATCTCTGCCCCTACAGTTTATATCCTAGGGTAAATTGCGGTATATGACTACAGCTTGACTTACTACGCGACTGACAGTCGGATGCTGATTTATTACTCAGGGAATGCCGGTTTACCGTGCGGATATTACTGTGTCTACGATCTCAGATGTACAGCGATAAACACAGAGCCTGCTGGCAGAGTTTGGCTAATGACAGGAAAACAGCAGCTGCTTTAGTCAAGGATGGGGGCCAAAAAGCCAACAACGGACAGCCTAATTTTGGACTGAGACATGCTTGAAAAGCCTACGTCAGATAGACCGCCACGGTTATCACTATTTTTGGAGGGGAAAGAATGAAGGGAAAGCTTAGTAGTATGGTGGAAGCAAACAAAATAACGAACAAACACCGCGTAATAGCATATAGCTTACAGCCGGGTGGATATCATACATGGCAGCAACTGAGATTGACATGATGCTGCGGCTGAGACAGTAGTAGCGCGATAATATCAGTCAATTAGATTGCAATACAGGCATGCCAAAATGCTGTTCCAGCTTGACCGCCATTTCTGCCTGTCTGTAAGTCTGGACAAGTTATCAGCCGCATGAAGCTGAGCTTGAAAGCCGGCAATATCCCTGCAGTAGCTCAAACTCAGCTCGATCCAGTCCAGCCACCCGTGCCTTGATCGGCAGGCCAATAGCTAGTAAGATTGCAAAAGCAAACAAGTCAATCAGTAGTTTCTCTTTCTTAACTTGTACCTGTGCTTAGCCTGCAAAGTAACCACAGTATTAATTGATAAATGCGTCAACTCGGCTCGACTACAAGCAAGGTTGCATTGAATATAAAATTTGTCATTGACTGTGCACACTACATTTTATGTTTCACAATAAACCAATAGTTCATATAAACACTCTATAGCACTCAAGCCACGCTATCCAGTTATATGCAAACGCGCAATTTTTTTCCATGTCTCAGTTGCCAATTTCCGAATGTCCGATGATGCTCTCATGCCCCTCGGCTGCTTCTCTTTGTCATGTAGTCTCAAAAGTAAACGGGACTGCAACCCATACTCTTCGGAGGTGTCGCTCCGGATCTCTGATATGATACTCTTGAGTGTAACCACCGGCGGTTGTCAATCAAGATTATAGAACGCGCTGGAAGGGCCTTCGGCGTCAAGTACAAGGTCGAATGGGATCTTGCTCCTGCACTCTCCACTGCATGTTTCAGTTCAATTAGTGCGGCGGAAGCTCGATCGCTCAAAGGCGTTAAGATGTCTTCTCGGAAGCGCATCATCCTAATATGATTCTCTGCATCAGTCACCATGATGCCTCAGTGTACGAATCAGATACTCAGGCCTTGTCAAAGATGTCTTGATGGCTTCCGAGAGCAGTTCACTAAGCCGCTGCACACTCATCACAGAAAGCGTACCGCCTCCGTAGCAATCAGGCTGGAGCGCATGCAGGGCGAAGTAGCGCGGCGGCTGATTCTAGTAGCTACAATCCTTGTGCCAGGGGAATTCATCCATTGTCTCTGACCGGGTCTGAAAGTTGGCAGTCTGAAAGCTGATGGTGGTGGAAAATGCATCCTAAAACCAGCCTTTGGTTGCGCTGTGAGCAATAGGCAGTTGGTGTCCGTGATGTTGATGTAGGCTCAGGAGAAGCTGTTCAAGATACTGGCTCTTGTTATCGTCGAACCCCAGGCTTATCTTGAGAATGCCATGTTGGCGAAGCATTTTCGATACACTATGAACATGAACAAGCTCTCGAGCTTGACTAATATTGGACGCTTCCACTTTAGGCACTATCTGTGAGAGGTCTCTAGACATCTGACAGCTCTCATGGGCTGCAGCTCTGGAGAGCCTGGCAGATGCTGGGCGACGAATAACTCTGCGCATACGATCCGATGCTACAGGATTATGGAGTGTGACGCGGCGATACATCATGGCAGATGTAAAAGGCCATGAATAGAGATCTCTGTCTTCTCGGACAGAGCCCAGCCACAAACAGATAGTGATACTAATGTTAAATAGCTTGTACCAATCTATATCTCACCGCCAATAGTGTTCCATATCACAAACATTCGCCTTGTACCACTACTTTGTAGTACTCAACACCTTACTCAGCTGTTTCTCACCAATCCCTTCCCCCTGGCTCAACACACTTTCTCCAAAGTGGTCTTCCCTACGTATCACAGAGCAAATCCAAGCTCCGCCATTTACGACCGTGCAGATGCGGTCGTTGCTGCTCCTCCAGCCGCCTAAGCCGAGATATGCACCGTTGACAGTAAAATATGTGCCGATCAAGGGGAAGTGGACTTTTTCTCCCGACGCCTTCAACACCATGTTATACCGCCTAGAAATAATTCGACGCTGTACGACAGAAGATTTTTCTAGCTCGAGTCCTGGGGAGACTTGGCGCTGCAAGGCCGCAACCCACTCTTCATTGGTCATCTCATCGCCAAATACGATTCCATCGCCCTTGCCACCTCGAATAGCCTTCAGGAGGAAATGCTGACGGACTTCAGGATGCTTTTCTGAGTGATCAAGAATTTCTTGAATCTCGGGTGAGCCCGGCAAATAAGTGTCTGCAATCCCACGATCGAGAATCACCGCTTGTTGCTGGCTGAGCACTCCGCGCGCGACTTGATCCTGAAGCTCCTGCTTGACGATTCCCAGCATTCGCTTGTCATGGACTAGAAATATGGTCCGCAAATCATTGAAGCAGACTGTACAGAGCTCTTGCAGCATATTAAGCGGCAAACCAACCAGCTCATGCTGGTGTAGCTCAAGCCCGACCTGAAAAATCTCTTCTACAAACTCTCCGTCCTCAGTAAAAAATAGAGGAGACGCTGCGGCGGAAGTAGCGTGGCAGGCAGGCGCCTTTGAGATTGCACAGAGCATATAACCTGTTTTTCTTTTCTCGTTTACCACCAGTCGTAGGTCTGAAGGGGCGATTACTCGTGGCGATGAGCCTGTGCGGCGCCTCACAGCTTCGACGAACATGTAGAAGTCGACCCCAGGCTCTTTACCTTTCAAGAGATGGAGAGGGCGATCTCGCCGAAACAGATTGAAAAGTCCGTCAATAACCTACCAAGCTTGTTAGCAATTATCACGAGCTAGAAAAAGAAGCATCACGACTTACCTTCGTCGGAGTCGTGGCAGGGACAAGCCCATACCTTGCCATGCCCGTATCTTCCAGAGCCGTGTGCCCAAATACCGCGTGCATATACGCATTGAAAGAGAACCTGGCATTGATTTCGGTGATTCGGAAGTTCTCTTGGATGGTGCCATCTGCGCAGTGTATATCCTCGACCAAGAAATCGGGCCTCCACGATCCTTTGCGTTCTGTATAAGGCGGCAGGGCCCCAATGGCCGATTGACGTCCTACGTGCTGCATTTACTTTGTTAGCTGCTAATAAATGAAAGAAAAAAAAAAGAAAAAAGACATCAAGAAATATCGTTTACTCACCTTTAAAAGCCCCTCCTCTATTGGCTCGAGAGGCATTCTCTGGGGAAATTTTGCAGCCTTGTCGCTCCACCATCGATTCACGATATCAGTCAATGAAAGGGTCAGCGCAGTATTTAGCTCGCGCAGCATCACTTCATGTCGAAGATTGACGAGAATCGGTCGAGGGCAGGAATTGTTATACGAAGCATGTGGCCATAGACGAGGTGGGCAAAGACGCATGAGCTGCGCCTTCATAACCTCACTCTCCCAGAGATAAAAATTTCCATCAGCCTGTACAGTTGACACTTCTTCGTATCCCTTAGGTCCACGCCCAAGATGGATTTGCATAAAAGGCTCGTTAAACATGTTTGAAGTTCCTGCCGAGATGAGTGTAGAAGAGAGCTGGCGAGAAAACCGACCCAAAGGTCAAACCAAAAGTTGCTACGCTATAAATACCGCTCTAATTTATTTGAAATGATCCATGCACTCATCTAGAGGTACGTACTTCATCAATCTGACAGACCCAAATCGCCGGCCTCGATCTTTGCTGTATGGCGCAATCTTCCAGCTCTGCAGGTACAGATACATGATGGGTACTACGCTGTGCCAACCACGTCGTACGCAAACGATCCACCAACTCCAACATAGCACAGTCTAGTACTATGTAAGGCTTGATCTTGAAATTGGATGCCAAGGCCATCGTCATCAAACTAGAGACTGAAATTAACCAATTGGAACGCGCCCCTGACTCGTCCCGTCTTGATAACTGAGACAAGTAACCCAATAACCGGCCTCTAGGAACGCCACATTTCGTAAAACTCCCTGCGTCTTTGCGCATCGTCGTAAGAGTCGCTCGGCGATCAATCGCAAACGCTAAATCTGAGACACTCTTACTCAGGCAATTTTCTCTCCCCACGTCAGCCTGTTGACTGGGATCGGCCCGGTCCTAGTCCAGGGACTAAGTAGTGGAGAGAGTATCAATTCTGTGATGGTTCACGGTGTACTTTGAATGTGCTCTCAGTTTGTCAATTAATTTGAGTTGACTTTTGTAAGACTATGTCGCTGCTATCAGTCCTTGTATCCAGATTACCATCATACAGCACCAGAACAATGCATAAATAGATGCTCTGTATCGCTCATTGCCTCATCTGCTCAAGACGTATCCAATTTCTTGAACAAAATCCACATACTATCATCAATTCCAACGATGAAGTCATCCGCTTTGATCTCCCTCGCCTTCGTTGCTCTGGCCGCGGCTGTGAAGAAAACTCCAGTCCCAGACGCCTTTGTGAGTCGGCTCAGCTCCATCCTAATTCCACGACCTCTCGTTGACTCATTTCATTGCAAAACTAGGCCCTTCTATTTACCCATGAGAACTACAAGGGGGGTCGATCCTTTATCAGCGATGAATGCACTCCCATCGATTCCCAAATCTCCATGTAGGTATCAAGCGTTGAACATAATCATCATAGCTAACCCGATTAAAGAGGCTCTCTCTGGATCCCAACCATAGAGAACCATACCATAAAATGTTTTCTATTTGAGTAAGTCGATTTCTTTGCATGTATTCACTTCCATCATTTTTGGCTAATGTCTTGTAGTGATGAAAACTGTGAAGGTGGCTCGCTGGTGGTTTCGTACAATGCTTCTGAAACTGATATCCCGACCAAAGTTGGAGACCAGGTAGCGGCGATCGAATGCCTTTACTTTGTTAAATAATCGAATCGATTACTCAGTGAACTACAGCTGTCAGCGAGGGCTTCTCCGGAGGATTTAGTACATGTGCATCTCGGCTTCTAGTTGCCCTGGATAAATCTTTAGATAGACTCGATAGGCAAAGTAGCATGGAGCAATAACTACTAAGGCTGTTGCAATTCAGAGCTTTATTAAAGTCTCGCATTATATATTATAACAAGCTTCCCTCCTACACCTACAGGTACCCCACCTTTTAGGTGCCTAACCATTAAAGAACCTTATCCTATTTAACTAGCTATTAGATAAAATAACTTTAATAAACCCTTTTATAGCCCTCTCTAGGGTCTTTAAGGAGATAAAAACATCCACAATCCCCTTAGATAACTAGAATAAAATTAACCCTATTGCCGCTAGGCTAGTGATTACTATATAACTATAGAAGGAGATAACCCCTTTAATTTTAAAAGTAAGAGAGACTATAGTCCTCCCTTTTACTTTTAAAAAAAAAATATTATAAAGAAGTTTATATAATAAATAATATATTTTTACTTAGTTTTAATAAAGTAAAGCTTAATATAGTAATTATATAAAAATTAATAAAAAGTATTATTACTTTTATTTTTAATAATATAAAGGAAATTATTACTATAAATAAAAAAGGGAAATCTTTTACTAAGAATAAAATTATAAATTAAATTAATAAAATTAATATATAATAATATATTAAATAAAATATAGTATTAAATATAGCTATAGCTATTAACTTTTACTTAGTGTAATATATATTCTAGCTTTCTTTAATAATAATAAAATAAATTTAATTATATTTAAATATTATATTTAAAAACTTTATTATTTTTTATATTAATTTTAAGGGAAGGCTTAAAAACCTTAAGAAATTAAGTAATAAAGAGAGAATTATTTAATTAATTAAAATAGCATTAGCTAATATATTTTATAGTAAGGAAAATAAATTAAATAGCCTTAAGAACTTTATTATAGCAGGAGCCCCTATAATTATTAAAAAAGTAAGCTAAAAGGGCTTTAAGGTTATATAAGTATAAGTTATATTATAAAATATTATTTATAATAAAAAGCTATAAAAGGGCCTTAATACTTAAAAGAATTTTTCCTTTAATAATATAAGGCTAGCCCTTACTATTAAAATAAAAAATAATAATAAAATTACTATAGGTAATTAAAAGCTTAATAATTATATTTTTATTTAAGTTCCCTTAGACTATAGTTAAAGAAAAATAATAGCTATTAGGGTTAAATAAGAATTAATTAGCTCCTTAAAGCTTAAAAATAAAAATATTACTTACTTTTAAGAGGTTTAATTAAGCTTTACCCTTTAAGTAAAAGATTAAGGTATAAAAGAAAAAATTATTATACTTAAACCTATAGCTAAGAGTAATAATTTAAAAATTAAAGAAATATATTTTTAAAAGGTTTTTATTATATATAATATATTAAAAATATATATAAATATAAATAAAATTTACTTAATAAATACGCTAATTTTAAAGGAGGTATACGCTAGGGTAAGGGCTAAGGAACTATTAGTAATAGTTTATAAGGCCCTTTTTAAAGAATCCTTAAATATATACTATTACTTTATATTCTTTAAGGAGAATATTAAACTTAAGTTTAAGTTATTTAATAATTCTTACTTAATAAAGGCTTAAATTTAAAAATTTAAAATTACTTAATACCTTTATTACTTTAAATTCTATAACCCATAGAATTATATTAAAATTAAAAAATACTTAAAATATAATAAGCCCTTAAATAAATATATAAATATTATTATAAATTACCCCTTTTTATTATAATATATTAATTATAATAGCTTATATAAAGTAAACTCTTTTAAGTACTTAGCTAAATTAATTATTAAAGATAAAAAGAAAGTTTATACTATTAAAAACTAGCTTAAGGTAATTAAGGAGCTAAAATAAAAAAAATATATAAAAGCTAATTTACCTAAGTTAACCCTAGCTGCTAAAATTACCCTTATAAATAAAGCCCTTTTAAAAGCTAATCCCTTAAAGGGGGGCCCCTAAATCTACTACCTATTCCCTAGCTCTGCTCCCTAGCCGCCCGCTAGGGCCCTTACTTAAAAAGTTATTATTAAAGTTAACTTTAATAATAACTTAATAAATAACTCCTTTATAAAATTAAAGGTATATATAGTAAGCTTAGAAAATAAAATAAAAAATAAAAAGAATAATATAAAGAAAATTATTAATAAAAATAATAAACCCTTTATAATAGCCTTATAAGTAATAGGCCTTATTATAGCTATTAAAGAAACACTAGCCTTAAAATCTTTTAAGTAAATATTAGGAAAAATAGCCCTTATTAAAATATTACTTTTTTACTTATATAAAAAGGTAATTATAATATTATACTTATTTAAAAACCTTATATTAAGTAAAATAAAATATTAAGTAAAAAGTAAATTAAAAACTACTTTAAATTTTAAATATATAATTCCTTAAATAATTAAAGGGATATTAAACCCTTAGTCTTTATATTTATTAAAATCTCCCTTAATCTCCTTAATAAGTAACTCTCCCCTTTAAGCCTAAAGAATAAGTATATATATTAAATTAAGGTTTATAAATATATAATTATTAATATTTATAAAAGGGCCTTAAAGAATATTATTATAAATACCCTTATTAAATAAAGCCCTTTACCCCTTTAATTTATTATAATAAGTAACTTTAATATTACTTATTAAATATAATAGTTAAGTAAAAGGCTAGATTTAGTAAGAAATAAAATAATAAAATAAGCTAATAAATATAACCTTCTCCCTTTATTAATAAACTCCCCTATAAAAGACTTAGGGAAGTATATTAATCTTATCTTTATAAATTACTTTACTTACTTTAAAGTTAAATATTTCTTAAATATAGGGTTAAATTATTATATAATTATTATTATATTACTAAAACTTATTTACTTTACTCCTAAAGCTAAAAAGAAATACCTTTCTTTTAAAAAATATAAAGACTTTAAGTAACTAATATACTCCTTTATATAAACCTTTCTTATAATTAACTTAAAAAAACCCTTAAAGGGAAACTTAAATAAGTATATTAAAGCCTTATAAAACCTTTTTAAAGATATTTTAAAAGCTATTAATAAAACTAAATATTAAAATAAATATAATGCCCCTTAATAAACTAAGGAATATAAAGTTACTTATAAAGTAATAAAAAGGGCCTTTAATAGCTTATAAGAAAAAGCAGCTGCTAAGAAATAACTTAAAGATATTATTTAAAAAAGTAAAAAAGTATATTAAAATAAAATTATTATTAATACTAGTATTAAAAAGAATATTTAAACCTTAGTTAAATAATAAAAAGCTATAAATTACTTTTAACCTCCCCTTTTATTTAATAAAGATAAGAGTATCTTAGACCCTATAAAAAGGGTAACCTTCCTTAAAGATAAGTTATTTAAAAGAAAAACTATAGAAAAGGATATCTTAGACCCTTAGGAAAGAAACCTCCCCTTTAATAAGAAAATTAAATAAGATATAAAAGTCTTAGAAAAGGAGGCTAGAAAAGCTACTATAGGGTTAAGTAATACTACCCCTAGGGCGGATAGGATTTTAGTAGCGCTTCTATAGCTAGCCTAGCCTGCGGTTAATAGCT